GAGGAAGACCTGTCCTCCCCGCTCAACCCAGACTGCGGCCCAAGTAGCACCGTAGGGACCTCGCCCGGGCTTGTCGGAAGGGGCGCTGAGGAATACCCGCGCCTGGAGGGCTGTTCCTCCAAACAGCTTGTGTGCCTGCACCTACCCGTCGGCCTTTGAGCTGTGCTTCAAACCCCAGGTCCTGTGGCTTCCGAGTCTGTTCGCTGCGCCCCCAGGCCCCTCTGTCGTTGTGGCAAATGCCGGCCACCGCACTAGGGGCAGGGGAGGAAAAGAGATTTTCCCTCTTTGAGTTGAGGAAAATCAGAGCGTTCTAGGTCAAACTATGAGGTGAGCCGCAGACAGGACAACTGAGACAATGACATCGGAGAAGGGGAATACACCCTTAGAGGGGAGGCGTCTGTCCTTGCGGACCGCGGCATTTCTGGAATTAACTTCTTGGGACTTACCATGCAAACCGATTTATAAAACAACAGACGCCTGTCTCAGGACTCTCTGGCCGTTGCTTCGTGTTTTAACCCAAAATGATGTTGGTCTCTCAGTCGAGGCTCAGGCTCGGCTTTGGACGGCTTTGAGGCCGCTACCCGTCCTGTCCCCGGGAATGGTCGAAGGGCTGAGGGCGATGCCAAGAGAGGACTGACCGTACGGAACCCGTGGAACCAGGGCAGTGATGCCAGGTAAAGGCTCGGCTTCCCCTGTGGCCGCCTGGGAGGGAAGCGTGCCGGATGCGTGCGTCAGACCTCAGCCGTGGGATGGCCGCGCTGCCGCTCGACGTCGGAGCGCGGGGGGGATTCATCTGGCCCGGCAGGACGCAGTGAGCGTGGCAGCGGAACAGCCTTGTTGTGTCAGGCAGCCGAACTGGCCTGGACAGTGGAAATGTGAGTCACTCTTGAACTTGCTTCTTTCGATGGGCCCTGGCTTGTCGGGCGCTGGGTGAGCTGGCTGCCTGCCGGGAGCCTGGGTGGGCTGGGGCCTCCCAACCCCTCTCTCCTGTTCTTTAAAAGTGCGCCCCGTGGGGCTTCGCTGGGCGGCGGCCTCCGCGCTGCAGGCTCCCGGCACAGGCTGGGGCCCTGGGTTCCCCTGGGCGGCCGGGCCCGCCCCCTGGGTGGGGTTGGACCGGAGGACCTCGGGGCCTGCGGCCAGCCCTGGGCTCTGGTGTTACAGATCACCAGCAGGCCTGCTGGGACAGCCCCTGGACAGTGACCAGGTCAGGGAGTACTTTATTCCTTTTTTTAAAATCCTGTTTTGCCTCCTGTTTTTATTCTTTTAGCGTTACCTTCATAGCGGTCAGCCGTGTTTGCCTGCACGATGAGAGCCTTTTGAAGGCTAGTCATTCATCAACAAAGAATCCGAGGTGCCCGCTGTGCGCCAGGCCCCCGGCCAGGGCTGGGCAGTGGCCGTAACGCAGGCCCCGCCCAGGACGAGCTCGGGGCGTTCTTGCCCTCGCCGTGCCTCTCGGGGCTTCTGCCGTGCTCAGCGTTTTAATTCCACCCGGCTTCCAAAGCTCCCAGATTAGCTCCTTGGGTGGCACTTGTTGCTGATACGTAACTTTCTCAATTTAAATTTTATATATTTTTTTGCAGTTCTTATTTGGGTTTATCCAAACACTCACCCATTTCTTTTCTAACACTGATTCCTCCCCGCCCGCCCCCGCCCCCGATTTCTGGACTCGGTTTCCTCCATGAACGCAGATATTCAGTCAGGAGCTACTGATCAGCATTCCGGTTTTGTTGGCCTCAAGCGTATGTGATGTCCTCTCTTGAGTGATGCTGTAGGACTTAGAGCAAGAGGTCTCGGCATGTCCCAGAGATTTTTTTAAATTTTAATTTTGGGTCCTGTTTCATCCGGCGCGTCTGTGAATTTGGAGAAGGCAAGATGCTCGCACCGGCGAGCCTGAAGTGACTCCCGCAACAAACGAAAGACGCTACGCTTTGCGTGGAGGAAGTGGTTACACCTGCTAAAGTCCTTCTAGTCATTTGCTCGTTGGCCTTTTATTTTGTGTTGTCGATTTCTCGGCCCTCCTGACTGCATTCTGGGGAATTTCCTTAGGCCTATTTTTGTATTTATATTTGAAGAGAGTTATTACTGATCATCTCCAATGACCAATGTAACAATATAGGGGTCTTCCCCACCTTTCCCTTGTCTGTAGTTCGTATCTCCTGCCCATGGGAGACCCTCAGTTCCAGCACTCTGAGAGTTGTAACGTTTTTCAGCAGCACTAAGAACACCTGACCCCCTAAGTCAGCTGAGTAGTTCTTTCATCCGTAGAAGGTGTGCCATTGGGGTATAGACGGATGCGGTATTTAAAAGCTATTGACTTAGCCTTTTCTCTCTATAGTTATGTCAGTATATTTGTGTGCCAATGTATTTTTATTTTCCTTTCTCCCTTATTTCCAACTTCTTTTAAAACTCGTGCCTTCGTGAATAAAACAACCGTGGGCGTCTGTGATTCCGTGTCTCAGGGACCTGTTACATCTGCGGGGCAAACGCCCGCGAACAGCCGTGCTGGGTCAGGGCCGCGCGTGTGTCCTGGTGGGCGCTGCCACGTTCCCCTCCGTGGACGTGGCGCCCGGCGTCCCCGTTTGGGGTGGGAGCATGCCTGTCTCCCCCAGCCTCGCCCGCAGGTAGTGCTGCTGGGCTTCTGCACGTTCACTGGCCGGAAAGGAAAGAAGTGGTATTTCAGTGTTGCTTTAATCTGCGTTCCTCTCTTTTTGAATGAAATAGGACATCTTTTCGGTGTGTCTTTGTCTGTGAGTTCTCTGTTTATCTCTTTCTCTGTGAATTGTCTTTCCTCCCCCACCCCCATTTTATTGAGATGTGATTGGCATACACACTGTATAGGTTTAAGGCCGTAGGACATAATTATTTGAAATACTTATATGTTGTGAAACAAGTATCCCAATGTGTAGGAAACACCTATCACTTCACATCGTTACAGATTTTTTTATGACTTTTATCCATTTTTCTGTCTTTTTTCATTCTTTTCCTTGATTTTTTTTTAAGGAATTCTTTATAAATTAGAATGATCAGTCCTTTTTCTGTCATGTAAGTTGTATTTTCTCTCCCTTTTTCATCTGTCGAGCGACTCATGGTCTGTTTCCTTGGCCATGTGTTATCATCAATTGTGCGGTTGAAGTAACAGGCTTATGTAGGGCCATGTTTTGAGACACCAATTACAGGTAACAATTTACTTACAAGAGTTAATAAAATGGAAAACTCACAAAATAAAGACAAAACCCAAAATGACCTTTCCAAGCCCCAGGCAAACAAGGCTCGTCTGTAAAGCGTGTTCATGCCAGGACAACGCTGGAGTTAACATACTGCATAACTGAGTCAAAATTCAGAATATTTTTGCAGCCGGGGCCAAATGCACAGCCTACCAAATTGAGTAGAAATAACATTTTGTGTTTAGACTTCAAAACATCCAGTTCATAGGTTCAAGACTGGGGGCGCCGGGCTGCACTGAAGTCCGTGCGCGCACTTCGGGGTTTAGTTGACCACGCACGCGCTTGTCCGGAAGCCTGGCGGGATGCTCCGCTTGCTGAAAGAAAAGGTGTTCCCAGAGCGAAGAGTGGCAGCTCCTGCTGCTCAGGGAGAAATGGCCCCCGGTCCTCGACGCTCACCGGACCGCATCCTGAACGGGGTGTTCCGCTTTGGGGACCAGAAGTTGAGAGGGTCACGGACATCCGCGAGCAAGTCCACGGCAGGGAGTCCGGGGTGTGACGGTCTGGGAGGCATCTCAGGAACTGAGAGATTTTATCTGGAGAAGGGAAAGCAAGGAACCCCTGAAGCATTTCGGGACCACACGTGGAGGAGAGGTCAGAATTGTTGGGTCGTGCTCCAGCGAGCTGGCCTGGGACCCGTGGTCGTGGCCCCAGGGATCAGGCTCCCTCTGAAGGGAACCTCGTCAGTGGGTGCTGCAGGTGAGGGCGGGGCTGCTCGGAACCTGCCAGCTCCCTGCGGCCCAGGAGTTTGGCTAGAAGTGCCGGGGCCCGCGGGAGGGTTCTCTGACGGAAGCGTCGGGTCGGCCTAGAGGTCAGCCAGCGGAGGGCTGCGGCTGTGCGAGGCATTCTAGGCGCCTGGTTCTTGTCTGGCTCGTGCAGAGCCATGTCTCCTTTCTTCCTGGTATCTTCCGTTTGTGCAGAACCACAGCAGGTGGGATCTTTGGGCTGATGTAAGCAGACAAAAACCTCGGAAAAAGGTTCATCGGTAGCCTTTAATGTTAACGCGTGTCAGCGTTGCGTGTGGGCCAAGATGCTGAGCAGCTTCTGGGCGCAGGCGCCGTGCCTTGCACAGGACGGGGTCAGGGCCCAGGCGGCAGCTGGCCCCCCACCTCCCCTTGATAGCCAGTGGCGGCCGTTGTCCGTCGGCTGCAGCGATAGCATCTCAGTGTGAACGGTACTTGCTTAAGCCCCCTGCGCGGGGTCCTCAGCGCAGCCCCCACGGCGGTCTCATTGTCAAACTTGAGTGGGCACATGAGCCAGGCGGGATGGGGCGCACGTGGAGAGCACTGGGGGAGCCCAAGGTGCCCGGCTGCCCGGCTGGCGAGCGCCAGTCAGGGACCCCCTGGAGGTGCGTGGTCTAAAAGCAGCAGCCCCCCACCCGCCGTGTGCTGCCCATAAACTGCTTGGAACAGAAGCGCCCGCCCCTGCCTGCTGTTTCAAGTGCAGATTCCTGGGCTGCACCTCTGGCCTCAGGGACCAGAATCGAGCGGTGGGGCCATCAGCCCTGTGAGCTGGCACAGCAGGCGATTGATTCTTTGGTACCTTCATGGTTTGAACCGCTCGCCTCGGTGGGATTAATAGGGTTGTTTAGAACAGAGGGACACGTCGCTCAAGGGCCACCGGCAGCCGCACGCAGCATAGCTGCCTCCGTAGGGCTTGGTGGGGAAGGCGCGGGGGGTGGGGGAGCTCTGGGCGAGCCGGCGGCCGCTCTCCTGCCCAGGTGACTCGATCCCACTCGATGAACCCTCTCCTGTCCCCTGCTCTCCCCTGCCCTTCCAGACGACCAGCATGCTGCGCCCACCCCCCGCCCTGGCGCGCTGACCATGAGCCTCAACTCCTCGCTGGGCCGCCGGAAGGAGCTGAGCAACCTCACGGAGGCGGTGGCCGGCGGAGGGGGCGTGGTCGTCGCTGAGTTCATCGCCATTGTCGTCATCACCGTTTTCGTCTGCCTGGGCAACCTGGTCATCGTGGTCACCTTGTACAGGAAGTCCTACCTCCTCACCCTCAGCAACAAGTTCGTCTTCAGCCTGACCCTGTCCAACTTCCTGCTGTCGCTGCTGGTGCTGCCCTTCGTAGTGACGAGCTCCGTCCGGCGGCGATGGGTCTTCGGGGTCGTCTGGTGCAACTTCTCCGCCCTCTTGTACCTGCTCATCAGCTCGGCCAGCATGCTCACCCTCGGGGTCATCGCCATCGACCGGTACGCTGGCCGCACACCAGGGAGGCGAGGGATTAAGGGCAGTGTGCGGAGGGGACCCTCCGGGCGGCGTCTGGCCCAGGACGGTCACGCTGAGTTCCCAGGGAGGTGCCCGGGGAGAGGGCGAGACAGCGGAGCTCAGCCTTTGCTCCTGTCCCCCCAGCTAGAGGCCCTTGGGTTTTTTCTCATCATAGTTTTATTTTTTTTATTAATTAAATGTTTCTTTGCCGCCACATTCTGTCCAGTGCCATTGAACACGGCCCAGAGCCCTCTTCGGGCCGCGTGGGAGAGGCCGCAGCCCGGCCAGAGGCTGGCGCTGGACACCTGAGCCCAGCGCCCGTGTGTACGTCATCTGTAATGTTTGTATGTTTTTACATGTGATTCTCTCTGTAATGTTATTCTTCAAAAGAGGTTCCATGGTTTAAAGAACGTTCTAAAGACCTCAGATTCTTAGCTCAGAGATGGAAAGCAGGCTGAGGACGTTAGAAGGAGGTTAGACCTGCTGTCTGCTCTCCGTTACCTACTTGGGTCAGAGCTGGGCTGGGCGGGGCACAGTCCCCTGTACAGGGACCTCCGTGCAGGGAGGAGGGGAGCAGGGGAGGCCGACGGCCCAAGGAGTGGAGACGGGGGCCCCCGGGAGAGGCTGCGTGTGCTTTCAACAGTCAGGGTCGTCCCTCCTGGTGGAGTCGCGGACGCCGCTGGTCGGACGCGGCCCTGCCGAGGCCCCTCGGCTGTTCCCAGCAGGTGCGTCAGGCCCCCGCGTCGCGCTGGCTGTCCGGGGGCTCTGCAAGCCTCGTGGCCCTGACAGCGCCGGTCCACCCCCAGCTTCCACTGGCGGGTTGGCGTTCTGCTGGCGGTCACGTCGTCGTTTGTCCCAGGCAAATGGTGCCCTTCCGGGGCGGGGGCGGGGACAGGGAGCGGAGATCCGGGTTCCGCCCGACTTGCAGAATTGGGGAGGAAGCTGGCTGGGGACTCGGGGAAACGCAGAGAGGACGAGCCTGCGATGCTGTCATTGGGGGCCGTAAATCCCCGGGTTCTCTTGGGACCATGGGGATTTTAGCTGGATTGCCTGAGGCTGGGCTGCCGCTGGCTGTCCGTCCGCAGGGTGGAGGGCGTAGGGTGAAGGAAGCGACGGGTCATACCCCGGCGGGGTGCGTGGACCTCCGGAGCTCGGACCGCGGCCCGTTAGCTACCGAGAGGAGGACCCGGGCTCGGTATAGTCGCTGTGCCTCCGGGGGCGGCGTCCGTTGGCGTAGGTTTGTCCTTCTTTGCAGCTGACCCCTCCATCAGAACCAGAATCTTTATCAAAGTTGTTGGTCTCAGGCTGGAGAGGAAAACGTTGGCGCCCGTACATGCACCACAGCTTTTGAGTTGCCCGTGGCATCGGAAGAGCCTCTTTGGGAACCAGGGTCGTGCTCGGGTCCCTGTCCGAAAGCGAGCCGCCCCTGTAGGACCGATGGAGACCTTCAGAAGACGCTGGGGGCCGGAAGCAGAGGGACCCCCTGATCCCGGCCCGTTCCCCCGCGCGGGAGAGGGCGTTGCTCTTTCCTCTGTTTCCCTTTGAATCTGCAGCGAGGCCTACCTGAGGCTTAAACTTAAGTCTCAAGTCTGTGAAATCCATGTTTTGGTGGGGAGATGAGAAAATGTTTTCTACCTCGATGGAGGTGTAGATCTGTGCATGTCAACGTACATGCATTTTACCCCCGGGTCCCCCTAAAACCAGCGTCACTGCCCCCGCCCCCCGCGGGTGTGGGCTGCGCTCTGGCCCGTCTGGCGGGCTTCCTGGGGCGGGCGGGCCCCTGGGACTCGGGCGCAGCTGGGAGACATCACTGTCACATCCACTGGGCTTGCTCACGCCAGAACCCTAGTCAGCCAGTGATATAAACACCATTTGTTACAGCAAAGCAGAGTCTCACCATAAAATAATGGCAGTCACGGGGTCTTGAGAACAGCCAGAAGACCGCGTTGCCGAGGACAGCTTACTCATTGTAATTGTTCTCACGGCTGCCAGGCCGGGCTGGTCCAAGGAGCAAGGGACAGGTGGCGTGGCCGGCCCGGGCTTCCCAGCCCACCGTGCTGCCTCCCCGAGGCGTCTGAGGCCGGGGGCCCCGCACATCCTGTCGGGGGGCAGAGGACGGAGAAAGGAGCCTTGATTCTCCTTGGAAGGGAAGGGCACCTCCCCAGAAGTGACCCCGCCACCTCCCCTCACATTTCATTTGCCAGATGATGTCACACAGGTCAGCGTCTCGACCGGTCACCTGGCAAGGTGACCATCAGAACGGCCCGATTCGACCCCCAGGACTCAGACGAGCCCAGTGTCCCCTGTGGTCACAGCGCTTTTCCAGGAGCGCAGACAAGAGGGGGCCCCACCCTCAAGGCAGAAGGGGAGCAACGGGGTGGCCCCGCCCAGACCTCACGAGCGCCCCCTGCCCTGTGCAGGGTGGCGCAGAGCTGGCCCGATCGAGGCTCCGTGGTTGTTTCACAGATGAAGGAACAGGGGCCCTGAGGGGGCACAGCGGCTCCCCCAGGGCCCGCAGCCCGCAGAGCCCCGTCTGAACCCAGACCCGGGCAGCTCCGGACGCCGGCTCCCCTTTCTGTGCCGCCGCTGGGCCCAGTGACGTGCAGACCCAAGTAGCAGTGCAACATAGGCACGGCCGTGCCAGGGCCGCGGGCAGCCGTGGTGGGTGCCGGGAACGCTCTTTCCCGGCCAGACCTCAGCGGCGTGAGTCGGGCAGCCTCAGGGTGACCTCTGAGCCGTGTCCCCACGTGGCGACGCAAGGCGACCCTGGCGCAGGAGATGGCATCACGGTGATGCGTGAGGCTCGTAGCCACGGTCATTCCTGACATCCTGCCTGCGTCAGGCGGCATCAGCCTGACTCCCCGTCCCTGTCACGGGCCACGCTCCTGTGGGGACGCCCCTTCACTGCGCGGCCTTTCCTTTGGGCCAAGTGTCTGGGCGGGGGGCGCGCTCGGCCCAGGGAGGCAGCGGGGGCCGCCCTGCTGCGTTCTCTGCTCTGACGCCTCTCTCGCCTCCCGCCATCCCTTTCCAGCTATTACGCCGTGCTGTACCCCATGGTGTACCCCACGAAGATCACGGGGAACCGAGCCGTCCTGGCGCTTGTCTACATCTGGCTTCACTCCCTCATTGGCTGCCTGCCACCCCTGTTCGGCTGGTCGTCAGTGGAGTTTGACGAGTTCAAGTGGATGTGCGTGGCCGCCTGGCACCGGGAGCCCGGCTACACCGCCTTCTGGCAGGTCTGGTGCGCGCTGTTCCCCTTCCTGGCCATGCTCGTGTGCTACGGCTTCATCTTCCGCGTGGCCAGGGTCAAGGCCCGCAAGGTGCACTGCGGCACCGTGGTCACGGCCGAGCGCGACGCGCAGCGGCCCGGGAGGAAGAACTCCAGCACCTCCACCTCCTCCTCCGGCAGCCGCAGGAACGCCTTCCAGGGCGTCGTCTACTCGGCCAACCAGTGCAAAGCGCTCGTCACCATCCTGGTGGTCATCGGGGCCTTCATGGGCACCTGGGGCCCCTATCTGGGCGTCATCACCTCGGAGGCCCTCTGGGGGGAGAACTGCGTCTCCCCGAGCCTGGAGACCTGGGCCACATGGCTGAGCTTCACCAGCGCCATCTGCCACCCCCTCATCTACGGACTCTGGAACAAGACCGTTCGCAAGGAGCTGCTGGGCATGTGCTTTGGGGACCGGTACTATCGGGAACCGTTCGTCCAGCGGCAGAGGACGTCCAGGCTGTTCAGCATCTCCAACAGGATCACAGGTAACGTGGGCGCCTGTCGGGGGAGGGGCGCTCCCCGCGGCCCAGCGCAGGCTGCGGTCCCCTCGGCCGACACGGTCCCCTCGGCCGGCACGGTCCCCTCGGCCGGCACGGTGAGCGTGGAGGTCTCACACTGCCTGCGGCCTCAAGGTGCCCACGCGCAGGCTTCCTTTGGGGACGTCCCCGAGGGTCCCCGAGCAGCTCAAGGCAGGGGACGCCGGAGCTCAGTCATCCGTTTTCTCTTACCGCAGCCGCGTCCCGCCAGCCTCGGGGGTCACGAACTCGTAATTCTAGGGTCATGTCGGAGGGGGGCCATCCCCTGGCCACGCTATTGGGAGAGAGGCGTTGAGGGCGTTTACCAGGTATTTCCGGAAATACGGCTGCAGATCTTGTCTCAGGCTGACGACTTTGGGCGACTCAAACACTCAAGTTGACGTCTCCTCTTCAGGAAGTAGGAAGGTCGCCCACCTTCCCTCTCAGGCGGGTGGAAAGCACAGTCCTAATTGCCTCCAGTCCTCAGTGACGGTGATGATAGGACACTCTCTCCGTGAGGCCAGCATCCCTGGTTTATTCCGGGCTTGATGGAGTGTTACTTTTTGAGAGACGAAGGAATCCTGGGACTTTTTTTTTTTTTTTTTGTGGTGACCGAAGGAGAGAATAAATCCCCTGTATCCCAGTATTTGAATCCCAGAAGTGCCCACTCCCCCAACACATGCAAGACCCCGTTGTCACGTGTGACTCGTGAGCCAGGAGCACGTTCAGGGTTTGCTTTCGTTTCACTGATTAACTTCTCAGTTCAGATTTTGTAATGTCGCTTATCTTCCAGGCCAAAAAAAAAACAAACAGTAATAATAATTAAATGTTTCCTATTCCAATGACGTTAAGAGTGAGGAAGGGGGGGGAATGAGGAGGGGGGGGAATGAGGAGGGGGAGGGAGGGGGAGGGGGTAGACAGAACAGAAAGAAACGTCTGCTTCTCGGGCCAAGATTTCCCATGCAAGTGGCCGGGACTGCCCGGGAGTTGCCCGCGAGGCTGTGGGGACGGCGGGGAACGCCAGCTGTGGCCGGGTTGGCAAGTTCAAGGCAGCCAGCGGTCTCCAGCTCATTGAGGGAAAAGCCGGTTTGTGGGCTCATCTGGGGTTGAAGAGTGTGTGGGATAAACGCTGTTGGCCTTCTCCCGGAATGGGAGCTGGTGGGGCCCTGCTGTCTCTTCCCTGGAGGTTCTCGGGAGGAGGCCAGCAGCACCAGCACGTCTTGGAAACGGCGCAGAATGCAGCGCCCACCCGCTGGGCACCCCACCTCCACTCCCCCACGGGTCCCTCGGGCGGAGCCAAGGCGGAGCAGACCCTGGCCTAGCGCCCTCTGTGGGCACAACTTGGAAGTGCAGGAGACGCCTCAACCCCAGTCCCAAGCCTGCCCCAGGCCTCCCCCTAACCCTAGGTGGAGGTGTCCAGCTTGCGCCCAGCTCCCAGGCTGCGTGCAGCCCGGGATGGCTGTGAACACGGCCCAACACAAAATCGTAGATTCACTTAAAACATTATGAGATTTTGTTTGTGTGTTTGTTAGTGTTTGTGTATTTAATGCGTGGCCCGGAGACGCCAGGCGGCTGGACACCCGTGAGGGTGCAGGACCGTTGGTTGTCGTCCGGGACCCGGAAGGGTGGATGGTAAGACCTACCCCCAAAGCCAGCACGGAACGACCGGAAGGCCGCCTTGCCCTCGGGCCGCCCCATTTGCATGGGTACCCGCAAAGCCTGACCCAGGGACCGGGACTTGGGATCATCATCCTTCCTGACCAGGCCTGTGGGCAAAGGCCGAGTGGAATTCCCGAAATACCCGGGACCCTCCCGCCGAGCCTGGGAAGCCAGGCGCTTTCTGAACATGTTGTCAGGCTTTGGCTTCGTATGTACATGTCAGCCCCCATCAGTGGGTTTTGGTTGTCTCACTCTGTGAGCCTCCCGTGAAGTGCCAAAGGTCAGGTGTTCCCTGGGGTGCCCGCTGTCACTGGGCCACCAAAGTAGCGTCTGCTGGCGAGGTCTCATTAGCGGACCCCCCTGGGCCCCGCTGGGAATTTTAAGGGCGGCCCGGACGTCGCGGGAGGGCAGCCTCTCCGAACGGCACTCGCCTAATGCTTCTGGGGACCAGGACCCCTCCTCGCATTTCCTCAGGGGCCACGCCTTGCTCCTGGGCGCCTTTGCCAGGTCTGGGCTGGAGGGCGGAGGGGCCGCGCTGGAGGCTCCGAATTTCGCCCCTTGCTTCTCCAGCCTCCTTTCCTGGGGGCCCCCGGCGGTCCCCCAGTTCCGTCACAACGCCTGTTCACTTGCTGGAGGAAGGGCGCGCCTGCTCTTCCAGCCCCAGACACCACTCGTGATTCTTCTAGCTGCCCCAGGCTCTGACCCCTGTGGTCCTGCCTGTTGCTTCGAGCCTTTAAAAAAAACCCCGAAAGCCTTTGTAATGGGTCGGATAGGTTATTTCAGGCGAAAAACCTCAGGCTCCTGCCCCCACCTCAGTGGCAGGTGACCGAGGGACACAGAACGGCGAGGCCACCGGGCCGCACTGCCCCAGGCCGGCTGGCTGAGCCGCACGGGTCTGGCTGCCACGCTCCTCCCGCCGGGGGAGACCGGGGCTTGTTCCTGGCTTGGGCCGCAGCCTCAGAGACAGTGTCCAAACCCCACTGTGGCCTCAGCCTGCCCAGCTGGCAGGAGCTGGTGCTCGCCAGCTCCTCCCCGGGCCTGGTTCCCTGCAGGGACACAGGCCTCTTGGCCGGGGGGTGGGGGGGTGGAGGCGGTCGCCTGGTGGTCTTCTCGGGCCCCAGCCGACCACACCCACCCCGGGCGGGACGGGAATTCCGAGCGTGATGAAGGGGAAGGTTGCAAGCAGCCTGCCCTCCCCTGCCTCCATCGTGCCCTCCTCGGCTCCGGAAGACAGTAGGTCTGTCACCAGTCCCCACGGAAAAGTCAGGTTAAAAGTCAAGGGTGCTGTGCCCTCCTCTCTGAGGGTGGTCCTGGCCAGCAGGGCCTCGGTCTGCCAGGCTGCAGGTCTCCCTTGGCAGAGGGGGCTTGGGTGTCCGATCCCGGAGTCCTCATTTCTGGGAGCTCCTCTGTGCTGCCTCCACGCTCTGGCGGCCTCTTCCGCTCACGGGTCGTTGTTCTCTCAGCCTTCCCGGGCTCCCCTGCCTTGCCCGCTCTGAGATCCCTTTCTCTGTCCTTACTTTTTTATTCCTCTGTCTCTAAAGCCAGCGCCTTTCCTCATGTGCCTGGGGTTCTGGGCTGTCTCTCCGTCACAAACAACAAGGCCCGGGCAGGCGGCACGCGGGCTGCAGGGCGTCTGGCCGTCCGTTTCCACTGTCCCTGAGGCCAGGCCTCCGGTTCCCTCCCCTCCGCTGTCCCGCTGGCACCGGGGACCCACCGCTTCCTGCGAAGACTTGCTGTTGAGCCCACCTGCCTGCAGAGACTGCCAGGCGCCCCTTCCTGAGCTTCGGGGCCCGGGGTGAGAGCCAGTCTCCCCAGCCTGGGCCCACCGCCCATGCCAGCTCTGCCCCTTCTGCCCACCGCCCCGCTCACAGGCGCTCTCTCCTGCTCTGGGGTTTAAACTTCTGGTAAAAAATTCCCTTTCGATGTTCAAGTGGGATTTCAGGAGGTTGGCGGGCACTCCGGTTCCACGTCGAGCTGGAGAATCACCCAGGACTATCCACCTGTTTTCTCCCCCGCCTGCCTCGCCGGTGTGACGTTGTCATGGGAAGGCCCCTCTGGGGACCCGTCCCCCGTGTCACAATGCAGACAGCGCTGGGCCAGGAGCAGGGGCACAGCGGGGAAGGCAGCAGCAGAGGGCTTGCTGCCCGTCGATGGCTTGAGAGCACGTTTTGCGGGGAGGGGGGGCCGGCCGCCGAGGGGCGGCAGGACGTGCAGTCAGTGCCGACTTTGCCTTTCAGACCTGGGCCTGTCCCCACACCTCACGGCGCTGATGGCCAGCGGGCAGCCCCTGGGGAACAGCAGCAGCACAGGCGACACCGGCTTCAGCTGCTCCCAGGACTCAGGTGAGCCTTGGCCAGGCGGCGCCCCGTCTGCCTCCCTGGCGCGGCGGTGGGCGCGGGCGGGGGCCCCTCCCGAGCCGCGTGGAAGGAGCGTGGGGGCCGGAGTTAGGCAGGGCCTCCCGTCATGGCTTGTCTTCTGGGCCTCAGTTTCCTCCTGTATAAAACAGGGATCTCAGGTCTGTTCTCTCGGACGCCTGGGGTGGTTATGAGATTCAAATTAAGCGAAAGCCTTTGAAAAGTAAAAATGCCAAGTGATTGTGTTCTGACTATAACGACCGGCAGCCTGGGCCGGCTCTGGAGTCTGGCTTTTCACCATGAGCTGCGTGATGCCAGGCACGTTGCTTCCTCTCCTAAATCTTTGAGGTTCCACATCTGTGCATCAATCAGGGAGAGCAGTCACTGGGCCGGGTAGTCCCAGCAAGGTCCGCTACCCTCCCTGGTCACGTCGTACGTACCCTGCGCTGCAGGGCCCGTGAGGTCAGGGTCTCTCCTGGCTGCCCGTGGGGAGCTGGCTGCCACCTCTGTGCCTGCCACGCATGTTGTCGGGCTCTCAGGAAGCCCCGGATGGGGGGCGAGAGGGCAGAGGCCGGCGGAGTCTTGCCACCAGCAGTCCGTGGCTCCGTGAGGCTGGAGAAGTGCCACACGTTAGCTGGCCTAGGGCTCTGGCATGGAGAGAGCCTCAGGGAGCCCTGGGTCACGAAGCACCAGGCTGGGCAGTGGGTACTTTGCTGGCAGCTTTAGAAAAGTCATCTTTGCCTTGACCTATGTTTCTTTGCCTGAGCCTGTGTCATGGAACTCTGGGGGGGCAGGCCGTGGGCAGGCACCAGGACAGGCCTTCTGTCCCGGAATTTTCCCTGAGAATGTTTTCACCTGGCAACAGGGAGTGTTGACCCACTGGTCACGCCACCCCCTGTAGTCCCGAGTCCCTTGTGTGGTTTGAAGGAAGGGAAGGGTCTCTGTCACCCATCGGGTTATTCCCCCCATTCTCAGACAACCAGCAGGGGTCCAGAGACACTGTGACGTTCAATCATTCCACAAATGTTTGCCAAGCCCTTCTCTTGGCCAGACATCACTGTGCTAAGTTCCAGAGACACAGCGGTGAACTGCCCTCCTGGGACTTTCAGTCTGGTGGGGAGACAGATCTTCCATATACTTGAAATGGGTACGTGGCGTGGCATAGGAACTACACCTCAATAATTTTGCTGTTCAAAGATTGTGAGAGACTTCCAGTCAAGATGGCGGAGTAGAAAAACACTGTTCACCTCCTCCCACAAGCACATGAAAATTACAACTAAATTATAGAACAGCCATCATTAAGAACCATCTGAAGATAGCCAAACAGAACCCTCGCAACTAAGGATATAAAGAAGCCACAATGAGACTGGTAGGAGGGACAGAGGCACCGAACGGGAGGGTCTCACACCCACATGTCACAGTTAAGAATCAGGAGGGATGTCGCAACTGCACAGTGCCCCCTGAGGAGCGGGGGCCTCAGCCCCATGCCCTGCTCCATAGCTCAGAGCACCAGTACCAGGAAGAGGAGTTGCCCAGGCTGTGGAAGTCACCAGGGATTCAATCGGGGTGAGACAGAAGGGTGCTGCAGACCCAGGCGTCCTGTTTAAGGGCCTGAGCTCACAAACGCTCACCCTGAGCTCCAGCAAAGGGATAGCAGCTCAAAACCACCAGGGACGTACCTGGAGAAGCTAAACTGTCTGGCTTCAGGGTGAGGGCTGGCGGGGCAGCTCTCACCGGGACAGAAGGGCGGGCAGGTGCCATTGCCCCGTTGTTGAGCCCTCTCGTCACCCGGCCTTCAGGCGTGGGCACCAAGTCTGAGTCTCCATCATCCTGGGTCTCACCTCCTACCCGACCCAGGCGATTCCCTGAGACCTCCATCTCCCACCCATCTTGTGCACTGGCTGAATCTTTCAGTGGCTTTTCCTCACAAGTGGCCAGCCTCTGCTGGTGCTGCAGACTTTCCTAAAATTTCTCAATGGTCCACAGACCCTCAAAAAGCAGCATCTGGCCTGTGCACGGTCTGTAGCTCTTGCTGAGTGGCCCCAAGCCCAGCAAGAGTAGCAGCCAGCCTCAGTTCACAGCATAGCCTCTCCCAGGCACCTTCATTTCCAGCATAGGCAACTACCAACTGCAGATCACTTCGTGGCTCCTGCAGGTGGCCTCAGGCCAGGCACAGGCAGCAGCTGACCTTGGCTTGCACTGAAGCCCTCCCACAAGGCGCCAAAGCCAATACACCCAGTGGTCAGCTTCAGACCACACCAGAGCACCACCTAACCAGCTCCACAGACAACACACCCAAAGGGTGGACTCAGCTGGAACCTGAGTCCCACTGAAGTGAGTCCTGCTCCATGGGGTCTGCCCCTGCACAATGGCTCATCCACTGTGGTCATGGCCAGAAAACCTGAGGTCAGTCCCACCCACTGACATGCCAACCGCAATCCAGGCTCAACTACAACAGGAGGGTAGAGACAGTCCGCACATGGGACACCCATGGAGCATCCAGCTCAGGTGACCAGGGAGGCTGCACCACTGGGCCTCATAGGACACCTCCTGCGCCGGGGCTCCCTCTGAAGGCCGGGAGGTGTAGCAGCTCCACCTAACGCTTATAGAAACAAGCACAGGGAGGCGGCCAAAATGAGATGAGGAATTATGTCCCAAATGAAAGAATGGGAGGACGTCAGAAAAAGAACTAAATGAAATGAAGGCAAACAGTCTGCCAGATGCAGAGTTCAAAACGCTGGTTATGAGGATGCACAGTAACATAGGGGAAGAACAGATGACCTCAGGGAGAACCTAAGAGGCAGAAACCATAAAAAAGAGCTAGTCAGAAATGAAGACTACAGTATCTGAAAAGAAGAACACATTAGAGGGAACCAACAGCAGATTAGATGAAGCAAAGGATTGAATCAGTGCTTTGGAAGACCAGGTAGCAGAAAACACCTACTCAGAACAGCAAAAACAAAAAGAATTTTAAAAAATGAGGATAGTTGAAGGGACCTCTGGGACAATATCAAGTGTAACAACGTTTGCAGCATAGGGTGCCAGAAGAAGAAAGAGATCAAAGACTGAACACCTGTCTGATGAAGTGATGATGACTGGAAACTTTTGTAACCTAGTGAGGAAATAGACATACAAGTCCAGGGAGTGCCGAGTCCCAAACAAGATGAACCCAAAGAAGCCCGCAGTGAGACACATTACAATAAAATGGCAAAGATTAAAAACAAAGAAGGAATCTTAAAAGCAGCAAGAGAAAAGCAGTTAGCTACCTACAAGGGAGCTCCCTTAAGACTGACAGCTGATTTCTCAACAGGAAAATTTCAGGCCAGAGGGATTGGCATGAAGAATATTCAAAGTGATGAAAAGCAAGGACCTACAACCAAGATTACTCTACCCAGTAAAGCTGTCGTTTGGAATCAAAAGGCAGATAAAGAGCTTCCCAGATAAGAAAAAGCTAACGAGTTCATTACCACTGAACGAGTATTACATGAAATGTTAAAGGGACTTCTTTAAGCAAAAGAATAAAAAACATATCTAAAATATGAATAATAAAGTGCTAATAATTATATTATCTATCAACAATTACTTCAAATGTAAATTGATTATATTACATACAAGAACAGACACAAAATTGGTTAAAGGGTTAAATGTAAGGCCTGAAACCATAAAACTCCTGGAAGAAAAAATAGGCAGTAAGCACTTTGACGTTGCTCATAGTAATATCTTTTTGAATATACCTCCTCAATCAAGGGAAACAAAAGAAGAAAGGAACAAATTGAACTACATTAAACTAAAAAGATTTTGCACTGCAAATGAAACCATCAACAAAATGAAAAGACAACCAACCAAATGGAGGAAGATATTCACCGCTAATGCATATGACAAAGGGCTAATTGCAGAATGTGTGAGGAACTCATATAATTTACAAAAAACAAACAAACAAAAACCTGCACAAAAAAATTGATTAAAAAATGGGCAGAGGACCTGACTAGACATTTCCCCAAAGAGGACATACAGATGGCCAATAGACATACAAAAAGACACTCAACGGCACTAATCATCAGAAAAATGCAAATCAAAACCACAACGAGATCTCTCCTCGCACCTGTCAGAATGGCCATCATCAGTGAATCAACAAGCAACGGGAGCGGGTGAAGATGTGGAGAAAAGGGGGCCCTTGTGCACTGTCGGTGGGCTTATAAATTAGTGCAGCCACTATGGAAATCAGTGTGGAGGTTTTGCAAAAATCAAACATACAACCACCATGTGATCCAGCAATCCCACTTCTGGGTATGTATCCACACAAAAAACAAACTTAAAACGAAAGCACTAACTTGAAAAGATATATGCCCCCGCATGTTCCTTGCAGCATTAATTACAACAGCTGAGATACAGAAGCAGCCCAGGTAGCCACTGATGGGTGATCGGATAAAGAAGATGTGGTACGTATCTACACTGGAATATCATTCAGCCATAAAAAGAATGAAATCTTACCATTTGCAACAACATGGATGGACCTAGAGGGTATTATGCTAAGTGAAATAAGAGAGAGAAAGAGGCCTACCATATGATTTCACCTATATGTGGATTCTAAACAAACACCAGATAAACAAAACAAAAACAAACTCATAGAGACCGGGGCGAACCGAGGGTTTCCAGGGGGGAAGGGGGCTGGGCTGCGGGGAAAAGGTGAAGAGGGATTAAGAGGTAGAAATTGGCAAGTACAGTCACAGGGCTGTGGCGCACAGCACAGGAAACATAGTCACTAACATTGTAGTAACTGTCTGATGCCCGGTGGGTGCGAGCCATATCGGGGGCCACTCTGTAAGATCCATACATGTGTGACCACTGTGCTGGACACCCGAAACTGATAGGATATTGAACGTCAACTGTAATTGAGAAATACATATTTACTTAACGTATTTTAACCACAGTAATAGAAATTCAGACTGTAAGAGGAATCGCTCAAAATGCAAAGCTCTTGTCCTGGGCCCCCTCCTCCACGCAGCCCTCCTCCCCTGCCCCAGTCCAGGTCTGGCCCACGGAGCGCTCCGCGTGCGCCCGCTGTGGCTCGGGACCCACCACTACGTAACACCTGTTACGTGACTGAAGCGGCCCCGAGGGCCGGCTGCGCCCCCTCGGAACGGGGCGCCTCAGCGTTGCTTTCCTGGGCAGCTGCTGCAGGGCAGCTCGGTGCACTTGACGTGGGGTGGCATCGGTGGGAGAACGCGTGCCCGGTGGTCGGGAGGGGGTGGGTGAGGAGGAGATGGCCAGTGCCTTGTGCACAGCCTGACCTTGGTTTCAGGGACAGATGTGATGCTGCTGGAAGACTACACGTCTGATGACCAGCCTCCCTCCCACTGCACTTGTCCCCCCAAGAGGAGGAGCTCGGTGACCTTCGAGGACGAAGTGGAACAGATCAAAGGTCAGTTTCAGTGGCTGACAGCTTCCCGACAACACGGGGGAAGGGAAGGATGTTGGGAGAATGCGTGGCTCTTCCCGGTACCCGCCTTCACCCGCCGGCAGGCGGCCCCCAGCCCTGCAGTCTCCCTCCAGTCCTCGACTCCGCAGCCGCAGGACCAGGCCGCTGCCCAGCAGGCAGGCCGGGCTGTCGAGCTCCACCAGACACACACGTCCTCAGACCGACCCCGTCCTCCCCGCGGTGAGAGGCGCGGCAGGGACAGGCCGCATCCCTCCCCGTCTTCATTTTGGTTGCCGTGTCCTCATCCTGTGGGGTCGGGCACCTGAAGCTTAAATGGTACTTCCAACCCCGAGGTTGTCCATGACCTTGGGGACCTGAGCCAGGGCGGAGAGGACAGAGACGGCATGTGGGCTTGCGGCAGTTTAGAGGCAGGGACTTGCTGCTCCAGGGAGCCTGAGCACCGGAGAGCTCTCCCAAAGACGGCATTTCAGTGCCGTCGGTAGGAAGTGTCTATCGAGCCTTTCCCGTGAGCCAGACCTGGGCATCTGGGGAGGAACGGAGGGCAAATTGCAGACGCTGGGAGTGGAGGTCTAACTGATCCCCGCTTCGTAGAGGAGAAACTGGGGTCAGTGCCAGTCCCTCCGAAATTTCGCAGGCAGTAAGGTAGGGAGTCAGGACTTTGGCCCGGGAACCTGGCTTGCCCCCGCCCCCTGCCTTGTCTGCCTCCCCTCCGGGGGCAGCAGGAGAGTCACCGGTCCCTCGCTGACCTTTTCCCCTCCTTCTCCCTTAGAGGCTGCCAAGAACCCCATCCTCCACGTGAAAGCCGACGTGCACAAGTCTTTGGACAGTTACGCAGACAGCTTGGCCAAAGCCATAGAGGCTGAAGCCAAAGTCAACCTATTTGGGGAGGAGGCTTTGCCCGGGGTCTTGATGGTGGCGCGGACTGTCCCGGGGGCCGGCTTCGGGAGCCGCCCGGGAGGCCGCATCCTCGCGAGTCAGAAGCTGCAGCTGCAGAGCATCGAGGAAGGGAACGTTCTTGCCGCAGAACAGAAATGAGGGCCTCAGGGTGGCCTGTCCCCTGAGGTGGATGCCCGCGGCCAACCCGCTGAGTCGGGGCCCGGGAGCAGGGGGCAGGAACAGCACCTGGCGCACAGGCACCTGAAAAAACACCAAGAACTGTGTCCGGGGCCGGAGGCTTCAGGGTCGGCGCGAGCCCCCACGTGGGCTTCTCGCAGACCCCGTGATGGGACCAAAGGCATCAAAAGCACAAAGAAAAGCAGATGGAGGTGTGGCCGTGGCTTTCTGGGCGGCGGGGCGCGGAGGGGGGACTCGGGCCCAGTCTGGGAAGGAAGCACCGGGTGGGTCGTGCTCTGCTCTTGGCAGCCCGCACGCCCGCACCCTGTCCTCGAGGCGGGGGCCCAGGGGGCGGGCCTTCCCAGGACGCCCAGGCCTCTGCGGGGTCCCTAGAGGAGAACCCAGCCACAGGGCCCTCACGTCCCGTTCCCACACCTCATGGCTGGCTGGGATGTCGCCTCGGAGGAGCCCCCTGCTGGTGCCCCGGGGCAGTCACAGCCTCCTCCCTGCTTGCTGACCCTTTGCTCTTTCAAAAGAAGGGAGAAACCACTCTCACAGGAGGAAGGAGCAGGAACCCGGTGCTTCCTTTCCAGAATTTGTAAGAACACAAAGCGTTTGGTTAGGACATGCCATGGACTTGCCAAGCCTGAGCGGAGCCGCGGGGCCAGGCACAGTCAGGAGGTAGAGATATGGTTGTCATTAGAGAGACATCTCGCAGGAAAACCTCACCCGAGGGGCTCCGTCCATCTGTGATGCTTGATTGGCAGGAGAGGAGGCAGAACAGCAGCCGAGAGCTGAGCTTGGGATCCCCACCTGAGCGCCCGGCCTGGCTCCGCCCCATCTCACTCGGGCCACCTGGGCCTTCTGTCTCTTCTCTGGGCCGTGGGAAGATGGGGTAAGGGAGTGGGGCATCAGATCAGAGGGTCTTCAAGGTCATTTTCAACCGTGACCTTTGATGTCCTCTGTCAGGTAGAAATAGCGGGGGAGGGTGGACTAACGTCGCACAGCTTCCAAGGGTGGTCCCCAAGGTGCGTTTAGAGGCCGCAGGGCCAGCCCCGCCCTCCGGGTCCCAGGTGAGCAGCCAAGGCCGGCTGTGTCTGCCCGGGCAGCTGCCCCTGAGGCTCACCAGCTTGTGTTGCCGCTGGGGTCCTCCAGCTCCCCGAGAGGCGGTTCCTGTTGTGCTGTGTAAACAGCGGTTGGCTGGCCCCTCGTCTGCAGTTTGCAAAGACCGTGGCCGAGACCCGGGGCCACCACGGTGGTTGGGCTCACTGACAGCTTCTCCAGGCCGGGCAGGTGCTGGGCGCCGGGCAGGTGTGGGGCGGGAGGGGAAGAGGGCTTTTCTGGAGCAGAGGTGGCCTCGCCAGTGGGGTCTGCGCTAGAGGTGTGCAGCTCAGACCTGCTCTCGCCCTGGGGGCGTTCCTTAGTCAGAGGGCATTTTACATCGTCTCCCTGTGAGTTTTCCCAGCACTCGCATAGGTCGCAGAGGGGCACGTGGCGGGGAGGGGCAGGTCAGGATCACCCGGAGCGGCGCACCGGGGGGGCCTGAGGGCCCCCACTAGCTCAGAAACCCAGGGTTGGAGTGTGCGCCCCCTGGACCGCGCTGGGCTGGGCTGGGCTGCACGGAGGGTCCTGAGGCCCCAGGTCCCCACTGGCTGGGCCCGGACGAGCTGGGATTTACTGAGTCAAATCTGAGCCCGTCTAGAAATACCGCGCTTCCCAGGGGCACTCACTGTCCCCGCTCTTCCTGCTGCGGTCCATCGTTTATTCGCTCTGCAGACCCGCACGTGCACCGCGGGGCGCCAAGCCCGGCCCCGCGAGCAGTGATGATGCGTGTCAGCTCGTGCGGGGAGGGAGAGACCCGGGGACGCTGACGCTGTGAATGGCCAAGGCCAGCGGTGGTTAGAGACAGGACTGGGCTCCAGGGCCAGGTGACTACTTCCCGCTGGGGGGTGGGGAAGTAATCACTCCACGGAGGTGGCAGTGGGAGCCAAGCCTTGGAGGACGTTTGGCAGCTAGAACCACACTTTGCATAATGGAGAATTCAGATTTGCAGATTCGCCCGGGCGGGCGGGAGAGGGAGGGAGGGAGCCGGAGGCGGGTGGCAGGAGGATTGGGGGATCCCACGCATTCTCAAGCTTCCAGGAGCCATTTTGGAGGACACCGGCCCTTGGTGCAGGTCAGAACCCCAACCGTCCCCACGAAACCCAGCCCCTGTACACTCCTGGCGCCTCCCTGAGGGACGTAACCTGCACCGTGGCAGGGGGGACATACGGCCACTGAGAAGCCTCTGTCCTGTGTCTCCTGGTTTTGACAGGACCACGTTTAGGACTGCTGCCCCCCGCGGCTTCCTTGATTGGGACTGCCCCCGACTGTGCCCCAGGTACGGGGGCGGGGGCTGCTGGGACGCAGAGGCCTGGGAGCCCCAGGGCGCTCCGCGTGGCCTTCTGGCCCTCCTGGGGAGACTGGAGTTCGGCACCTTCACCACTAGGTGGCAGCAGTGGGACACACAAAGGTTACACCTGAAGTTCTTGCTGCAGGCAGAGCTCTGGCTCTGGACGAGTCTCCACTGCGTCCTCAGCCTTGGTAGAGCCACCCAGCTGGTTTACACAGGAGGCCTCCTGCGGGGAGGCAGGCTCTGTCCCGGCTCAGCCACGAGATGGTCAGCGACTGCCGTGAGGCGGGGCTGAGGACCAACACCAGGGCCACCAGGTGCTACGTTTCTTTCTCATCAGAGGAAGGAGAAGATACTGTCCATCTTTGCCTGCTGGTGAGCGGCCAGCGAGACTAATCAGCATTTGCAGTCGGCCAGGGGAGGGGGCAGGGCGGCCAGAGATCTGAGCCTGTTCCGTTTCATTGCAGGCACCATTTCCCATCCGACCGCGTCCCTGCACGTTAGAGACGCTTCTCTGCAGGCCCGGGATACGTTCCCCGCCCCTGAGTGTTCATTCCCAGGCGACGCTGTCCTGCTGGAAGGGACTGGGGGCAAGGTGGCCACGGGAGGGTGCGGCGGGGACCAGCACGCACTGAGCGCATGCTGTGTGCCTGCCTGCTGAGACATCGAGTGCCTGTTGCGCCCTCGGTTCAGGTGCGGGCAATGCTGGGAACAGAGCCGGCCTTGTGGGGCCGCGTGCCGGGCGCAGATCCGCGCTGCAGCTGCTGCTGCTGAGCTGCGTGGTCTTGGGTCTGTTCGTCTTCCCATGTCGGTTTTCTCATCTGTGAGAGGAGGTTTTGTCACCTGTTTCTATGTGGGGATGCAGGATGCAGGGCCTCCCGCGGCGTGGTGATGTGGGTGGACGTGCCCAGCACAGCATGTGGACGCACTGGCACCGAGTCCCTGCGGTCTCCTGTCCGCGACAAGGTGGGTGTCATCCTTGTGTCACGGGGGCCTGAGATGATGTTATCCTATGCGGGAGGGGTGGAGAACTGGTGGGAGCGAAAGATGGGGAGGAACAGGAAGGCCAGAGAGCAGAGGGGGAAGGCGACGTGGCATCAGCAGCCCCCGAGGGCCGAAGGAGCGAAAAGCGCCCATCATGGACGATGGGCCCCGGGGCCGGGGTGGACCCCACGTCGTGGCACGAGCTCGGCCTCCCGGCCCAGGGGAGGCGCGGCCCCGAGACGCAGCCTGGTCCTGCAGGGACAGGCAGCGCAGGCTCTCTGAGCCGCCTCCGCCCTGAGGGAAAGGCCGTGCAGGGGCAGTGGTCCCTGTCACTGCCCCCAGTGCGTGCGGGACCCCAGGTGAGCCGTCGGGGACGGGGGAGAAGGCACCCCTTCCGCCTGCCGTGCCGGGGAATGGCTGTGAGCACTTGTGCGTCGACCCCAAGAGGGGGCAGAGCCCAATGTTCCTTCTGGGTTGGGGACAGACGCACAGAATCCAGGGGGGCGCAGGAGTGAAAGGATTGTCCGAGGTCTCGAGGTGCATCAAGCGGCGCCAAGGCCAAACACCGGGTCTTGGCCTCGTGGCCCAGAAGGAAGGAGCCAGCGTTGCCCCGGAGGACAAGGGACAGTGGAAAGCTGTTAGAAGCTGGGCTTTATCCCAGGGGAGGAGCCACGGCAGTGCAGGGAGACGGGACGGGGTGCCTGCCAGCGAGGATCTGCGGGCCCCGTGGGGCGGGTCCCTGGGCAGGGCTCCCAGCGCAGACGCAGCCGCATTGGAGCTGCCGGAGCGCCTGTGCTCGGCGCTGCTCTGTGGACAATGTGGCGCCCACAGCGGGTCGGTTCCCCCAGGAAGCATGTTCCGGGGCTGTACCAATAGCTTGGGAAGCAGAGGCCACTTGTTTTCCCTTTCGACACCGCCATTCCCAGCTGTCACCGACCGTAGGCGAGTTAGCCCCCGCCAGCCCCCCACCCCACCCTTCGCGAGGGACAGTCCCCTCCTGTGTTCTGGCGATGGGACCCGGCGGCAAAAGCAGTTAAAACCATCCTTCAAATGAAATGACAAGCTAATCCTGAAATACATTTCACTTTTTTTTTTTAAAGATAAAAATGTTTAGGATTATGTCAGTATTTATAAACAAGTAAAAGTGCATTTAGAATAGTTTTGTTTACCTGATTAAACATGTGGTTCTGGTACGTGCACAGCTGTGGAAACTGTGAGTTTGTACTTGGACTTGTGGACCTTTTCGGGTGCCCCCTTCACGTCGTATCTTCGCTTCCTAAAGCCCCCAAAGCGGAAGGAGGCGGAGGAGGGAGGGCCGGCTGTTGCAGAGGTGGGGGCCGGGGGGCCCTGCGCAGCGTTTTCGAAGCTCCCCCGAGACGGTGAGACTCACGGAAGGTTGTCGAACACAGAGCAGATGCTCCTGACCCAAAGTTTTCCCTGGGGGTTCAGTCCAGCCCAGCACCAAAGTCAAGGGCGCATGGTGGTCGTCACTGAGACGCAAAACCTCCTCAGGCTTAAAGCCCACCCTCCTCAGCCCCTCGCCTGCCACCACTGAAGCCACAACGGTCCCTTTGCTGGGGGTGGGTGGAGGGGAGCTTTAACTTCTGGGGGTTCCCCCCACAGCACCCCCTGCGTCACAGCCACGACCGGCTGCCCTGCCTCTAGAACATCTTCTTTCTGCCATTTCACTGCTTGTCTGGCTCCCTAGGTTCCCTTGTAACATACAATCCCAAACTCTGCAAAATCACGGAAGGGAGGCGGCCTCACTCCGTTGATACACAACATTGAAAAGATGAAATAACAGGTTCAGAGCAGACGCCGGTTCCCGGCAACACCGAGCAGGAGGTTGAGAGCGCCCACGCTCCTCTGCCCCCACCCCCAACCGCGTCCTGCGCCAGAGGGTGCACGTACCCGTGCTCCCCCCCCCCGGCCGCTTTTCCTGCCGCGTCTCCCGACCCCACTGAGTCCTCCACAGCCTGGGTGCCGTCGGCTTCCCCGCGCCACCCTACAGCATCCCCAGGGCCACGTGGGTTCCGTGGAGGAAGCAGCGTTGCACGGCATGTCCATTCTCTAAGGCATTTTTGGTTACTCTGCAAAGCGCTTCACTCTCTGGTCTTGTGGGCCCTCACACAGCCCCTGGGATGCAGGGGCTGCCAATGGGGTTGTGCCCCTCCCCCAGTGAGCACGCGGGAGCCTGGAGGAGTCAGGTGGGGTCAGCAGGCCACGTGACACTGGGAACCAGACACCGCGGCCGCTGTACTTCCCCGAAGCCGTCTGTAGCCCTGTTCCGCTCGAGCTCCAAGTCCTCCCCTTCGCCCACTCACTGCCTTCTCTAAGGGAGACACGCGGGCCCTGCCCAGGCCAGTGTCACATGTGGAAGTCCCACAGAAGCCACTGAACGATCACACGGCCCACCTGTCCCCTCAAACACAGGGCTCCCTGGGGGCAGCCACCTCGGGGGCGCGGGGAGGCGCGATCCTGGTCTCCAGCTGCGGAGAGCAGCTCTGCCTGGCCACACCCGAGTGCTCGAGGCCAGCGGGGATGGGCGTGACCAGTTAAGAGCGGGCGGGCAGGGTGGCGAAGGCTTCCGGCTGCAGGAGCAGGGCCAGGGCAGGGGCTGAGTGGAGGTGGACACTGGGGTCAAGGGAGACCAGGAATGAGGAGACAGACAGGTGGTCACCCCTCCAGTGGAAGTCCCGCTGGAGCCGGAGGCCCCGGAGCCCGGGAGCCCGGGAGCCCAGGCCTGCAGCGCCGCGTGTGCCGCGGTGCCGCGCCAGCGCTGCAGGGTGCTCAGGCTTCCGCCCACGGCCGTGGGGCCCACAGCCACTAAGGTGCCGATTGGAGGTAAGGAAAACGGACTTTGGAATGAGACGGGGAAAAAGCTTTTCCATGCGATTCTATCACACACAAGTCAAAACAGAAAAGATTATTCAATCTAGAAAAGAATAGAGAGACAGTCTTATGTTACAGAAAAGATGGGGAAAACGTGGGTCAAGATAACAAGGCATTGAATACAAAGTCAAATTCAGGAGATCTTAAAACAACCAGCTTCTTTAATTAGAAAGCAACAAACATGCAAATGGCAAGTGTAGAAATTTATTGGAACCAACATTGTCACTACACGAGACTGGCTCTCCAATGTCGATCCGAGCTCCCCCGTCTGGCGGTGAGGGAGTATTGCACTTCGCTGCGGGCGCTCCCCAGACGCGGCAGCCGGGCGAGAGCCTCGCTGGGCCCGACGCCCGCTCCCAAGTTCATGCACACAGTCATTCCACACCAATGCCAGGTTACCCCCAAAAGGGAAGACTCCAAAAACCATAACCTTAAAATTGCACTGAAGCTCTGTAAAGAAAAAAATATAATAAATGTCTTATACAAATTTCAACACGTCGTAAGTGCCGGCCGCTGCGTGTCGCCTAGGCCTCGTCCTCGTTGTCGTTCTCCTGACCGGAGCCCTCCGATCGGTCGCCCTCCAGCCGGTCTGGAAAACACAGGGGTGAGACTCACAAGAGACATACTCTCGGGTTCCAACCGCTACGTGCACGTAACCCCACGCATCGCCATGCGAAGATGAGTTTGCCGGTGTGTGTGCTAAGTTACTGTTTGCCTCCAGAGGGGAGTTTTAAAAAGCTGAAGGAAATAGCACTGTTACCTTTGAATATGCATATAACTCCACACATGAAAATTTTAGAAGCCCACAGATACTGACACATGGGGGTCCCGACGGTCCCTGGGAGCCCGGGAGTCTGAGGAGGGGTATCTGGTGTCACGGGTGGGGGGGGGGGCCTGGGTGCGAGCGAGGTGCCCTTGAGGACTGTATTTGTAAGAAGAATTTAAAAATGAAGTCTCCGCGCTCTGTGCAGGCGTCATGCTAAGAGGCACGGTACCCAGGTAGCAGGGACAGACACCGTGCCCGCCCCAGGAGGTCACCCGGGGGAGCCGTCCCACCGACGGCACCGGTGCCTGCTGCTCCCCCGCTCTCGTCTCAGCTGCCGCCATGCCCTGTGCAGGGCCTTCCCGCGGCTGCGCAGACAGGCCGCCCACGGGCCCCCCGCTCCTTCCTCCGCAGGCCAGCGCCTTGGGCGGGCCTTCCGCTGCCTCGCCTGCCTGCCTGCCTGTGACTGCTTTTCACCTTCCGTCCTCGGGGCCTGGCCCTGCACGCTCAGTGATTTCCTGGGTAAGCGAATGCGTTTTACTCGTCACCTTAGGGCACGTACAGGAGGCGACAGCGTGGATTCACCACCACCGTCGCCAGGATGGGTCCCTTTCTGCCACAGAAACATGTCCCCAAGGGAACATGGAGGGCGCTGCGGTCAGACACACTGTTGGCAGTGAGAGCCGAGGGAAGCTAGGACTTCATCACCTGCAGCGGCTGCCACACGCCCGCTGAGTCCCACCTCAGGCCGCAGGTCCAGCTTAGGAGAAGGAGGGGAGGGGACAGCGTGATGTTGGGTGGTGAAGAGTTCGACAAATCCCAAAACGGAGCGTGGGCAGAGTGGACAGAGAGGCAGGGAATGCAGGGTAAGCGAGGAAGCAGATCAGCTGGCCTGGCGGAGGATGGCAGCGCAGGTGCGCGGCCCGAACTGGGGGAGTTGTGGGGGCGGGGGCGGCAGGGCGGCCCGCGCACCCAAGTGCTGGGTCTGCGGGGCGAGGCCTCAGCAGTGACTTTCAGACTCAGGCTTCACCGCCGATCAGCGGTGCGGCCCAGGGCAAGTTATCACAAAGCCCGCCTGGCAAGGGGTCGCGGCCCAGGGAGGCTGGTCGGAGAGGTGGCTCCTCCGTGCCTGGCGCACGAGCCTGATGGGCGCTATAAACGCTGGTCCGTGTTGTCATTGACTGACAGGTGACACCCAACATACGAAAAAACTTAATTTATAAAATCAGTGGACAGCGATCAACACTTGTCTGGTAAACGTGTTCATAAAGGATGCTGGAACTTTGTTGTTACGAACACAGGTTACTGAGTTCCTTCTTGAATGTTAGTTAGACTACCTGCATGCCGTGCTATCTGCGGCACTGAACCTCACTTTATCATTTCAAACCAAAGACCGCAGAAGGAAGCGGAGGCGTCTGCGTCGACCGCGGCAGGCGGCATTCCTTTCCCGGCGGCCGCACCGCGCGTGCGCGAAGGGCCCCTGAAAGGCCCCGGCGACGACACAGGCCGGGCCCCGGCAGGAGCCTCCGCTCGGAGGGAAGAGCCGAGCGGCCGCAAGTTTTCAGGGGATTCCGTCTTTCCATTCGGACGCTTTCCCAGAAACCAGGCTCAGGAGGAAGTCCGTCACCGCGCTCACTAATAAAAGCTGCCCCGCTACGCGGATCTGACAGCGGCGCGTCCCCCCCGCCCGCCCCCGCAGCCACGGCCCCTCACCGGCTCGGATGTGGTTCAGCGAGGCGAGCATCCGCAGCATGAAGGAGGCGGGCACGGTGATGGTGTTCCGGGTCTCCTCCAGCATCAGCTCGTTGCGCGTTATGACCTGCGGGCGGGGTGCAGCCGCACGTCAAAGACCTGGGAGTGACGGGCAGCCCCCACCCCGCCCCGACAGCGGGGCGAGGGCGGCCCTCCCCCCGGCACGCGTGCTGCCTGCGTGCCCCCACTAAGGCCTCGCAAAGCCAGTCGCTCCCAGGCACGAGAGGAGCCAGATCAGAGTACGTCCCCATCGGGACCGGCCTGGCCGCCGTCCAGACAGCAGCGCCGACACCTTCAGGGCACAGCAGGATTAAGCTGCTGTCCCTGGGTCCCCTGGGCCCTTTGAGAGTGTGTTACCTCAACTGAGACAAACTAATCTTGAAAAACCACCCTCAGAGCAGGAGCCACCAATGACGGGCGTCCCAAGTACAAGAGCAGGGCGAAGGAACGCCCACGCCTCCGAGGGCTCCACGGCACGCTCCGCGAGGGGGAGCGGCGCGAGAAGCCGCCGGCGTGGGAGGGAAAGGGACACCTTTCAGGGAGCCCTCTTTCTCCACCCCGCCCTTCAGGCCTGCGGCGCGCCCTGCCCACGCACGCACACGCCGCGGGCTCCTGCGCACTGGCGTGTCCTGCGCCCTCCCGCAGCCTGCGCGCCAGGCCCGCCCCCGGGTCGCAGGGGTTCCTTGGCGCCCCGTCTGCCTGTGAGCTCAGTCCTGGCGACCGCCCTGTCCTTGGTGAAGATGTCCCCGCCCCGGCGACTCTGTGCCCAAGAACAGCTGTCCTTCCTAGAGGCTCCCACACGCTGTGCATGCGTCTCGGTCGCTGGCCACACGCGCACTGGCTGTCCGGTCCCACGCCTGCCCTTCCCTCTTGCCCGTGTGCTCCGGGCACAGGGTTTCTCGCTGTGACCTCACGGGTCGGCGCTGCGGGCCAGGGTCTGTCACGTGAGCGAGCGCCCCTGGGGGAACCACGCTCCACTGTCACCCCTGCTCTGCCAGCCTCCGCTTCCCGGACCTCTCCCGGCTCGGCCCTCACTGGCTTGCTTGTTTAGAGGAAGCAGCAGCGCCCTGAGCTGCGCCCCCCGCGCACGGGAGCTCAGCCGTCGGCAGCTGACTAACGACTGAAGCCTCTCAGCCTGAGACCCCCACGGAAACCCGCGGGTGAGAGCCTGGCTGAAGGCAGGACCGATCCTCCGCCTCGCTATCCCGATTCCACGCAAAGCCTAGAACCGCACAGAACGCGGCCGGAAAACTGCTGACCTAACAGGGAGCTGAGGAAATCCTAAAAGGCCACAATAAAGGGAAAGATTCTCGTCATCTGTCCTGCTGCCTGCCTGGCTGTGGCGATGGGAGGCAGCTGGGAAAACGCTTCTCAAAAGGACAGTGTTTTTTAGTGATTCTTTGTTGCAATAGCACAGGTAGTCAACCTATTTTTCTTAAACTACAGAATAATTGGATATTACTCATACTCTTCAAAGTAGCAAAATACGAGTTTGACATTTACCTTTAGTATTATGGGCATGTTTTTATCTTAATTTTTCCTTTTCTTAAAGATCTCCTTAACTGCATGAACTGTTTTATGTACCAGCTAGCAAGGGGCTGCTTTGATACTTCCTAAGAAAGCTTTTCAAGACCAAAGTAGAATATGCTCTAGTAAGTACAGTAAACATCTTACTTCGTCAGCAAGTTTTCGGTTAAAAATCCTTGACTCTTCCAGTGGGGACCAGATCTTTATGTCATAATCGATACCAGATGAGGCTAGAACTAGAAAGAAAATGTACACATTAACCTAAATTTAGAACACACGCCGCTTCTTCAAGATATGCACATTTACAAGTCTGTATGTATCTGTGAACTGAGAACAATTATTTTGATGATTTCCTAAAAGTGACCCTAGAATGTAATTTTAAGACCATCTTGAATGACTCAAATTTCATTCATATTCACTGCTGTTTTATGAGACACACAGGCAATTTCCAATGGAAGGTGAGAGCCAGCCAGTGCGCCTTACAAGTTCCACTTGGGTAAGAAGCGAGAAGTTCAAGCAGCCGAACCTCTTACGCTGACGCAACTTAGAGGAAACAGCAGGAGGACGCACCCTCTACCCGGCCTTCCCCACGGCCTGCCAAACGCAGGCTGTGCCGGTTCAGACCCCCCGGAGCTGCGGCGGACTCCGGGCCGCGCCCCAGCATGAGTGGGACTGTCCTCGGGCAGCAGCTAGAGCAGCGGAGGGGCCGGAGTCCGCCCGCACCAGGCCCGCTTACTCGGGTCGAAGGGGTGCGGCTGCAGGCAGTTCACCACGTGATTGTCAGCCTCCAGCAGCATCAGGTGCTCGGCGGTGTGCCGGTCCCAGATGAAGATGTGGCCGCAGTCGGAGCCGCTCATCACGAAGTTAGCGCCCCAGAAATTGGCTTCTTTTATCTGAGGGGTTAAGAAAAAGGCAGTATAAGAAAATTCAAATCCAAGCTATTTAAACAAAGATTTATTCTAAGTATTTTATCATTGGCTTGGAAAATGAAGTAAGAATTAGAGAGCTTCCTTGTCTTCTCGAACCCCCAAATCATGACAGGGATCAGTGTGGGGAGCAGCGTGGCTCCCAGGATGCAAAGCCCCCTGCGAGGACCAGGGTTTCGTTTTGTTCAATGCTGCCTTTACATGTCTGCGACAGTTCTTAGCACACAGCAGGCACTAAAGTAAAAACTGCTGAATAAGTGAGTTCTGGGTTTCTGACAGCATGACGATACAACGCTGATCTTTTTCTTAGCTGTTTGAAGCTCTGGCGCTTGAGGAGGAAAGGTGCAGAGACGCTGGCCCCTATGAGGGGCGTGGTAGCCTGGAGAGGGGCCACAGGCTGGGCGGCCTCCGGGCGGAGGCGGGGCTTCAGGCCCACCCCTCAAGGCCTGCGGCTCAAAAGAGGGGAGCCAGTTTGCCGTTACTTGGAGCTATTATTTTATTTACTTATCTTCTTTTTATTTTGTTCCAGCGCCTAATTATTTTCCTCCAAAATTTTAACCCGCAAAATGCAAGAAATGTAAATTGGTTACTTCTATTAACAACAGTATTCTTCATTTAATGATTAAATCATTACTACCCATGGCTTCTATAGAGAGCTTATTATTTCCCTACCCTGAAGTGACTTTCTACCTAAACCTTGAAGAGAGGTTAAAACCGATTCTGTAGACACTCTCTGAAAACTCGACGACTCTACGAGAACAGCACTCCCTAGATCTAAGTGGCCCAGAGTCACAGGCCCAGAGTCACAGGCCCAGAGTCGCAGGCCCAGAGTCACAGGCCCAGAGTCACAGGTCCAGCCCGCTCATCATCTCGCGAGACCCCCTGGTAAATAATTAACGTGGCGCTGGGTGCACCGACGTGCGGACTGTCAAAGCTTGAGAAGATCTCAGACACCATCGGGCCTGTTCTGTTTATTTCATCGATGAGGACACTGAGGTCTAGGGAGCGAAGCCGCTAAACCGGGTCCTCGCTCGTCCCTCTCGGAGGGGCGGTACTGAGAGTGCCCTGACCGTGCTTCGCAGTGAGTCCGGGCTTCACGCCGCGAAACCTCTCTCTCCAAAAAGGGCCAGGGGGCTGCTAGGACGCCACACACCCCACTGGGGGCGCACAGCAAGTGTGCGAGGGCAGACAAGCAGCTACGGCCACTCGCACAGGCTGAAATGTTTAACCTGCTGCACGAGCTCCTCGGGGGGGCAGTTTCCCTGGGAAAACCAGCGGTTCGCACGCTCCGTCACAGGGCGAGAGGAACCGCCTGTGGGTCAGGAGGGAACCGCGAAGGCGCCACCCTAGCCACTCAGGGAAGGTCGCTGTGTAAAACACGGGTTCGGGGAAACCGTGTTTCCTGCAAAGAATGCCACGGCGCTGGGTACCATTGTCCTGGAGTTGCGGTGGCCCTTATACACCATCTTCACCAGCGGCCTCCTAATGTTCAGCGTGTCCAGCTCTTCCATCTCCTTCCTCTCCTTCCTCCGCCGGAAGAACTCCTGAATGCGGGCAACAGCAGAGCGTCTGTGAATTCCACGTGAAAAGAAAAAACACAAAACGTGAACAACGCTCACGGCCGCTGTGGAAGGAAACGACGCACGTTCAAGCCAGGGGTCTAGGAAACATGTAAAGTGCGCATGAGCTCCGGGAGGCACCCCAAGGCAGGCACGACAGGGGGGGCCCGCCAGACTAGTCGAGTTACGAGAACAAGATGTTTTAGTGAGGAGGTCGCTGAGAGAGTTGCTCCCGGTGGCGACGGCAGAGGGTAGCATGCGGCACGCCGGGCTTTGAAGGGCTGTTCGGTGAAACCAAGACGCGGACAAATTCATGTGCAGTTTACCACAAATAAAACAAGTCCTGTTCAGTGTTCTCTGTCCTCCTCTCCACATCAGGAAATGTAAAGGCATAAAGAGAAACCTACAGACACTAAGGGTAACATATAAGAGCAATGGATAAATTTATGTTTTGAGATTTGCTGAAAGATGTCCCAGCAAAGAACAGATGCATCAAGAACAAGAGAATAAGTATTATCATAAGTGCAATAAAAGACGACCTCCCAAGAGAACCTATTCTGCCCGGGCTCCGGGGCGGGACACAGGCTGGGTGCGAGCGAGGCACTCTCCCCGCCGCGGCTCGGCGGGTGGCAGGATGGGGGCTGAGGGGTGATGGGCTCTTTTTAAGACTGATTTACCTCCGAGCAGAAACCGCCTAACACGTGAGAGTGCTTAATACGCCTGTTAGTGTGAATATGCTATTTAAAACATTGTATTCTGCCATACGTCAACCAAACATCCAAAGTATATAAAAGGTCTATAAATCAGTAAGAAAAACGAACATTCTAACAGAAAATCACAGGACTAGAAGAACCACGTTCTTCTAGACGTGAGTAGGAAAATTAGAGAAGAAATCAACAGCTGATAGTTATATACAAAGACGCTCAGCCTCGCTCATGATGAGACAAATCGTGGCTCTCCACACAGGACGGAGAGCGCGCTCTTCCAGGCGCACTTCCCACCCGGGAAGTCAGGGGCGACGCGGCACGGGCGGAAGGAGGCCGCAGAGCGCTGAGTGGCGCGCCCTTTGAGAGGGGGCTTGGGTTGGCTGTGCGCGCATATTGCAAACTCTTGGGCAGCCACTGAAAGACGTAATTAAAAAAAAAAGTATAATTGTTACATGAAGAAAAGGAGATAAAAGGGATCATAAAATCCTGAATTAAAATCACAAAAGGTAGGAAGTGAAAGACAAAAAGCTAGGATTAAGGAACAAGGGCAGGAAAAGCCTGCCTTATCTTTAGAAATGTCCGCAATCTCTGCATAAGGAAGAAGTCACTGGGGCAGAGGGGACAGTCTCTCCTCCCGCTCTGGGCTCTAAGGGGAGGCTGAGGGCCACCTCTCCTCCCAGCCCCCCTCCAGCCCCCCCCCTGCCCCACCGCCAGCTCCTCACAGCGCCTTCGCTGTGGCTCAGGGGAGGCAGCCTGGTGTGTTTAGTTGTGGTCTTCACTGCAGGAGCAGAAACTGGTTTTGGGCGCTTGGGATAAAAGGCGTAAATAAACCAGAAAATCAGAAAGCCCTGAAACAAATTCCATTTTACTGTCATTTAACTAGAAAGTGATAACTGGTATTAGACTAATTTGCAGAAAGTTACTTCAAACATACCTTCACGTTAAAACAGCCTGAAAACACTAGCCCAAAAGCAAGAATAATTAGGAGACGTTCACGTGGGAATCGCCCCAGGAACGGGCCCTAACAGGGAGCCCTGTGGCCACTGCCGCTGCGGGCTCCTCTCCTCCTCCCTGTGTTCCCCACGGGGACCGCCCCCCCGCCACGTACCCCCTCACCCCGCCCTCGCTCTGTGCTGTGCTTTTTATTCCACTTTGTGTCAGACACTAACGGGAAGTGACAGACACGTGCCGCCGGAATTAGGGGCCAGGCGGGTTCCGTCAGTGACCCGGGTTCCGCGGAGACAGAAGCGGGACGGAGGTTCACTCGAGTACTGAATTTAACAGTGTGCCCCAGCTAGTCCCAGATGACAGAGCGTTTAAGAATTATGTATCATCTTGCTATGTGGTCTTCTTAAGTGATTAAGGCATTTCTAAGAATACAGCTTTCTTTTTTAACATCAGAATCTTACACTTATGTGCAGAATGAGACTCGAGTCCATTTTTAAATACTGATCTTGAGGAAAAGGAGGATATGTGAATAACAACAAAAAGGTGCTGTCATCCCAGTCAAGTTTCTTTCAAAAGCCCCTACGCGGCATTCTTCCACAAAACAACCGAAGTGAGGAACCGACGGCGAAAGCGCTCCCCGGCCGGCCGCAGCGCTCTGCGGGCGGCACTCTGCCGCGCCCGTCGGTGGCACACGCACACGGGAAGGGCTCTGCGGGCGAGCTCATGCACGCATGCAGCAGGGGCAGCCTGCGGGGCGCGGCCCGCTCTGCGGCGCGGGCACGCGGGAGCTCGGGCAGCCCGGGAGCAGCGGCTGTTAATAGGAAAGGCGGTCAGTGGTGGAAAACAGGGCCTGGCGGTGCCACCGTTAAACGCAGCAGCAGCAGGGAAGGAACAGATGGCATTACCTCTTTATTCTATCACCTATTGTTGTTCCTCTGATATTAAATCTAGTGAAGGGAACACAACACAGTCACTCACAGACTCCACAGAAGCAGGAACCTAGAGCTTCAAGTCAGCGCTGTCTCACCCCTGGCCTCGGCCTAACGGACCTCCACCTCCCCGCGCGACCTGGGGTATCAGGGAGACACGGCATTCGACTTAGTGTGTGTGAGGAGAGAGGGAGGCAGGAACACGCACTGAACACAGCTCAGAAGGGAGGCCTGGCACTTGACACCTTTTGTCTTTTTTAAAAAACATATCGAGGTGACAATGGTTCACAGAAGCACACAGGCTTCAAGGGTGCAACTCAGCGCAACATCACCCGCACGCTGCACACGCGCCCATCGCCCAGAGCAAAGCCTCTCCCCCGCTGCATCCGCCCCTCGCCCACCTCCGCCTACCCGCCCCCGCAAACCCTGGCCCCGGAAAGGGGTTAGAGCCTGCCCGCCCCCCCCCATCCCCCCCGCTACAGGGGGGAGGGGCCTGCGGGGCCCGGAGCCACGACCCCACTGGGCCCCCACGGTGGGGCTGCCGCCCGTCCCAACCAGGAGCTGAGTAACCAGCGGCGAAGAGCGACAGGGCTTTCCACGCCCGAGGGGTCCTGCGCCTTCTTTGTGATTACTTTGTTTTTCTCTGCAATTTGCTGTAATGAAGAATAAACTCGAAACGCTGAGGAATACTGAGAGAGTGACAACAGCGGCGACCACACAGAGAGCGGCAAATTCACAGGAAGTACAGGGAGACTCTGGGCTTCGGGGGAGGTCGACAGAACCAAACTGCAGACACGAGATACTTTTTGAAAGGCATTACCAGGCAATACTGGGTGAATATCTTGAATCTCTGAGTCTGTACCCAAAACTCCCCCAGGCTATGTGAGGACCCCTTCAGAAGCTTCCGCCGGTGCCCGCCCTTTCCAGAGCAAAGCCCCTCTCACGGGCTGCCGGCCGGCTGGCCCCACGCCTCCGGTCCCACCCCAACGCCCGGGTGGTTGCGGGTTCTGAATCCAGCACCGAACATCACCAAGGGACACGCATGTACTTCATGCCTTGGTTTCTTCAGCACCATGCTTAGAAAGTGGATGTTTGATTAGCTCTCTCTCCGATTTAGTTTCCCTTTCATGTTCTCTGTTCTTGCCCAAGACCAAGTTCAAGGGGACCTACAACATGGGGTCATAGGTTTTATGGTTTTAAACTTCGGATGTCGGCCAGGCAAGGCCTCTGACCATGGACCCCAGCTCGGTTTCCCTCCGAGGCTCACGGGCCGGGCTGCGAGGGGCAGCCAACCGGCACCGGGCCTATCGCTGCCGGCCGCCTGCTCCCAAGGGCCGCAGGCCAGGGCCAGCCTTCACGCTGGTAGATGGTGGTGTGTCACAGGGCCATGTAAGGACCTCCATCCTAGCCCCTCTGTACCAAGTCCCGGCTCTGTTTCCGCCAAGGCCAGCGGGGTTAGTGAGAAGAGCATTCCATTTAAAAATAGCTTTGTTAGTAGTCAAGGCCTTCATCCTCTAGGACATTTCCACGTCAGGCTTGATATCAGCCCCAGCGTGGAAACCAAGGCACGCTTACTTAACCAAGTTATAAGAATGCAAATCTCTAGAGAGAAATCGTTATTCTCCATTGCAAATAACTTTTTTGGTATTTTTATTAAATGTGTACCCAAAATGACTTAGCTATAAAGCTTTAAGGTTTCATTTTTAAAAGTTAAATTTGGCTTAAAAATTAAATTTGGGGCAAAGAAATCTATGAGATCCATGGTGTGATCCTTTGCACCAACTCACGCACAGATCTGACGCCTACTTTCGCATGCTTCACTCCTGGACCACCTCTCAGCCCAACCAGACTCAGCCCGAGTGGCTTCCCTCTGAGACCTGCGCCCTTCAGCTGGGCCTTGACCCAAGCGTCGGACGCATCCTGAGACTCTATGAACCGAAGGGTATGACTTCTACAACAGAGCTGTGGGTCTTTTGCCCTTCGTAAGCGAATTCTCAAAAATCATATGATTACTTAAAATGATTCATGTTCTTAAAAAGCAAAATTTCTTAAACTTTCTCCAGAACACAAGACACCACGGCTATTCCTGCAAAGTGGGAAGCCAAGCCCACGGGCAGCGGCCCCGGCGGACGCCCACAGAAGGGGCCGAGCGCGAGCGCGCACCGGAGCCAGGCGCCCGAGCTCCCACCCCGCCCGTAACGCTGGGGACTCCTAAAATCACTCAGATAAACGTCAGAGGGAAGATCTTTCACCGTTAACAAATTTTTGGTAACCAGCTAGGAAAGAAGAATGCAAATTCCAATGAGAAACGGGTGTCACTGTGCAACGCTGATCGCAGTCACCGCAGCATCTCACCCGTGTGTGCTCTTTGTATTCACAAAACGCTGTGTTTAATTTCATAAATTTATTCAAACTGTTTTCCAGGTTCTTATAAGTGGCATATGTAGCGCCCTCTGTTCATCAATAAATGGAGTTTTTTCAAAGGGCAAGAATTTTATTATCCTGTTATTCTTCCGTAAATTTACTACTAGGTCATATACACTAAAACAAAATAGCACACAGGACAAACCGAGGTGAATCACCTCAACTGAGCGCACAGACTGTGATGTGACGCTTAATCGAGGAAACAGCAGGGAAGCACTGCAGGCCCCGAGGCCGCCCGAGGCCTGGGAGCGGCCCCAGGGCTTAGTGCGGAGACACGGGCTGGCCAGGCCCCATCCCGGCCATCCCCCGAGGCCCTCTGCTAGTCTCGTTCTGCGCCTGGGTTTCTTGGGTCAAGGCTGCTACCAGGTGCCAAGTTAGAGGCAGATCCAAACTCCAGGAGAACCCCTAAAACATGTAAATCATCTAAACATTATGAAGGTGACAAAGAAACGATATGGCTCAATAGAAAAACAGCTCCGGTAACACAGTAACTGCAAAGTAAGGGTAGTGGAGCCTCAAGAAGTTTCGGCTTCTCTGAGACCCGCTCTCCCCTCATATCCTCCTTTTTCACTGATGTTATGCTGCTGTGTTTAAAAAAAAAAAACACAAAACAACAAAAAACAAAAACCGCCTCTCCTTAGGTCTAGAATATACAAACTCGCTGCTTAGTCCCTCGGTTTTCTCAGTCACCAAGCAGCACCGGCGGAAAGCGTTGTAATCAGCCTGGCTGGCAGGCACTAAGTAACTACGGTTCCCTGCTAGTGTCTGTTATCTGCTAAAACTACAACTTCTTTTTTAAACCAATCTGGAAAGTGACATTTGATCACTTTCTGATAAATACCATTTTATCTGGAAAGTGGTACATTTTATTAAAAAGTAAATACTTAATTTTACTTTCAATTATGACCTTAGTATCATTTTGTTACAGAAGTGGAGGGAAAACACAAGGACATCTGTCTGCTCATGTAACAGTCACTAGACGGCTTTAAGTGCGCGCTGGAAACGCGCCCGGACCCCAGCCCTGCCGCCTGGGCTTTGGGAACCGTCCCTTTGATTTCAAGATGTGCGCTGCACGACCCGTCACCGCCCATGTGGGCCTCAGGCGGTAGGCGGTGGCCGGTGCCCGCGCGCTGCGGGACTCCCTCCGGGTACCCGCTCCGGGTACGGAGAGGAGGGGAACTGAGCTGTCCTCGTCCAAAGCGCACACTGAGGACCTCAGACCAGCCTGTGCGGGCGGAGAGGAGACTCGGTGAACCTCCCAGTGCAAACACAGGGAGCAGCGCTTCCTCTGCGTTCACAGACGCGCCACTGCAGAGCGCAGGCTCGGCACCCACCGCCTCCGAGGGCAGGGAACGCGCTCGCTTTCCGGCGGCGCCGCCGCTACCGAGGCTGCTGTGCGAGCAGCCACGCAGGCTGGTCTGGTAGAGCTGCCGGGTGTCTGGTGCCTTCCCTGTGAGGCGGGCCCTGTGCTGCCTGCATGCCTGCCTGGCTGCCGGTATCTGTGCTAGTCCTTCCCATCCTTGCCGAGCCTCACCCCATTTTGCAAATAAGGACGCGGGCACTGGAATGAGAAAACTAGCCGGGGGGGGGGGGCGGATTCACACCCAAGTCGTTTTGTCCCGCTCCCTATACAACACTGTCACCGTCCGGTGTCAGTCCGCCTTCCGTTACAGCGGTCACTTGCTGAGAACAGCGGACGGCCTATCGATAGCGGACCACTGGGCACAGACAGGCGAACCCGTGCCCCTCTCCTGCGCAGGCCGGACTTTCAGAGATGCCACGTGACTCTCTGGAAGAGGACAGACTTATACAAGGCCTGCTGGCACCAACTGCAGAAACGGTTTCTAGACAGTATGGAATGCAGTATGCTTTAAAAGACTTATTTTCTCTAGGAAAAAAATAAAATACATCCTGTGATCACATAAAATGAAAACTGGGGAAAGTATATGACCATGTTAGCAATTCAATTCTTTATTGCAGTTATAATATTTGTTGCTTGGTGTGATTTTTCATTTTCTAAATTAAGTTACCAAAGTTTAGTAGAAATCAAAGAAAAACATAACGTTCTCAAATCGAGAACTACTATCACACTACTCTCGTCCAGGGTCAACAGAAAAGCCAAAAACTGAATAGTAGCGATAACCAAAAACCCGACCCAGGCCAGGATGTTTCCAGGGCGCCGTGCTAACTGCACACACCCTGACGTCACACACGGCCCCGGGCGCCCCCACGCCAATTCCCTGCCGGCCGCTCGCTCGCTCGCTCAGAGAACAAGCGTCACCTGAGACGGCTCCCAGCTTGAAAAGCTGTCAGTTTACATGACTGAGACACCCTTACGCGGAGCAACCGTCCAAAATGGAGAGACTCTTTCATGTGACTTCAAAGAAAGCCTCGGGAATTCTGTATTTTACAGTTCTTGTTCATTTAAAAGGTACCCACCTGTCACCAGGTCCTGCACGATACCTGGCCCCTGGGATCAGGACCGGGTCATCATCACTGTCATCTGTGTCCGGGAGAGCAGAGTCCGCGGCTGACGCTTCCTCGGGGGGCGCGGGCCCGCCGGCGGCCGTCTGTGCCGGAGGCTCGGGGCTGGGGCTGGGGCTGCGGCTGCGGCCGCGGGCAGCGGTCTCGGCGATGGTCCCCTCGGGAGTTCCCGGCTCCCGGCCATCCTCAGACCAAGCGGCGTCTTCTGGGACCGCGCACGGACCCCCAGGGTCGCAGGCCTCCCTTTCGCCTGAGCAGGAGCCCGAAGGCTCGGGTGCGCACTTGTCTGGTTGTGCTGTCGGGACACAAGGCAGTCAGTGCCAGCAGCCACGTGTGGCCTTAGCTATTTACTCTAACTTCACGCGGTCACAGACATCTTCTAACAGAACGTTTCACTGACCGAAACAGAGGGGAGTCCACAACATGCCTATCTGGAAAGGACCGCCAGCTCCAGAAGGACACAGATGGACGCTTCTTGCCTCCCCCATGAAGCAACGACCTGGAGAGGGGGCGACTCACCTGTGTCTGTCCAGCCCTGAGCCGGGCTCTCCGCGGACGTGCCTTCCTGCTGCGCTGTCCCGCCCGCCGAGGGGGCTCCGGGCGCTCCTGGGGAGGGACCCAGAGAGCTGTTTAATTTGACTCTTTAAGGAAAACAGCCACTAACTTAATAGTCCAGCTCCTGATGTCAGCAGTTCTTAGCCCTTTTGGGGTCACTGAAACTTCTGCCACTTGGATAAACCTCCCCCTGGCGGACGCCCTGGGGGAGGGGCACACAGCTGTGCCAGCCCCGCCTTGAGCCCCGGACCTGCGGGCACAGCCCCCCATGGGTCTCCAGTGTGTGTGCTGCACCCGACGCCTCCCCACTGCTGTGATCCTGCCGGCTTTCTGACCTTCACGAGGTCTGACCGTGACCCTGAGTACGTTCCAGCTCCTCACGCACACATTTGGTACCATCTGAACGACCATGAACAAACAGCAAGGATGAGCCTTCTTCAAACTGTTTGTCCACTGAGAAGACTTAGGTCTGGGATTTAACTCCAAGACCCCTGAAGGATCAGTTTTTGCACCTAACTGGACAGCTGTCCTACACATATTTAATTCTTGTAAACTGTTACTGAAGTATCTGGTCATTATTTCAAAACAGAACTCATTTATTCCTTCATTTATCAAGCATCTATGGAGAATCTCTCTGTCTCAGGCTCTCTGCTAGACTCTACCTTTCACACGATGGTTATTACATAAACACGTTCTAGGGAAGGGCTCCGAGCAGCCCCCGCCTGAGAGAGGACTGGGCCACGGCCTGCGCAGCTCACACCCCCTCCCCCCGCCCCCCAACCCGCCCCCGTCAGCCCAACTCCGAGAGGCCCAGACAGACACTATGAACGCCAATGCCAAGCGGCACTGAGAGCGCACGTGGCTGGCAGGACGGCCACGACTCCGGCCTCTGTGTCCGCAGCGGGGCCCCAGGCGGCACTGTGACGCCCGTCAGAAACGCTGACGGTCCCGACCAGCTGCACCCGTTGCTGTGGATCGGCAGTAACAGCCAGACTAGAGGCCAAAGGAATTTGTTGCAAACAAGAAACCGAAGGGCACCGCTGAGGGAACGGCAAGCGGGGACGTCCACGCGGGCTGTGTGGTGACAAAGCAGGGTCCGGCCTACCTGCCTCGCGGTCCCCCGCTGGGGGCGGCTCTGAGCCCTGGGGGCCCCGGGCCCCCTCCGGCCCCTCGGGTGCGCCGTGGGTCCCGTTCCCTCTAGAGCTGGAGGAAGTGCTGCTCCTGTCACCGAAACAAGGCCAGTGGCCCCCAGGGAGTTACTAGGTGTGAACTTGGAGGGTCATTTGTATATTTAACAGCCACAGAGGCAGTTGGAAAAACTCAGGCTACAAGTAACATGTAGGGCTCTTAGCTTAACAGTACCTACAGAACATCACTTTTAATACTCAAGGTGACTACTTTAATCTTAAAAAGCAGACTTAAAAATACAGGAGGTCGGCTTCTACACTGTTCCAGGGCTCCTGTGATCACCTGTATTTCTACACACCCCTCTCTTGGATTTCACAGCAACTACGCCTCCCTTCTCCTCCCCACTGGAGCTGGCTCACCCGTCCAGGGCCTTAGTGACGCTACAGATGTGGATCGGACGCCCTTCTGGGCTTCGCTGCTCTGGGCTGCTTCTGAACGAGCACTTTAAAAAGGGCCCCAGCGTCCCTTTGGCCCTGGACTGCGGACCACTTCTGTCTGGGCCATTTCTCAAACGTGGCCGGGGACTGGGCACCGCAGCGTGCAGAAGCCCCGACCGGGTTCCAGTTTAGTTTGGACACCCCGCTGGGGGTGACCACGGTTAGTCAGCATTTCTGGTGCGAGCAGAATACCGGGCTGATTTAAATCAACAAGTTTCAATGAGTAATCTGGGACAGGCCATGGTACCCCATAGTGTAAGGAGGGAATTGAGTAGGAAAGGAAACAGAGGAAAATGTGTAACAATCTGACTCAGATTAAAATTACATTCACAGAAATGTGACAGTTTCTCGAATTTAGAATAAATGTGAACAAGGAAAAGAAACTTAAGAGATACGGTAACTTAAAAAACATTAACTATAGACAAATAGCCGTGACTCAGTAAGCAATGCAAGCTATCATGAGTTTTCTGGCCAAGATTTCATTTAAGGACCCTTTTAGGCTAATTGCAAAAGTCAGTTTGACTTTTCAGACAGGGGCGTCCGTGTAAGGCACACGGGGCTCTTACGAAGGACCCTGTCCGTCCGGGCCTGTGCGCAGAGGAGGAGGTTGGGCAGCATCAGGCGTCAACTCAGGAGGCCTCATGCGAGCGACTCCTTAATACTTTTCTGTGAATTCTACTTTTTTTGCAATTACTCTGTATTTCTTTTTAACCAGAAATAAATACGTAGCCATTTTAGTAAAGAGAAACTAGCGTGACACGTAAATCCTTGCGTGACACGTAAATCCTTTTGTCCCACTGAGAAAGCTGCAACACAGGCACACATACATGTCCCTGTGTAAGTTACGGGAATGAACACGTCACAGCACTGATGTAGGGACTGAGAGCCATTAGTGGAAAAGACAAAGTAACCAAGGCAATATCTTTAGCAAATGTTAATGTGGCATTTTAAATCACAGAGAAATGAGATTGTTCAGTAAATGGTGCTGGGACAAAAGAACAGCCATGTATAAAAATTAAGCTATAGCTCTACAGCACACTTCAAGGAAAAATAAGTTATAGAAGGATTAAACATATACTTTTTCACATAAAATCATAGAAATATAAGGGAAAAAAAAAGAAAGAACTCCCCCCTACTTCCTGGGAAGGATAAGGCTTTCTAAGGGGGGAGCTGTAACCAGAAAGCAAAACTGCCAACCACCAAGAGCCACACACCAGGCTGGGGAGCCATTCGCAAAAACGGACGGTAGATGGTTTTACCCTCACTCACCCTCTGCCGAATAACCACCTCTTATAAATCAGTAAGAAAAAGTCAAACACCATGGTAGGAAACTGTGCAAAGGGTACGGGAGGCAATTTACCCAAGATGATACTCAGAGCTAACAATCTCTCGGGCCAGTTGGTTGCTAAGTGCTATGTGCTTTTTCTGCACGGTCTCACCAAACCCGCAACAACTCTGGAGGTCGGTTCTATGGAACATGCCCGTTTTCAGGTGAGAAAACTGGGTCTTAGGTTCAACCACTGTCCAGGTCAGAGTCTAAGCTCCCCATGGCTCTCTTGTCTCATCTGTCTTCAAAGAGACAAAGCCGGGGCAAGGCACCGCAGTGGCAGAGACAGAAAACAACGCATCCTCTCTTCAATTTTTTATGATGAATATAGAATATTCATCAGGAATAATCAGGAAAAAACCTAATTACTTCCTTGATAAAGAAATAAACTGGTGAATGAAAGAATATGATTCATGGTCAGTATTCAAAAGAGTGGGACTAAACATTTTTTTCTAGAGAAAGTGCTCGGATGAGATTCTTTGTAAGAAATCCGCCCCTTCTGTCCAGAATGATGAAAAAAGAATAGACAAAAAGAATAAGGATGGCGCTCTTCAGTGAGCCTAAATTATACATTAAGAGAAAGGGCGATGAACATCCTGATTTCAAACGGAGAGGTCAAACACTCGGACTCATGAAGCAGTTCTGTTGACTGCACCTTCAAACACGCATCCAGGATCCAGCCTCTTCTAAGGACCTCCCCTGCTCCATCCTGATCCGAGACAGCGCCGCCTCTCCCCTGGCCAACGCCGCCTCTCCCCTGGCCAACGCCGCCTCTCACGTGGCCAACGCCACCTCTCACCTGGCCAACGCCACCTCTCACCTTGCTAATGCCACTTCTCACCTTGCTAATGCCACAGCCTGCTATCTGATGTCCTGGCTTCTACTCACGGCCTATGTCTGCACAGCACCCAGACGTCCCTCGTCCTTCAAGCACGCACCTCACTCCTTGGCTGACCTGATCTGCCACTGATCTCTCCTTTGGACGCTCCATTCCGGCTATAAGTGATTGCGTCCCTTAAGGATCCTGACACACAGTAGGTCTGCCCCTGCACTGCCTGCGCTCACTCTGCTCGTCCCCTGGCTGTGCACACGGCCGCTCCCTCGCACCCTGCCAGTGACACCGCCCATCCCCCAGGCCCGCTGGCCACCCTCCCCTGCCCTGCTCACTTCCACAGCCCTCAGCGCCTCCTAACCTGTCCCACAATTCACTTATTCATCGTGTGTGCTGTCCACCTCCCCCGCCTGGGGTGAGCTCCTACACAGCAGAGACATTCGGCCTATTTTTTTCACTGACGCACTCCCCGAGTCTACAAGAGTCTCCAAAACACAGAAGGCGTTCAGTCATATTTGGAAATGCTACTTACTCAAAGGTTCTAGTATCAAATATGTACACACATAAACACAAATGGAAACCAGTGAATTGGAATAAATATTAATATTATCATATATGAACAGATAATCAATTATATATTAATAAACAATATATAACTGCATTATATATTATTTACACGTATTATATATTATACTACCATATAACATATAACAATCATATTAATATATAATTATGTTAATATATTAATTACACAGAATAATTAATATATTGGTTATAAAATGATCAATATAACTACTATATAGCATGTGGTTATAGTACTACAAAATTAATTATATATTAAGAAAGGTTATATTATCTTTATATTAGTTAATATTAATATAGTAATACATTAAAACTAAAGATTTTGGAGGCACTCTGAGGCAGAAGGCCATGAGACAGTGGGAAAGAATGTAAGAAACCCAAGTAACTTGAGTTTTTGGAAGAGTAAGAGTTAACTAGATTAATGAGCAATCAATAAAATCAGAAATGCCATTGAAGAGAACCTATGCAAACATTAAATATATATAAAGCTCAACCTTACTAGTAAGCAATTAAATAGAAACAAATGTTACTTTAAAATCAAATATACAAGTTAAAAAGAAGGGAGTGTACTGAACATTGGCCCAGAGACAGCAAAACGGGCACTTTCATGTGCTGCTGACAAAGTGTAACGGCACAAGACCCTGTAAAAATCACTTGGCACTCTCTTTGGCCTAGATATAGTTCATTTCTGGAGGTTCATCTCAAGTCAATAATCCTCAAGGTAGGGGGAAAAGCCTGTAAACAAAGACATTCATTATAGCCTTATTTGGATAAATTAAGAAGAGAAAGACAAATTCACTACCCAGCTAAAGAGAAATGGTTAAGTGAACTGTAGTACCTCTACTTGACGGGCTATGATACAGCTCATAAAATAATTTTTATGAAAGCTAAACAGTAACATGTGAATGTTTATTATAAACTTAAGTCAAACAAATGCAGGGGAGAATCAAGTATATTCAACATGATTAAAATTATGGTTTAAAGCTGAAAACAAAAATCATACATATATATACATGTATCTATACACAAAACCAAGACTAAAAAGCTCTAAAATGTTAGGCTTGTTATTGTTACACTAACGGTCTACAGTCGATGCATTCTTTTCATTTTTTGCATGTGCTGTCAGAGGAATATCCCAGACCAGCGACATCAGCATCACCTGGGAAGTTTCTAGAAATACACATTCCCGACCACTCCTCCAACCGAACTCTGAGCAGGGCCCAGCCCCCAGCTTCGGCAGGCTCTCCGAGTGGCTCTGAAGCGAACGTTACAGCAAACGAGACAGAGAGACGGTGAAGCGCTACACACAATATCTGATACAGTCCTACAAAACGGCCAAGAACATCTTACAAAAACGTGGACTTACCATTCGTCTGTAAAGTTCAGTTTTATTGTGCTTGTGGTTGTTCCTTCTGTGCTGTAGTGCAAACTTAAAACTGGTTCACCTGTCCCTGGTTTGGGGCTCAGCTTTTCATTATTGTTATCTGAAAATTGCGTTTAAAACATTTGAAAAAGTCTCTGACACCAATAAAAAGATGACATTTCCTAAAATTTCTAAAACTTAAATTAGGTTGTCCTGGTCATAATTCTCACATCTGCTAAGGTTCTCACTTCAGGTTCAAGGGTAAGCGCTACGGAAGCGCTCACACGCCAAAGCGGCACTGCGCCACGTCCCAGCTTTGCGTGCACGGCTTCACTGGAGGCAGACGGAGATCACACACATTTGAGAACCATTATTTCATCATCAGGGAATCAAAGAATATTAACATGCATTGACATACATTATCAACTGGTGCTTTTATTTAATAGAATGCTCATGACCTTGGACTTCCTTTGCTACAGCACCGAGAATAACGGCTCCTTCGGAAAGGCTGGGGAAACGCAGGAGCTCTGGAGGAAAAGGCTGTTTTTCAAATTCATAGACTTACAATCCAGGGCAGGGGGAAGAGAATTTATTGTTCTTTGTAATTTTCTAAAACTCTCTATTATAAGATCATGTTTTGGTATATTTCACCTCCTCCTCCTGGCTAATCTTGCAAGGAATTTGGTTACTAAATGATGGAAATGGGAATTTCACCTTAAGAAGCTATAGGTTATTTTTCACGACATACATCTATTTCAAAGAATAAAATCTTTACAAAATGGCAAATAAAATCCAGAAACCCTATAGAAATGGATATAGAACACTTCAAAGCCACCTCCCCCAAGAGTACATGGATATTCAAGGGCAAAATTACATGGGGCTTTAAAATTTTTCTTTTTATGATGAACACAGCTTGGGGAGCATTAAAATACATAGGAAACATGCACTGCTGTATAATCAAACATGTCATTTCTGCCAGGGTCTTGCAGAAAGCAAGCTCTTCTGTGATGTCACTGTTCTCTCGATACCAGTTCAAGACATGACACAATTGTACTAAAAATAAGCTTTGCCTTGAAAGGTAACGACAAAAGCAGTAACAACTTAATAAACCCACACGACTCAGGCTTTGTGGCTCTCAGGCACTCGTCCCGATACGGGACCTCTGTCTTCCCACCTTCCGCCCGGAGACGTGGGTGCGCTCCCTGCAGGGGGGCCTCAGAGAGCCTCGGCTCGGGTGGCCGCCGGTGGCAGGCGGCTCACAGGCCTTTGGAGCAGAAGGGCAGCAGGGCGGCAAAGCGTTCTCTCCCTGCCGCCAGCCAGGCGTCAGCCGCAGGGACGCTGTCTCTGCCCCTGACTCGGGAGACGTCCTCTCTGACAACATCCATTTCTATTTGAAAATGAAGTGTCGGTGAATTCTAAAACCGGTCTCCCCAACGGCAAAGTCACTAATTCCGTACCACTTCTGTCGTGACTATGTCCTTGATATAAACGGCTACTGGAAATAAATGAACAACCTCTTACAACTTCCAAGATTCACTTTTGTAGTGTTTTGGAGGTGGTATTTTGCCCAACGGCATTCTGATAAAATAACCAACAGACCTTTAGCTTAGATAAAATTATCCAGAATGGGACTTTTAAAACACCTATTCTATCTTTGACCATCTTTGAAAATCTGGCTGTTTCTTAGTCATTTGTCCACAGAGTTTTCCTTGACTCTTCAGTCATGTGACTGATACCTTTGACCCTCTGCCAAAGTCACAGTCGCCTTCAGGCGCCTGGCGCAGGTGAGGACAGGAAAGACTGGACGCTCCAGGAAACTCAGAGGCAGGGCTGCGGCTGGTCCTCTCACGCCTCACGACAGTTCACAAGTGCTCTGCTACTTTCATTTTAAAGTAAAGAAGGAATAACAAACCAAACCAGGGCTGAATTTCCTAGATCCACCTCAGTTACAGAAGCAGAAGTAATGAGAAGCCTTGCAAAATGCAAATACTACATCAAAACTTTCCTTCAGAGGAAAATGAAAGAGACAAGTTCTAGACACCTGCAGGCTATAACAGAAACGGCCTAAACAGAGCCGTCAAGAGGTCAGAACGGGGTAGAAACTACTTTGTTTACACACGCAGGACCCTATACCACCCCGAAGCAAAGCCTTCCTGAGATGGTCAATGGTAATTAAAACCTTCTTCCTTATACTATCTACTTACTATAAAGTTACCGTTTTATCTCTCATGAATATGATCGCTATATTGTAAATCATGTTCAACATAGTAGCATTCAGCCCTGGCTGGTGTGGCTCAGCGGACTGAGCGCTGGCCTGTGAACCAAAAGCTCGCAGGTTCGATTCCCACTCAGGGTACAGGCCTGGTTGCGGGCCAGGTCCCCGGCTGGGGGTGTGCGAGAGGCAACCACATGTTGACGTTTCTCTCCCTTTCTTTCTCCCTCCCTCCCCCTGTAATAAATATATAAAATCTAAAAAACAAAACGTAGTAGTAGTCATTTAATTTATAAAATGATTTGTTCAATTAAGTTGCTGTGAACTCACCAGACTTGTGTAAAACTGGCCCGTTGCTGTCTAAGTACAACACACTCCTCTGTCAGTTACAAATGTGTCCGCCCTGAGTCCAGGGGTCTCCCTGAAGGCTGCCCGGAAACAGGGTCTCCGTGACCAGACCACGGCAGTTCCCTCAGCCAAGGCGCAGGCGGGGGCAGCGCCCTGAGGTCAGAATCCATGTCCGCATCCTGCTCAGTCCGTGCGTCCTAGTTTAATGCTCCTCCACTTCATCATTATTACCATCGGTCAGGTTGGATTTTCTCAGAAATAGAGATCCCTGGCTTACTAGTGAACTAATTCACCATCTGTTTCTGATAAATGAATACTGTAAGCTACAAATGTCTAAGAAAAATCTACTTTAAAGAACAAAAAATTAAGTTTCATTTCTACTCAATTTGAAAAAAAATATTTGTAACCATTTCAATTTGCCCTAATTGGCTCTATTTATTAGAGGTTGGATCAGCAAACACAGTCCAGAAACTTTACTGCTGGAAGTTCTTACTTACATAATGCAGGTATATACTACTTAATGACTCTGCCCAGCAAGCAGAGATTTTAAGAGCTGTAGGGGTTAGAACTTCACCTTGCCATACAAACAGCTGCACAGAAAGCACCATCATAAGAGTAACTAAAATGGGTTGAGCATGACCACGTCCCAGAGACATATGTGTTCTTTCAACCTTTGCTAACACCTGTTGGCGTCTCCGCCTCACGGATGAGGACCCTACTGAGCTGGGTTTGTCTCCGGAGCCGCCGAGGCTTCCCGCGACGTGAAGCCCTCCAGACTACACTGACCTGGAAAGACCTTCAGCACAAAGAAGAAAACGAGGCTGCTGGAATAGACAACGGTTTTGGCTAAGAGGCATCCACTATTCCTGCTGCCCTTCCTCAGAAGTGATGCGTAATCTGTTCATTCAGCCGCACGACCCTAAGCGACAAAACCTCCGGCGGCCAGGCGGGCACCGGAGCCCCGGAGAGCTGTGCTGTGCCTTCTCCCGGGCGCGCCGGGACAGTCTGTCTCTTCCCCCGAAGACACCCCGGGCGAATAAAAGCAATGAAATCGCTGTGCGTTCAACACAAGGGCAGCGCGCTGGTGGGAAAAATCACAGCCAACCTGTCCGGCCCTGATCCGTTTCCAGACGGCCATTCTCCCTCGCCGAGCGACGACGGCTCCGAGCAGCCACGCGTGAGGCCAGCAGGGCGGAGCCCTCCCGATCACGGGGGACGGCACTGAACTGAAACGTGCTCAGGAAGCACAGTGACAGCCGCACGGCAATCGAGACAGCATCCCGCCCTGGAACGACTTCGTTTCTCAGGGTTAGAAGTGCATGGTCGATGACGTAGGATTCTTGACTACTGACTATTATTGACTATTATCAACAGGATAACATAATAGTAACAAATGTAAAAGGTCCTTTCCAGAAATGATACAAAAGCCTTTTTGTCAGGTGACAGCCTTGGCTCAGAGAGAAATTTCAATATGGGCTGGAATATAATTTGAAAGCAACTTCTTTTAACTTTATTTGCTTAATTAGGTATCTTCCAAGCCTTTCAGAGAAGAACCACAAATTAATTTTTTTGGTAATACATGTTTTCACACCATTTGATCTGTGCATTTCTACTATGAAATTACGTTCATTTGTGGCTCTAAAAAACATGCTCAAAGACATAAAAGAAAGTAAGTGCGCCAACAGCAGCATGAAACATACCGCCTGGGCAACGAGCTCTGCACACCCTGCCTGTTCAACAGCCCGCACGCCTCCTGAGCTCCCCGTCCCTCCTGCCTGACTCCTTGCCGCAGGCCGACGTCCCCACCCACTACTAGGGCAGCCTCCTGGGTGGACCGGTCTCCAGCCAATTCTCCGTCCTCTGCGCGCACACACCGGGCCAGGCTACGCTCCCGGATTCACGTCCTCTGTGAGCCTCCTGATGTCCTGAACAGAAAATCCAAAAGCTCCTTCTCAACCTGGGCCCTGCCCGCCCCTCGACGGCATGGCACGCTCCGGCCACACTGGCCTCTTCCAGTCCCTCAGATGCGATGGCCTCGCCCGGCGTGGCCTGACCCAGCCTCCAGACCGCCGCCGACACGCTGGCCTTCGGGGATGCCTCACTCGGCCCCCACCAGAGGAGACGTAGACTCTCGCACATTCCCCGCGGCAGTCTGTTATTTCCTCTCTGCGACCGTCACCACATTTCCGTCTCCCATTAATACGGCAGGCTCCAACCATTAGGAATTTATTAATAAAAATTGGAATTGTCCATTTAATGGCTCTGTAAAATACGTCATCTTGCCAAGGTGACATTTAGCAAAATAAAATTTCAATTCGGTGACAGCGTTTAATCTGAAGGGACTACCCACTTAATGCGTGGCAGGTCTGAATTCTGTTCCTCAAAATTTGTTGCTTGTTGTTCTTCAAAATGTTGTGCTTTTGTTAAAAATTCAAGATAAACAAGTAAAAAACACTGACTGCAAGCAACCAGTTTAATAATGTGTATGTAATTACTGAGAGAAAAATATTTTTTCAGTAAAGTGAGCCGTTACAATTTTTAAATCTTTGTTAGTGACATTCGTACCCTTGGGGGCCGCCTCTGCAGAACTCTCGGACGGCTTCCAGGGCCGCGCCTCCATCCACTGCCTCGGGGGCTCCCTCGTGGGGACACCCAAACACACCTCGACCCGGGCCGGTCGAGAGAATCGCACGTCCCTCTTCCCCTCAGGACAAGCTGTTTCTCCTGAAGTCTCCGTCCCCGCGGATGGCGTTGCATTGACCACCCCGTCAAAACACCCGGCTACCGTCCTCCCGGTGCGTTTTAACTAAATCAGTCTCAAAGCCCCGTTAACTGTTTCTTAAATATTTGAACAACCCGCCCCTCCCCCTTGCCCACCACCGCCGCCTTGGATGGGGCCCCCCCAACCCGTCGCCCGGACCGGGCAGCAGCTCCCGTTCTAACCCCTCCCTCACAAAGCTGCCCGAACGAGCTTTCCAGTGCGCCATCTGGGCGTGTTCCTCCCAGGCTGAAACCGCGGCTACAGCGCCCCACCGCTTCAAGGACCCAGTCATTGACTCCCTCCCTCAACACATGTTTATTGTGAATGTATGGCAGCTGCAGTGTTGGGCACTGAGTATTATTAGTGAGTGAAACCGCTCAGAGAACACGCAGAAGGATGGGCCTTCAGCGGGCGGGCGATCCGATGTTGACACACGTGATGAAGGAAGACAGGTCAAAGGGCGGGGGACGGCTTCAGCTCCGTCCTGTCATCGTGGAGAGTGCGCCCTCTCTGTGAGATCTGGAAAGCGGCTGAAGGGAAAGCATTTTTGGTACAGGGCACAGCAAAAATAGGGAAGCTGAGAGGGAAAGGAGCCTGGAGCGTCGGAGGAACCGAGAGCAGGCCTTCTGGGCCAGGGCGCGGGGAGTCCCCCGCGAGGGGGCCGCGCGGTCACGCAGGGGCTCTCACCTGGGGGCTCGCTAAGGGGTCAGGTGGCTTCGAAGGGCAGGGTGGGGGACACCAGGGGAAAGCTTGAGGCGGGCGACGTGACGGGCTGCACCTTTCTAGAGGTGCGCCCTGGCTGCTGGGGAGGACGGCCCTCCTGCTCGCTGAGAGGCTCCCTCCTGCTGCGGAGGACGGGGCGGGCACTACCCTCGGCTCTTACAGCGGAAGTTACCTTTAGGGAACGCCAGCCGGAGCGTGGGGGTCCCCGGACTTCAACAGGTGAGATCCTGCTGAGCAAACGGCACCCAGACGCTCGGCTTCCATCCCCCGGGCCGCTGCCGGTCCTCAGCGCGGCGCTGCTCGGAGGACTCAGGGAGGGCCGCCGCCGAAGGCCTGTGCGGGCACAGCTTCCGCCGGGCCTGGTCGCTATTTGACCTCTTATGTAACATCTCCGCTTACAGGACTGAAGGGCGTATCGTACTGTACCTGGCCCCAAACCCAAAATCCCTCCCAATTCCCACCTCCAAACCAGTCTACTGAGCAAATGGCATCGTCACTGACACTGAAAATCTGGGTGTTACCCTTGTCTCTTTTCATATGCAAATTAGGTACCAACTGAAATTGAGTATAATCTTTTAGGATAAGTCTGTGGAAATTATTCTACATGATTTTATAGACTATGAACCTGGCTACGAACTCTCTGGTAGAAACATGTTCTTTACATTCATATACCCTTGCAAAAAATTACTTGATTAGAGAGCAGTTTTAAACAACAGTAAAATGTAATATACAGTGCTACTATAATTGTTTTACCTTATAGTAATTATTCTTCACAGTTAATACCACTACAATAAATGTATAAAGAAAAAACATGCTTAATTTCTTAGTTCTCAAATTCATTTACCGATGCCCTCATCCGTTCTCAAGAACAGGAAGACCTACAGCACACTGCTCGCATAAATGCTAACTTAAGATGAGAGTACAGAGGGAGTTTCTAATTTGTTTTGAAATCGGTTTCTGAATATCTTCCTGAGAAGATAGTTGAAATCAGATCTCACACCAAACAGGCCCTTCAGCAAGAGCTCGTTTTCCCGACACTGTTCACGACGGGGTCATCCTGCACATGTAAATGTGAATTGTATGGCTTTAGTGCTGAGTTCTTTTTCGATGTTTTTGGAAAATACCTGTAAAGTCGATCTCATCAGGCTTTACACGAGGGCCTGGGGCCGGCTCTTTACCTGTTTAGCTTCGAAAGAGCAAGTGGAAGGCAGAAGCCATTTCCCTTCCGGCTGGCGGCCTGGGACCCTCCTAACTGGAATCCAAGTTGCTCCCCTTACAGGTGAAGCTCCCTGGAGCCCAACCCCAGGGAAGTGAGACATAAAACCAAGTGTCACGGCTGCAGCAACGGGGCCATGCAGGGTGCCACCGTGCTCAAGTCGCCTTTCCTGAACTGCCCGCTGTGTAACGCGCTCCCCTCACACCCACAGGTCCACACGACTCTATGAGAGAGACCCCGAATTGAAAACTGGGCTTCGTCTCTGCCCCTCACAGGGCTGGTACAGGGAGCGGACTCAAAGGCAGCCTACTGGCCCAGGGCAGGGAGTAACCTCGTTCACGCGGAGGAGCACCCGCGCCTTCCCGAGGGCCCCGCACACCGTGCCGCCTCGGGGCGTTCGGCCACCGGGCGCTGCCTCGCCGGCCGCGCCGGCAACAGACACTACGGGGGGGAGAGGGCTGGTCTGTGTGCTGCCACAGAACGGGGCGCCGGGCACAGCGCATCTCCTGTCGCACGCACCCTGTTGCTCGTCAAGGGACATGGATCCGAGCTGTTTGTTAACCACAGAAGAAGGAGAATCTGAAACAAAAATGAGATTTCCACTTAAAAATAAGCAGCAGACAACTGCATAGCAAGGTCACGATCATGTCTACGCTTAAACACAGGTACGGGGTGGGGACAGAGGTGAGCACTGCGGAGGGGTTCCCGAGCAGTGAGGAAGCAGGGCCACGTGCTTAGGACATGTTACTTCAGGCAAGCCGCCAGCAGCTGTGCGAGGGAGCTGGACCCACTCTTCTCCTTCCATGCACGCGTCCTACGCAAAACCCCCTGGGCACAGGCGCGATGGGCACGGCGGGCGGGCGGGGCGCGGCGGAGACGGCGAGCCCTCCGCTGGGCCAAAGACTCCCGGCCCTTCTCCACCCCTCGCCGGCTCCTGCAGGCCAGCCCGTCCTGGGCTGGAGGCTTCCAGCGTGAAACGTGCTCGCTACGCTTTGCTAGGTGTTGTTTGTTATGCCCTGAGCTGAAAAAGGAGCTCATGTGAAGACGCAAGACAGAGAAAATGTTTACAAAGTAAATATTCGATGAAGTAATCGCCATTAGAGAAGCACAATTAACTTTACATGCTATGCTACATCATGCGTATTACACCTGTACCCTGTGAAGTCTTAAGCTTCTGTCGGTGCCTCGTGGGGACAAAAGACAGGCAGGGAGAAGGCCCCATGGTCTGGGCTCCGCGCCGCCGTCTGCCTCTGCACCAGGTGGAACACTCTATCTCTGTCCTCTGACACACTGAGTTTCTATGTAAGAACTGGTTTCATAAACGGGCTCTACTGTTCGAAAACCCTGGCAGAGCGGGAAGGCAGCATGATAAAGCGAGCGGAGCCCTCGCCCGGACTTAGCCGTCTTTTCTTCTGTCCCTGGCTGTGCCAATAACGAGCTCCGTGGCACAGAACAAGCCAAGCAGCGTTGCTAGGCCTGCGCTTCTCCTCTCCTCCTGCCCATCCTGTGGCCTGGCCACCTGAGCCAGGCCCTGGGGAGCGGGAGGAGGTGGCTGCTATTCCTGCCTTGGGGTCTGGTGTCCCAGCTGGGCCGTGGGAAAAAGGAAAGTATGGACAATACGCAGAGCCTTCCCCGAAACGCACGACTGCTTCCTGCTTCCTGAGGGCCCACACCCCAGGTCTGGGCCAGTGCTGAGTCTAAACCAAACACCTGGCTGATGGCTGATGGCCAGTCTCCATCCTAGTGGCACTTCATTCCCCCAAAGGTAGGGATTTTGAGTCGACTGTCCTCAACTCGACAGCTAAGGGTTTTCCAATATATCCTGATTCTCAGCAATGTCATACCACTTGACGGCTCCCACTTGTACGTTTACAGGTCCGAACCCTGCTTCCGGGACCACTCGTGCTGACTTGAAACCGTCCCCCTTCTGATACAGCCAGGCTGCACACAGATGTCTGCGTTGCCGGACTCTGGTGCAGCCTGGTTACCGTCTCAGCACCAGCTCCCCTTGCCCCTACGCATCGCCTCACCCCGGAGCCTCAGTCCGACACACCGGTCCCACACGAGGAGGGCCGTGGGGACGGCAGCGCTGCAGCCTGCCCCCCGCCATCCCTGCGCCCCTCCTGCATACGGCGTTCGCCCCGCCGTCCGGTTCAGAGCCGGATGCAGCCATCCCATGCTGCTTTTGAGGAACAGGTAAGCTAATTTTTACAGAAAATCAAAACTATATTCTTTAAAGAAAAACGTAACAAAAATATAGGTCAGAGTGAAATAAATATTGGAAAATCATCCCAGAAAGTCTCCTACGAAACAGTTCTCGTCCCTCTGGATTTATTACACATTTTAGTGTGCTCTCCCTTAATGATGAAGAGCTCTACGAACCCTCCAAGCCATCTTTTTACAAAGCCTTAATTCTTCCATAAATGTACACAATGTACAAATCTCAGTAAATGAAGTATGTCTTATACAATTATTAAAATAAAATTTAGGAGTAACTTTCTCTAAAAAAAAAGAAAACAAAACCTTGATCAAGAGCCTAGAATGCTGTCACCTCCACAAAATTGTGTATTTTTTACTCTTAAAGGATTTAAATGACGAAGGAAGTTCACACTAAGGCAGGAGACCCTGTTAAACGACACGGGGCCGCGCTGCCTGCTGTGGCCGCGGAGCGGCCCGAGGAGCTCTCGCTGCCCGTCCCGCCCTGACCTGACGGCCAGGCTCTGCTCCGAAACCCTTCCTGACCCCGCTTCCGTTCTGGTCCTGCCGCTGGTGCCTGCAGCAGTTTTTGGAGAGGTTGTCTGCCTGTTGCACAGACACCTGAAGTGACATGTTCTTATACCAGTAGGCATTCATAAATACCACCCCCACGGACTTCTAACTTACAGAAATGTTTCTAAATATTAACTCAGTAGCCATCAGAATAACTAATACTAAAAAAAAAAAAAAAAAAAAAAAAAAAAAAAATACAATGATTAATTCAATGCTGCTTGCTTCATTTGCGTACTGACTCTGTCTCTCCATGAAGCTCCTTCTGGAAAGTACCATCGCAAAATAAAAGTCTGGTCATATGGTCCAGAGATAACTTGTTACAAAGTGCAATGTGGCTTGTTGGCTTATTGAAAGTGTCTAGAATAACAATATTACTTTTAAGGTCAAGACAAACTTTAAGCCAAAGCTCATTTAGTAATAGCTCAAGTTGTCTCATGCCAATTACTATTATGTTTCTGAAATGTTTGTGTTTTGGTATTGAGAACATTCTCGATCCCTTTGACATCAGAATCTTCTCAAATGTAGGAAAAAAAGAGCGAATTACAGACCAACAGGTAAATAACAAGGACTCTTCAGCCAGACTCTCTGGGCTCAAATCTGGCTTTTCTCCTCAGTAACACTGTAGCCCTGGGGAAGTTATGTAACTTCTCTAAGCCTCAGTTTGTCTATCTGTAAAATGGACACAATCAAGACAGTACCACGACCTGCTCTTAGGACGATGTAATGAGCTAATCCACGTGAGCTGCGTGGGTGGCTCATAGGAAAGGGGTATTCATGCCACTATCGCGTGCCTGGTGCTGAGAAACATGGTACGGAATGAAAATGATGACAGGAAGCTGTTTTGAAAAATATGGAGCATATTCTCATATTTAAAGTTCTAAGAACCCTCACGGCTTCGCTCAGGACTCTGCCATTCGATGGCGTCAAGGAGCGTTTGCGGGACTAGGTCAATGCCAGGTCGCGCCTACTGACGACTTGCGTGTAAACACTGAGAACGCGGGTGGAGAGCGAGTGCGCCCACCACCCATGACTGTCATCAGGGACAGGGGAGGGGTGGGAATATGAGGTTGTGAAGAGCCTGCTTGCACAGGACCAGGGAAGCGCTGATTTTTTCCAATATGGCTCAGTTTTGAAAAGCCCTTTTTAAAAAATAATCACCAATGTTCTATACCCTTCGGGGGTACAAAATAATTACTTTTTCCAATCAGCAAAACCGTGCCATAAAGTGAAAAAACAGTTCCTACCTGCCCCCCTCTAGGCTGGCTCCCCGCTCCAGTGGGGCTGTAGCGGTCGGGCCAGTACCAGCAGGCGCCACTCTGAGCAGGAGCCAGCAACCCATGACCTGGAATGGAAATAAAGAGCTGGGTTTAAAATCAGCCCTTTGCCCACTGCCTCTGTGCGGCTGCTTGGGAGACAGACACACGCAGCTTGTTCAAAACCCCAGAGGCCACTGGCCTTACAGGGCCCGGGATGAGCACGTGCTGAGGCAGGAGGTGAAAGGCAGTCATTAGGAGACTGTTACTGTGCACGCTGCGCTCCTTAGGAGCAGAGACACTGTCTTATGCCTTCTTAGCGGCCCCACCCTTATGCCGCCTCTGTGAGTGATGCAGGCCACACTACCTGCACAGGGCAGTAACTGGGAAACTGAGGCACGAAGCAGCCACAGGGCCTGCCCAAGGCCGCCTGATCATGGGGCCGGGGACAAGATCTCAGCCGAGTCCATACCCAGGCAGCAGTCTGATGAAGGCAAACGCGCCTCTTTGTGATTAAAAAATAACAACAAAAATCACTGAAAGGCTAGAAATCAGTTATGGAGTATTTTCTGAAAGCCTAGAAAAGAATGGCTTTTTAAACTCTATAAAGTGAAAGTATTTTCAAGTAATCAATCCTAATAAAATTTTTTGAAATTATGAAAAATCATCATGCATAGCAGTCAAAATTCTTTAAGAGCAGCAGCCTCAACACGCGCGCCCAGGAGCGGAGGTTCCGAGTGAGCACCGGGCCGAGCAGGCAGGCCGCCCCCCATCTCCCTGCGCGCTGTCCTCACCACGCCGCCACCTCTGCAGGCTCTGCGTTGGAACCCCCCCAGGAGACAGGGGAGCGCGCCCGGCTGAAAACCCCCGCTCAGACCTCCTGGGCACCCGCCTCCCGGGGCTCATTGAAACAGCCCTTGAAACAGGGCGACACCACTTGGTGCCTCGGAATGATTTAGTCTTCGCTTGCCAAGAAATATTGGCAACTAAGTAGGTGGGTTCTATCTGGGTTTGTCAATACCTAGCATCAGGCCCCATCCCATTAAAATGTAGATTATTTCTACAAAATGATTACTCCTACCCCCTACAGAAATTCAGGTATTAGAGATTCATCTTCCACTTAGCCTCTCACAAAAGGCTCTCATCGGGCCTATGTTTTGAAAAGAGACAAAATGTTTGCTAGACAGCTGTGAAAATTGCTTCGTTTCCAAATTACATTAATGTCTCCTTTGAGTATCTTATATGCAAAAGATTTAAATAGGTGAGAAGACAACAGAAATATCACTTACTGACAGTATTATCACTTACTAATATTATAAACATATCAAAGTGTTAATGAGAAAATACAGTTTTTATTTATGGGAAATGCACATTCTTTTATTGGTAGTGAGTGAAAATCCAGAATGTTGATTTTGATACTTTCTCTGCTGCTCAATGATTCTGTAGGAACATCTAGCAGGAGAGGGTGGACTACTTCATGTTCATAATACACATACCCAAAACTGTATTTAGTTATTAAGTATAATGAGATGTTTGAATAATTGTTTTTCAAATAAAACTCCCTGTTGACTTGCATAAATTTAAGTCCTATTCTTTATTTCTATAATCTGTGTGTTCTAAAATGAAGAATTTTGTGTTCTTCCCTTCATAGCCAGAACTGACTAAATGGACAAAACGCGGAGACCTTATCAGCTGTCCTTGGGAACAACTGACAAGCGGCTGTTTCAAGAGTCCCGACGCCCTTCACCGCCCAGCACCGCTGCGGGGACAGGAGGGTGCCCTGCTGAATGCAGCGACGAAGGCCAGCCCCGCGGACAAAGTGCCCCACCTGTACGTGAGGGGGCAACTCTCGGGAGTGACAGCCCCCACGGCCTCTGGTGTCGTCCACGGGGCAGTCTCCGGGACCCAAACTTGCAGGTTAATCACAAAGAAGAGACAACGCGGTTCTCCCCTTCAAAACCCACCAGGCGCCTGCTCCGCCTCAGCGTTGTAAAGGCCACCACAAGGAGGCTGGATACCGTACCGGACGCTATTTACTAAAGATGATACTTAGAGTTGGGAAAACAGCATCTGACTTCAGACACTAAATAATTACCCTAAAATTGTCTGACTCCAAAAAGAATCTACTTCAATTCCAGTTAGTGAACTAGGTACGAAAGCTGAGTCTCAAAATACTTCTTGGAGGTCCACAATATACACGGCTTTCCTGCTAATGCAGGCAGCTCTCTGTTTTATACCCAAATTCACATAAATTTCAGTATTTTAAAAGTATTTACATATGTAAGAGACACACTGTATCTTCTTTTTTATTGGTTTCTATATTGCATTTTTTTTACTTTTGAAATAATTTAGCTAAAGTTTTATACATAACATAAAGTCATAACAAATGTCATTAAATGCCATAATTGTAATCTAAGCACATTCTCGTTTCGTAAGAAGAGATTTCTCTATAGTTAAAAAATAATAATAATAAAAAATCAGAGACATCTTTGCATGACTGCATTAAAAAATCAGGCCCAGAATTTGTTCCAAACATCACACCTCTATACTACAGTTACTTAAAACTATTTTATTTCACCACAGTATTATATAATGTGCTTTTGTTATCATACTACTCACTGGAACTGATAAAGTAGAGGTTGTCTAGTTCTACCAATACATAAATGAACTCCTAGTAATAAATCAGAGTTCTCAAAGTAATTTAATCCCCAACCTCACCACTCCTTAAAGCAGTAAAACAAAGTACAATAATCTCACTAGTATGAGAATTGCGGACACACTCTAGTTCCTAACCTAAGAACTACAGCACCTAAGAGAGTACCCATTATACAGGATACAGTACCTATGAGGCATCTGCAAAGAGTTAAGAAGACAAATGATTTTTGTTATCTTTCATGAATTCTTTCAACAAATGCTTACTGAGCATCAAGAGCTGTCTGTCCATGAAAGAACTGGGCCATTGAGACACTCCAAGAAAGAGAGAGAGGCCCCAGTAACTACTGCCTTAGGGTCTCATAGCATCAGGACAGGAACACAAGGCTGTGGGGTGCTTTCGCTGTCCTACGTGTCAGACAGCGGGTTATGTGTAGAAGAACTAAGTAGGCAGATATTGAACGTGTTCACATAATTACAGAGGGGGATGACTGAGTCAATAGGCTAGTATGGCCAAACGATATTTAATTCTAAAATCTAGCATAACTAGTAACTACACTTATATGGGAACAGGAACACTGGTTAACTTTTAAAGCCAAAAAAAAAAAAAAAGAAAGAAAGAAAGAAAGAAAAGAAAAAGAAAAAGAAAAAAGAAATAGAAGAGCAGAGCCCTGGCTGGTGTGGCTCAGTAGACTGAGCACCAGCCTGTGAACCAAAAGATCACCGGTTCGATTCCCAGTTAGGGCACATGCCTGGACTGTGGGCCAGGTCCCCAGCAGGGGGCGGTTGAAAGGCAATCATGCACTGATGTTTTTCTCCCTCTCTCCAAAAATAAATAAATGAAGCCTTTAAAAAAAAACAACAACAACAAGAAAAAGAAGAGTAGGAGGAGCTAGAAGCCATAAGCATAGAGATCATTTAAGGGTACAGGAAGTTTCAGTAGAAATCTCAATGCAGGCTCAAAGCTGGCTAGATAATTATTAGAAAGTTGTTCATTGACTATGAAAGAAAAAAATACCTCCCCCCAACTATGGATAAAACAGCAGATTATGTCATATTCCCCTGTGGCTAACACCGCAGCCATTGCCACCTAGCCAGGCAAGCTGCAGGCACCCGCGGGCCCGCCCCCAGCAGCAGCAGCAGCAGCAGCACCCGCAGCAGCACCCGCAGCAGCACCCGCAGCAGCAGCAGCAGCAGCAGCAGCAGCACCTGCGTCCCCCGCAGCACCCGGCGCAAGCTCCCCGGAGCACACCGGGTGCAGTAACCTGCGGCTTGCGGGTCCAGGGCCGGGGGCGGCGGGCACGCTCGCGCGGCCAGCTCCTGCTGCCTCTGCTGCTCGGCCTTCTTAAGCCTCAGTTGTTGCAGCCGCTTACGGAGCAAAGCTATCTCAGGCCCCCTTAAAAATTCTGGCACAGACAGGAAAGAAAGGTGAAAGGATAGTAATCAAAGAGAAACAGAATTTGATTATACGAGAAACTAGTGGGAGTATGATTACACAAGACAGAAGGATGTAAGTTGAACACATCTCAGAGCAGAACACTCATAACAAATTACATACTTATAAATAAGGAAATTGCTGATCGTTAAGAGAAAAACTATACACTCTTACACACCCAAATGCTTGTTTAACTTGATGAATTAGACACTTGTAGTTTTCTTAGAACACTTAATTAAACAGTATGAAAATAAAGTCCTCTATACACAAAACAATTTAAAATGAACATTCCTCACTAATTCCATCTTTTTACAACAAATGATACTAAAAAATGAAAAACTGAAAAATATCAGTATTTCATCTACTCTACACACAAAAATTACTAATTTTAATCAAATAATAATTAAGATTCAATTAAAACAATGAAAACGTTATGAATTTCTAAACAATTCTTGGCATTTATTAGTGGAGAGCCCTTTAAAAAGTGTAATTTCCATATTTTTCAGCTAAATTATTTCCTTTTACGTTAGATCTGTCATTTGCTTTTTCTTTAATGCTGAAATATGTTTACATAATCTTGAATATTTTCTGACACTTTACCTGAAGCAGTGGTCACAGATAAAAAGTAGAAATAGAACACAAAGTTCAGCAGAAAAACTAAGTGCCTACTGTGTGTTGTAGGCACTGCAGGTAATGAAATAGTGAGCATACTAGACAGCCCCTCCCCGCGCAGAGTTCCTGCTCTGAGGGAAGAGCCCTCAGTGAACACACACAGGTCTGTGGCGCCGCGTGTGTCTGCGTGTGTCCAAGCGGAAATGCCGCGGGGGCTGGGCAGGGAAAGGGCGGGGAACAGAGACTGTGGGGAGAGCCGTCCCGAGGGAGGGCCCTCTCGCGGCGGTTTCAACGACGACCGCGGGCAGGAGCTGCGTGGAGGCGGGGGCTCCTGGGGGACGGTACCGCCAGAGCAAGGGCTGGGGGCGAGTCCCTCAGGCCGCGGGATCCCCCTCCAGGCTGCAGCAGCAGAGCGCGCAGAGGGAGGCTGCAGAGGCCCCTGCGTGTCTGGCGTGGGTGCCAGGAAAACCAGAGCCGCCCTTCGCTGTGGAAGGGAAGAATGGGGAAGGTACATGGCATCAGAAGGAAGAAAAGAACGTCCGAGTGCGGGACCTGAACAGGGACTGACGACGGTCCAGGACCCGCCAGCAGATCGATCTCCTGGGTGATGTCGCTCTCGGCCCCCTGGGGAGTAAGTGATGGGGAGGAGGAGTCGATGACCTAAGTCCAGACACTCCCACGTGGAGGAAGAGGGGTGAGAACGAGCGGGCAGACGGACGTCTGGGGGCTAAGGGACGATGCTGGCGCACAGAGTGCCAAGGAGGCTGAGTGAGCAGTCGGGTCCAAGGCCGCTGAGGCGAGGAGACGAGTCCTGAACGCCGCCCCCGGGCTGTGCACCTGGGGAGCCTCCGATGGCCGCGGCTGCAGGTGCTTCCGTGGGACCCCAGGGGCCACCCCGGACTGGAACGGGCCGGAGAGAACCGGGGCGGCGAAGCAGAACCAAAGGCCAAGCGTGCGACGGCCTCCACGCCTTGCGCAGGGAACAGCGGGGGGGACGGAGAAACCAGGCGGCGGCCAGCGGCGGGCAGAGGCAGGAGCCTGGCTGAGGTCAGTCGAGGAGGCAGAGGCTGTGAGCAGACGGACAACGCTCATGGGGAGGGGAGGGAGGCGCCAGCGGGAAGAAGCGCAAACGCAGGAAGGACGCCTGTGTCCACCGAAGGCGAGTGGCTGCGCGGTGACGGGGGTGCTGGTGTTAGCGCCCCTAACCCGGAACCCAAGGGGCAGCGGGGTGCGCGGGGAAGCTTCGGCAGCTGCACCTGTGCAGGTGGGCGCCCCCCCAGCCCCCCGTGACGCTGGCAGCAACTCACGCACTGCCAGGCAGCGTTCTGCCTCGTGCGCCGACGCCCCAGCCGCAGACCTTGGCTTATGGCCTTGGAATCCATCGGGACACAGACCCTAGCCTCTCATTCCCACACCAGCTGTGCTTGGAGGGTTTTGTTCGATTAGCAGGCTGGTAGCTAGGATTTCACGAGCAACTCACAAGCCGTCCCCGTCTCTCACGGCTGGTTGTTCTTGGTCTTTTCTAGTACTTCGCGAGTACTCTAGTGCTGGCTCGTTCTTCCCTAGTACTGAGCAGGGTAGTATTCACTGAGAAATGAAGCGCATGCCCAAGGGCCTAGTGGCAGACACATATGCCTTATTCATGGTCAGCGTAACAGCGATGTTTTCACAATGTAACATAGAGATTATGCAACCATAAAGTCTATCTTTCTACACTTCAAAAGAAAGTACCACAGAGAGATTATATATGTGCCGAATTTTGCTAAGAAAACAGAAAAATCACACAAAACATCGCACAATTTCATTGTTGTTTCCAACCCTGTCTTGTACTGTGAATGTCTTGCGGGAATATAAGCGTCTCTGTCCCAGACGCACTCGGCGATGCCACAAGCACACGGTGGGCTGTGACTGCAAGCAGTGACGTTCTCTAACTGGGGAAAACCAAGATTTACTCAGCACTTCCAGCTTCATAAGGAAGAATTTATTTGCCTGCTTTTGAGGCTGGTTGCATGGTGGCTCTTTCCCCACTCGGGTTAAAAAAAGTGAGCCTAGGAAGAGAGGTCAACACACAGCTAACTAGGAGAAGCAAATATTGAAATCAAAAATTCCAACCACACATGCCAGACTAAACAGTTCTGCTAGTGGGCTTAACGTGTTACAAGCAGGAAAAATCCACACATATTACGCCCTTTTCAAAATGTACACACAAACATGTATAATTTATAATGCAAATAAATGCTTAGAGAATTAGTTTTGCTAACGTAAGCCAAAATGGAAAGGGAATACGATGAATACCTTTGAGCTGAATTAAAAAACAAAGCAAAACCCTCAACAACGCGTCAGGGACTGCAGATGGGAAATGCGCGCCCTCCGTCGAACTTCCTTCCCAAGGGCCCCAGGCGGGCCCCCCAACGCAGTAGCTCCCCCGGGGGCGAGAGCCGCGAGGGCCCTCCGGGTTCTGCCTCACGCCCTGCCTGCCCCTCCAGCACACGGGGTCTCCGGTCCCGGACACCAGGCTGCTTCTCCATCGGGTCCAGGGAACCCCATCGGCCTCCTCTCAAGCTGCCTCTGGTCCAGGTGACCCCTGCGCACTTCTCCCCGTGCTGATCGCTCCTGTCCTGGCTCCCAAGGCCCTCTAGTCTCAGCTTCAGCCTCCCCCAGGTGGCCTTAACCCTGAGGCTCCCCCTGGCACCCGGCCTGTGCGCAGCCTTGCCGCGCCTAAGGCGGCCCCGGTCCCCAGGGGCGGGGGGAGCCGCCGGGCTGTGAGAGACTCGCTCTGGCGTACTGCACGGCAGAGCTCCCGGCTCCCCGGACACCTTCCCACAGGGCGCAGTGCTGCCGCAGAGAGGCTGGGGGCCCCTAAAGAAATGTGTCCGCCTGAGCAGACTCGGCCGTTTGCAAAGAAGCAGGGATCCACAGCGGCCACAGCACATGCGGCTGGAACAGACCAGCTGGCTCTCCATGGCCTCCGTGGTCCGTGTGGCTAGAAACAGGTGTCCTGTAGGGGACTCCCTCGTCCAGGGAGCCTCCCCAGCTGAACCGGGTGCATGCTGGCGCCCCATCCCATCCACGCCTGCCTTTCCTAACTCTCTCCTTTGGTTCAGACTGAAGCCAGACTGAAGCCAAGAAGCAGCTGCCACACGCTGGCGTCACGGCCTCGGTGAGTGCTCCCTCATCACCACGGCGAGAAATGACAAACCACACAGGATGTAAAGGCACTTCCAGACTCGCTCAGAACGACCAGAAGTCAAGTCTAACTGACAGCACTGAGAAAAGTAGAAAACTCCTCATAGTTACTGTGAAATAGCTTTTATAAATAAAATTGTGAAGGTCTCATTTTAACCTATACAGTTTCAACTCATAATCAGACCTGCTTTCTAACTAGATAATTGCGTAACCACGGTTGTTTGCTAAATAGTCAAAAAAAGACCTTGTATAACATAAGAATCAAAATGTCTGACTAAATTCTGGGTTTTATATATAGAATATGGTTTCAAATGGTCTGGCTGCTTGAATTAAAATTCAAGAATACAAAAAGTAAAAAAAAAAAAAAAAGAAAGAAAGAAAGAAAAGAACTACCAGTTGATTGCAAATTAGACTTGAGCATATTTACTTGCCTAATTTAGATACAAACCCAAAGTCAGCTCTGGCCCTGCAGGTTCCTCCTGGGGCAATGCGCTCGGCATGTTCACCTCACTCATGGCTTCGTTTCATGTTTTTCCTACTCATGTTCTGTTGGTCCTAATCCCATCATTTATAAAAATGGCTTTTAAAATACTTCTGCCCTGGCCAGTGTGGCTCAGTTCGTTGGAGCACTGTCCCATGGACCGAAATGCTGTAGGAGATTCCCGGTCGGGACACATACCTGGGTGGCAGGTTCGATCCCCAGTCAGGGCGCGTACGAGAGGCAACCAATCAATGTTTCTCTCTCACATCACTGTTTCTCTCCCTCTCTCCCTTCCTCTCTCCCTAAAAGCAATGAAAAAAAAATGTCCTCAGGGGAGGGTAAAAAAATTTTTTTTTAAATTTCTGTAAGTTATCTTACTTTGAACACAGTAGGAAAGAATGTATACTCAGTTCTATGTGTCCTGAAGAGCCCAGGACAAACAAGGGATCCAAAAACGATAAACGATTGGACACCCATTCACAGCCTCTCCCTTAGATACGTCGCATCTGGGGAGGCAGCTGGAAACATCCAGAACGAATGAGATGGGCTGAACCAAAGAAGACTAAAGTGGAGCTCAGTATACCCCACCAAGCCACACTAACTTCAAGATAACAGACACTCCTAACAGTCTCTTCAGAGAACGACTATTTTGGGGGGAAAAAGGCTCACAGAGAGCAACATAGATAACGTCTCCGTCTTTATGAGAGTATGTTCTAATAAAAGGCTGTAAGTCATAAATCAACCAAAAGTGAACAAAATAAATTTAAAAATTCTGTAAGTACCTTTCAGGAAATAAACAGAGCAATTAATGGAGAATACAGTTTTAGGGAGGGCAGGAGAAGAAAACGAGTCCCACTCGGGAGCAGAGAGGCCGCCCTGGGCTGACATTCGAGCTGATCCAAGAGACAAGGCGCGGGCTGCAGGATGGGCCCGGGGGAGGCCTCCTCAGCTCAGGCCCGTCCTGCTCTCCAGCCGGAAGGACAATGGCTCGGCGTCCGAACGCGAACGGCACGTGGGGAGCCTGAGAGGAAACCCGCAGTGGCAGCGCGGCAGCCCCGGGGGCGGAGAGGGGCGCCCGCCAGGCCCTGCCGGTCCACCCCAGTCCACAGCCAGGGCTTTCATTTTTTCCTTTTGCAGCTATATTTCCAAATGCAATTAGTAAGTCCGAGGAGTTTCATGCAGCAGTTACATAACCTGATTTAAGAGTTTAAAACACACGGCCGTGGCCTGGAGAATAAAGGCTGAGGGAGCGCAGCGGCGGCAGGGAGGTTGCCAGCAGACAGGACGGCAGGGAGGCGGAAAGGAGCGGAAGCGGCAGGACTCGCTGGCGGGGCGGACCAGGCGGGCCAGGCGTGCGCGCAAGTGGGCAAGCAGGCTGCTCCAACAGGCAAACGGGCAGGGGTGCTGGTCCACTGGGACAGAAAACAAGCAACGTGGAAGGGAGCAGGGGACGGGGAGGGGCGGCGGCGACGGAAAGCCTAGCTCGGACATGTTGAGCGGAAGGCGTCCACAGACAGCCAAGGGAAGGGTCTCCTGAGATGCTGCGCACAGGGGTCTGGGCGGAGCCACCAAAGCTGTGGGCACTGTCGCCTTTGCCCAGGGACAGGCCCCCTGCTGAGAAGCGAGCAGGGACTGAGGGGTCTGCCGTGGCGCTCACAAGGAAACAGAACGAGACACATCGGCCTTGGTCACCGAAAGCCACTGCAAGTCGGCAGTCAGCGCACACAGGCAAAAGTGGTGTCACAACGGTCAAGAAAGGGAAGTTTCAAGAAAGGTGCAGCCAACTTAATAAGATGCTAACAGAGAAGTAGACTGCAAACTGGGCAAAATGGAAGTCACTGGGGACCGACAATGGTTTCCATGGAAACGGGGGTGGAAAGACAGATGGGAACTGGTGGATAAATAAATGGAAGACGGTAAGAAAATGGAGATACTATATGTGAGCGACATTTTTGAAGACTCTGATTAAAAGGAGCAAAGATAGAAGGCCGGAGGGGAATTGGGATAATTAAGAGAAAAATTTTAAAGACGGGGATAATAATAGAGCGTGTGTGAGGCCAAAGGCACGATTCAGGAGAAAAGGCGATGAGGACGCAGGGGCAGCAGCAGAGCCCCGCAGGCGCTTCAAGGGGCGGGAGCGGCTGCGCCCCCCCAAACCCGGTCTGCTCCCAGCTCAGATGGCACAGCGCGGCGGCGCTGGGAGCCGGCGACAGCCGGCACGCGCCGAGGGCAGAGGGGAGCGTGCGGTCCGAGGGGCGCGGGGGTGTGCGGCCAGCAGGGCCGGAACCCTGCCCCGACCCACCGGAAAGCGTGCTGGGAGCCTCCTCACCACCACCCGGCGACTCTGCCGGCCGCGGACAAAGAGCAGGCACAGAACCAGGGTCAACCAGAGATGGCGTCTTGCCCTGCGGGTTTTCACGTCCCCAACGTCCCTTTCCTTTACCCCAGCAAAAGTGACAGAGGAAGTACAAGGGACATGAAGAGCATGAACGTGTACAGAAGGGGCGTCCGCGGCTGGGCAAGGACAACGCTCTTCGTTTTCTCTGTGTCTGCGTGAGCCGGGAAGGGAAAAGGGCTGGAGGGTGACACGCCACCGGCTCCCGGACAAGCCCCGCCGCCACCGGCAGTCGTGGCCTTAAAAGCCCATAAGAGGTTGGGACACAAAGCAGAACATTCCGTCCCTACTGTTCAAATGTTGGGCTCTGGGATAATGAAAGGCCTACTGTCCGAACGATTCGACATAATCTTAAGATTCCATCTAACATCGAATCACTTTCCTCAATAGCAAGACTTCGTAACATGGAAATATTCCAACGGCCTATGGTTTAGTCAACCAAAATTCTTTTATTAACACACGAGTTAAAAATTTCCTTACTTTCTGGCAAGGTGCCATGTAATGGTCAAACAATGATCACGTGATCATCACAGTGTTTTTTTCCTACTTCAATGATTCAAATGACTGCAGTATTTAATACTTAAATATTGAAAGGGGTTTAGCGATTTGAAATGTAGTATTAAAGTGTGTTAATACCTATAACAGAAAAGAAAAATGAAATTCCACTAGGTACTTTACTCAGAAATGTGTTTTTAGAAATAACTGTAATGAGTTGAGATTCAGTGGAATGGGCTCGGGGGTCTTCTTGCTCAGTTCTCCCGATAGTTTATAACTGATTAAAATCTTGAAGAAGATTTCCAAGAGTGCTATCGCTTTAAAAATTCTTATTTTTACCAATTTTACCTGCTTTTAACTGATTCTGTCCCTACTTCTCAAACCCTCCAAAATGTTTTATTTCCCCGTAAGTTGAACACTACGTTGATTAGAGAATTAAAAACCTGATTTTTTAGCTTATTATTATACATAAATCGTACACAAGTGTTAACAGGTACATAACTAGCTCTGGCTTCATTCCCACAGAAACTGAAAATGACTGATTAAAAAAGGGCTTCATTTCAAAGGCCCCCGCTTTGGGGTCCAGCGTCCCGCTGCGGAGAAGCAGGAGCGGTGTGACCGCGGGGCCGTCGGGCTGCTGGGAATTTCCGTCCATTTGCCCAGGCCTGCCAGCGGCGCGTCTAGCGGATGGTATTTCCTGTTATACATCAAGTCAAATGCTTCCTTAGAAAAATCCAAGAAAAAGTATGAACACCTTATTTGTTATTCTAATCACATGTATACAGTTAAAATGCCAAGTAAACTACAGACACGCTACTGAAAATGATTGTTATAAATAGGACAATCCACAGTTTGCAGGAGGGGAAAGTTGAACGTGAGAAGTTATAATATTGAGGAAAAAAGTATTTTAACAGAATTTAAGAGTTAATGTTTTCATTAATATCAAGTACCAAAAAGACAAAGATTTGTTAAAACAATTCTTTTTCATGTAAATATAGAAGAAATAGTTCTTTTAGTTAAGTATACCGTGTAAGTTGTTGACAAGAGACCATACCAAAAGCACCATACAGGGGGTACTGAAAGTGCTTCATGACTTGAGGAAAAATAATCAAAAATATAAATCCAATGGAACCAATAATAATCAGGGCTCTATTTTCACCATTACTTTAATATGGACATAAATAAGTTTAGGAAGATACTTGGTCTATAATGGCCCATAAAAATAATCTTTAAGTAAAGTGCATTAAACTAAGTCAGGTGCATTATTAAACTGTCTGCTTGTACCCAATTCTTAAAAACCTGTCTTATGTAAATGGGAGATTCCTGCTACTTGTTACAATTCATGCAAGCGAGGCACACCTGAAGTTCACGATTCCGTTACGTTTACACACTGCGTGCCGTTTAGATCATTTGCTCCAGCGGGAACAAGCCGATGTGGCTTAGCCTCTTTCCCAACAGCCCCAGGGAGGCCTTCACGATCAGAAACCACCAGACGCCCCACAGCCCACTGAACGAGTAACGTCCTCACCAGACTGACGGTGCGCGTGCTGGCCGGACGCCGCGGCGGCCGGCCGGGGCTCCCTGTCCAGAGACGGCTGCAGCGGAGGCGGCGGGCTCTCGGGCGCGGGTGCCGGGGAGGACGCAGAAGGCTGCGGGAGCTGCTCGGCCGGGGTGTCCACGTCCATCACAGTGTCGCCCACGTCCACACCGGTGCCTGACGGGGCCGCGGGAAGAGCCGACCCCTCCGACTGACTTGCCCCACCTTCAAAAAGCACATGTTAGTGCCAGCTCAACACCGAAGGCCTCCCTAAACCAACGCTGGAAAGGAGGCACGTCAGGGAACACAGGCACACTTGCGCACACGCACACACACGCGCACACACACACAGGAGTATGTAACATCCAGGGAATCAGAAGCACCCACTGGTGGTTGGGTCCATTTGTCTAAATAGGCCAACTAATAGGAGTACACATCTATCTATAGCATATCCTTATTAAAGTAATTGATCTTTTAAGCAAAATGCTCAATATGGTAGCTTTATTTAGATAAAATGAAATAACATCTTGTGAGATGCCTATAAATACTGCTTAGTCCCTTAAATTTAAAGGTGATGATTTTGATATAACAGCCGGACAATAGGATTATAGATTTATAGCAATATAGTTCCTTGGTAACATCATGTCCTTGGTAAAATATGTAATAAAATTTTTATTAGGAAGAGTAAAACAACAAATAGGCCAGAATAGGATTAACGTCTCCAATCCCATCTCACTAGCCGTAATGCTTCAACCACTCAACTAACACGGTGCAGGCAGTTTTAAAAGGCTTGAGCGTCCACTCTGCACCGCACTGGGCTTTCTGCTATCTGCAAAGGAATAACTAATACTCAACAAATATGAAAAATTTTCCTGGTTTTGCTTCAAATCTAGATTTTATTAAAAATGGAGTGAACAAAACCAAGCTCATGTTTTATAAGAAACAACTACCACAGACTATAAAGTTTTTTATTTGAATCACCATGATTTAAATATTTGTTTCCTTTCTTTTAAATTCTGACCAAGAACACGTTTATTGATTTTAGAGAGAAAATAAGGGAGGAAGAAAGAGAGGGAATGAAACATTGATGTGAGAATCATCAACCAGCTGCTTCTGGCACACACCCTAAATGTGGATCGAACCCACAGCCTATGTGTGTGCCCTCCCCAGAGACTGAAGCCGTGACCTTTTGGTTGATGGAATGACGTTCCTACCAACTGAGCCACGCTGACCAGGGCTACATATTTCTTAGTTTAAATTTAAACACAAATTTAGTAACTCTTCAACAAATCCACAGTCCAAGGAATTTTTTAAAAAGTTAACTGATAGGCATGAGCTAACCAAATCCATTTATAGATGAAATCCAAAGAAATCTTTAATTTTGGAATTTAAAATATTTAGGAGTTAACTTTTATATTCTTCATTTTTGATAGAGATAAGTAACTTGCCAAAGACCACAAAGCTGGAAAGTAGTGAACAAGACACGAAAACAGGTCGGCTAACACCAGAAACAGTAATTAATAACCAATGTATATGAGCAACCAAAAGGAGAAACCATCAGCTACACAGAACGTGTTATCCACCAAGTTTTATATATTTCTACCCTAACACGAAAAGGACCTGAAATGGGGAAGAGCAGATGCTCTGACTTCTTTTAGAAAGAGCAACACAGAAGGGCGAGAACGAGCGGGGCCTGGAGGGACACAGGGTGCGCCCTGCGGTGCTGGAGGCCTCGGTCGCGGGGTGGGGGAGCCACGCGGCATACACAGCCCGACCCAGGCAGTCTCGCCCACCTCCGGTGACTTTCGTCCATGAGGCCACTCACCTGCAGGCCGGGACCTTCCGCGTCCTCTGTTGCTTTGTGCGACCTCACTTGCTTCTTCGAACCACCTTGACAGCATGTCGGACATTCTCTGCATCAGCGACACATTGGGGCTTTGCTCTCCTACGACAACACAGGTCTTGTCAGTGGGCCGGTCATAAGTCAGCGCCCTCCATGGATTCAAAACCCAGACCTGCGGGCCTCCACACGGAAAGCAGGCGCACACACCAGGCTGCCCGCACGGAGCCTCTGCAGGGGCGCGGACCCACCGGAGCCGCCAGCCGCAGAGCCGTCGCTGAGGGGCGGCTTGGCCGCACCCTGGGTCCCAGCGCCCGCACCGGGCAGAGGAAAAGAGAGCTGTGCCCTCTCCCGGACACTCCTTAAACTGATTCTGCTTCCATCATCGCTTACTGTAAGCAAACTCCACACACTTGGAATCGACTGGAAGAAAGGGTTTCATTGGTCTCTTCTCCCCCTGCTTTTCCTCCTTCAAATACAGGAGGAGTTTTCTCTCAAGGGCATTTTCACATTAAGTAGTGACATTGAAACTGTGACGATCCGTTTCTATTCTATAATCATGTCATTTAAAATGGAAATTATTTGTTCTTGAATTTTCTGTGAAAACAGTTTATTTTACACTTTCTTGCCTTTATACAATGTAGCTTTACATTTAAATATATATTATGACATAATACCAAGGATACTATATTGGGAAACATGCTTCTGACCTGGAAAGATTTCAGAAGTTATTAGAATAACACTTCGGCTGCAGGCCCATTTAGTAAAACACATGCGGACTAGCTCCGCTTTAAGGTGCCACCTTGAAAGCTCCCAAGGTCGCCTCCTATGCGTGTCAAAGGCGGCTGCCAGGAGGGAAAAGCACTGATGTGCTTTATGAAACTCTCTGGTTGGAACTGAGGGTTTTCATTCCACTTATATCTAACAGTAAGGCAGAAACGAACCAGTGTGATAATGCCCAATGCAGTATAGGACAAGGAGCATTCTTACACTTCGATTTTTTAAATTTTTTTACTTTTGTTGTCTTTTCTCCGTTACCATTTAGTCCCCTTATCCCCCCGCCCCTGCCATCCCCCCGCCGTTGTCCACGCCCCCGAGTCCTTTTTTCCCTTTTGGCTCGGCCACTCCACCCCGACCTCCCCCGCCGCCCCCGCCCCGTCACCCTGCTCTCCAGCAGCCTGACGCGTCCCGTTCCGTGGGACGCACAGCAGGGCTCGGGGACGGTGACCTGAGAACTCTCAGATCCAAACGCACGGCAGGGGCCCTGCCTCCCGCTCCCAGGAGGCCGCCGGCAGGCGAGCACGCGTGCGACGCGAGGGGACACACAGGGCTGCCTGCCGCAGCGGCCCTCACAGCAGTGGAAACCGCGGAACAAGTCAAAGTACGAATTTTTAAATACCAGATAAAAATAAAAAAGCTGACCAAAGTACAGTTACCGTCTCGCTCTCGTTCACTCTCGGGCCTCGCTCGGGGTCCGGTATCTGACCAGTCGCCACGAAGTCTCAGACGCTTCACGGGTGGCTGTCGTAACTGCGGGGCGAGGAGGAAAGCCACGTGCTCACCTCTTAGGGCGCGCTCCAAGCCTGCTAGGTTCTCTCTACCGCCCTCCTCTCCGTACTGAGGGCGTGTGGGAGGCGCCCGACCAAAACCAGAAAGGCCTGAGGGGGTCCCGCCGAGGGGGCCGAGGGCCCTCGGCAGAGCCTGTGCGGCCCACGGGAGCCGGCGCGGCCCAGGGCGCGGGAGCGACGGACGCGGAAGGTCTCGAGGCCACGACAAGGGCCTCCGCGGGCTCTGAGGGCTGGGAGCCCCTTGGGGGGCTGATCGGAAGAGCATGATCCGATGGGAGGACTGCGGGGGGGACTGGTGAGAGAGGCCCCGCGGGAACCGAGGACAGAGATGCTGACGCCTTGCGCCACGTCGCCGTGGCGGCCAGGCGGTGAGCGGCGCTACAGCGTGGGATTTGTGTTTCAGAGACGAACTCTGGGGACCAGGACAGAGCGAGAGGCTGGATGCAACGCAGCTGTCCAGCAACGAGACGGGGCAGCTGTCACCCCGAGAAGTCCGACTGAAAAGTTAGAGGAAAAGGAAAGGAGAAAAAGAAAAAAAGGAAAAACAAGGAAAAGGAGAAGTAAAAAGCAAGTGAACAAGATAAAAGAATATACTAAATAAAATGGAAACAATTATTAGAGGATATGAGGAAATAAAAAGAGGCCTCCACAAACTGAAAAAACATGAAAATATCACATGCATCATATATTAAACTTTTGTTCATACTTTAAAACCCTGCGAAAGCTCTTCTCATGTTCGCAGTGAAAGTCAATTATTCCCTCATTTGGTCTACTCCTACAGGACGTAATTCTCACCTATTATTCCGTCAAGCCTTACACGGTTGTTTATTCATAGCTCCACTTCACTAAACTGTAAACTCCCGGGCAAGCGGCCACGTGCTGCCGACGCCGCCCGGCTTTGCTGAGGCCCAGCACCGGTCTCCGGGCGCCGCAGGCGGCCAGCGGGCGGGTCAGGCCTGTGGGAGGCCGGTGCCCCCGGGGCCGGGCCCTGAGCACCGAGAGGCGATGGCGATGCAGGTGGGGCCAGGCCTTCAGTCCCTTCCTCCACGTACGCCTGAACTGCTGGCTGGAGTACAATAAGCACACTCTATTTTTTTAATTTTAATCCATTTTCAGAATTGTTTTTCTGAATTTAGTTGATCCAACAAAGGTACTGAGGCAAACACGTCCAGAAGAAAAGCCCCCACCGCTGTCGGTGGCTGGCTCTGCCCGTTCACCGACGTCACTGCACCGACACCTTGGGCGAAGCCCCCGGCGGCCGAGGGGCTGGCGGGCCCACTTAGACTGTCCCTGCACTTCCAGCTCGTGCATGTCCGTGTCGGAACCGTCACGCAGCTTCCCCCCAGCTCACTGAAGCACGGTCTCCAGGGGAAATCCCGCGGCAACGGACCGACGTCAGAGCCGGCGTCACGTCTGCGACGGGAGCGATGCGCTCAGGGCGTCCACCTGCCACCGGGCCCTCCTCTGTGTCAATCTAAATCCCCTAAATTTAAGTCCCCTAAATCCGCTGCCACCTCTCAAATCCCAAAATACATTTACAGAGTAAGGCTCTTTTTCCTGCTTTTCCAGCCCTCTGAGCCATAATAACGGCACTCAGTTCAGCAACCGCGCAGTCGCACCCTGCAGAGCCTGCGCGGCGTGCGCGGCACAGGGAGCGGGGCCAGCACCGCGTCATCACTAACTAGTAAGAAGCAATGGTTAGTTTCAACAGCCAGAGTACAGTGACTGAACAAAGAGCGTTATAAAATAAAAAGCCAACGTGAAAAACGCAGGGGAAGGACGCTTAGCAGGTGAAAGCAAGCATTTTTTTTCTTCTGCTGGGTACTGTCAGGGACATATGACTTCTGGTTTTTGCCTTTTATAAATAATAGTGAACCCGATTCTTTATGTGTGCACACGTCCGTCCATACATATATACGTTAACTTACCCTTCCCTCACTCACTCATTCGTATGTTGTGACATGTGGCTAGGGACAGTGTGCTATGCTCGCACGCGTGACAGAGGCAGACCTGGGGGCGGGAGGGGCTGCGTCCCCATGTAACAGGTCAAACTCCTACAGGTGCGTGAGCAGACATTTAGTCTCCTGTAAATCTGCACATCACATTTTTTATTATTTCAATTGCCTTTTCTGCCACTGTGAGACCTGCTGCTACTGTGTATCCCCAAAGTTAGCAAAACATTTTGCCATTAAACGGATTCTCTTTAAAAATGTAACAATATTTTCTCTAGTGCCTTTCCTAATTATTGGCCCCTTTCCTCTCGTATGTTTCATGTCTGTGTTTGTTAAACTGTTAATGTCTTGAAAGTGAACTCTATTTTTGAAGCCCTTCAGGCCCCAGAGACCACTGAAGGAGCATTTTCTGAATTTAATAAAGGAAATGGTTGTGAGTCCCCTTACCTCTTCTCTTCTCTCTTCCGCAGAGGGGGTTCTAAGTTCCCGTGCGGTGTCATCTTTGGGGTCAAAAAGATATATGTAATCCGAAGAGTAGCTGACGAGGACCTCCTGGCCATCCTCGCTGTAGCACAGAGACGTCACCCTGCAGGACTTGTTGCTGAGGTGGGGAGGGAGAAAGCGGGCCACCATGCCGGCGGTTCCCCGCCCTGCGTAGTTCCCTTTGAGGACAAAATGGGACAGTGTTGAAAATTCAGGGCTTTGAAGAAAGGCACTTTAAAAACTCTTAATCTGAACCAGAAGATATTCGATTTAATGCAGCAATAAAAGTTCAAACTATCATATTCTATTTCTAGAAGAGTCTTTTTCAATAACCAGATTTTATAACAAAATTTTAGAAAATACCATACAAAGGAAACATACTTTTAAAAAAATTCGTGATTGTCTAGGATTCCAGATTATATAAAGATTTTATTGGAAAAGAATTAATCAATTAAATAATTTATCATTATAGTCACACTAAATAGTCTTCTAAAAATTCTCCTTAAATTAATATAATTTTTATAATATAAATAGGAAAGCTGGTATTTTTTAGCATAATAGATAAAATAGTGCAGTATCCTTTTAAAGTGATTTCTCTTTTACTTTATGTTCTTAAAAAATTTCTGTTGTGGCCCTGGCTGGCGCGGCTCAGTGGACCGAGCGCTGGCCCGCGAACCAAAGGTCGCCAGTTTGGCTCCCAGGCAGGGCACAGGCCTGGGCTGCAGGCCAGGTCCCCAGGAGGGAGCGTGCGAGAGGCAACCCCACATCGGTGTCTCTCTCCCTCTCTTTCTCCCTCCCTTCCCCTCTGTAAAATAAATAAATAAAATCTTTAAAAAAAAATTCTGTCATGAAATTGTTCTCCTGTAAGATGACAAGAGTGGGGAGACCACTCCAGTTCCAATTAACTTTGGTCGTCATCGGCGCCACGCAACCTGACAGAGGGGTACAGCGGGCACTTTACGTCTGGGGAACCAAGAAATGCTAAATTCCAAGAATCTAAGTTATACACCAAACAGCACAATCCTGCACAACGAGGTACTACCCAAAATGTCAACTGCTTCCCATCTGTTGAGAAACAATAATTAAGCCTCTAACGCAGTATTACATTAATCCCGTTTCCCCAAATGCGCGTATCTGGATAGGCAAGAGTTTTCAGTCGCCACTCAGAAAAAATAACATCCCCTGGTCTCCCCGTTTTAACAGCCCTTTTAACGGACGTAAACTGACACCGAGGCTGACGTTGTGTTCCTTTCTGGCCAAGTCCACTTTTATTGTTAACAACAAAATGCATGTGGATGTGCATTAAAATGTGTACATATAGTTGATCCTTGAGGGGTGTGCGTGTGTCAGGATCCCTGGCCTCCTCTGCTGAGCAAGTGCGACCGGACGCCGGCGCCGAGGGGGGGACGTGGGGAGCGGCCGGTCCCCTAGCGGGCGTGGGGAGCCAGAGCCAGCGCGGCAGCCCCCCCGACAGACGGCCACCGCAGGCGGCAAGGAGAGCGGCCACGCCAGCATCCCCCCGGGTCCTCCACACAGAGCGGCCCTGCTCAGCCTCCCCCACAGCCTCCAAATCGGGAGACAGTAAACTGTGGCGACTGTCAGCCACCCTGTAACAGCCCTGGGGAACTAACACAGGTGACCCCCCATGTCTGTGGGTTTCAAACCTGTGGGTTCACCACCCGCGCGGGGAACAGCACTTCCCGTCTGCAGGGCTGAATGTGCGAGCTCTTCGGAGCCATGTGAAACGGGAGGTAAGCATCGGGGGACGTTGGCGCCCGAGGGGTCCTGGAAACGTCTCCCGCAGATACTGAGGCGTGACTGCACACCAAGTGTTGTCATTTTTTAAAGTGAAAAACTGCAGAAGTATCACCCCGATGGGATCATAAAAGCTTGGTGAAATGCTGGTTTTTATAATACATATTATCTAAATGCATTCTACTAAACTTTATAACAAACTCACGAAATGTTAACGTTGTAATGTCCTATCTATTCTCTGAACCGACAGAATCCCGTATTTCCTGTCCCACGTGTGCCTGTACCTGTAGCCCTTGTGCCCAGCACCCTGCGGTCGTATATCCGGACGGAGCTATCAGAGCAGCCCACAGCAAGGTGATACGGGACCGGCGGGCAAATCGCCACGGAGGTGGCCGCCCGCCGGCAGTTAATCAAAATATCCTGCGGGGTAAAATGACAGCAGTTACACAAAGCTTTAAAAAGAGATGTTACCGCATTGAAAAATGTTCTCAACTGGAAGGAAATAACCTTTCTCAGAAATCCTAATTCAACTGGTATGACAATGAAGGGAGAAAACACGGTTTTCTTTTATCTTTCAGGTTTCTTTCTATCAGTAAATGTTTCTAACACTTTCAGCTTCTGTGCAAAATAAATGCATGTCGTCACAATTTGTCCTCAGCAGTTTACCGCTCTGAGAAAAGCGCTGTTTTCTTTACAGTTGGCTACGCGACTCCAAAACTGAGTCCTAATACAACTGCATGCTTTCCTTAGGGACCAAACAAAGTAAGAAAATATATAATGGAAAGGCTAATTTAATTAAAAGACTTTGAAACAACCACTGATTGAGTAATACAAAATACATTCTGAAAAGGAAAAAAATAAAAATTCCAAGATTTAAGGCTCAAACAGCAGTTAAGAGCGGCGGCAAAGAAAGCCAGTAATAATTCAAGAAACTCATTATTTATATTATCGCAGTTGAAACCCTTTTTCAAAACGAGCTGCATTTCAAATAATGATATAATACAACTTGAATTATTTCTCGGAAATGCCTCCTTATCCTCACATGCATGAATAATGCACATCTTTAAGAACGTAAAATACTCACATATGTAATTGTAAGTCATTAATCATGTTAGAAACGCCTGCTGCTTTTGGCCCATTGGACAGTAAAGACGGAGGTATACTCTCCCTTTGTCTATGACAAGTACTAAGGGTATTTTATATGGTACTCATAATATTTTAGTTATAGCTGTTGCTACTAAAATGTAACAAAAATATTATTAGCTGATTTTAAACTTTTATACTTTTCTTAACTTGTAAAATCTTTCTTCCTTCTGGTTCAAAAACAAAGTACACACACGCGCGCGCGCACACACACACACACACACAGTACACCCTGTAAAACACACGGTTTTCTATAGATTCGCTACTTCTCTGTGCATAAGCATTAGAAAATGTAAGGGCTCTGACCCCAGATATATATCCTTGGGGCACTGTGTTAATTTTACACTATTTGGCCTGTGACTTAGCTCCTCACTCTTAGGCCTTATTTAATTACTGACTCGGAACATGATTCCTATTCCATGGAACTCGGTCACCAAATGCCTTTTAGATTCTGTTTTCGTAGTTAAGGGCTGCTTTCCCTGCCAGTTTTCTTCATACTTTGCCTCTTCATTTTTATATATAAAGAAATGAAGAATTTTATTAAGGAAAATTTTAACAATATTTTCACTTATTAGCCTTGCTTTCATCTTTATTTTTACCAGGTTTTTGGTTATAAAAGCACAATTAAATCCAACCATATTGTACACTAAAATACTGCTTATAAGAACTTGGCATAATGGATTTTAGTACCTACCATTTCCTAAGAAACAGGCTTAGGAAATATTCCTCATAAACAATCTGATATTTTGAACTTATTCTGCCTTTTATTTAGTTCAATTATTTCCTAGTTGCATGTATGTGTGTATAAATACATATAACAGAAAAACTGACCTAGAAATCATACATTGAAAAATTTAATTTCTACTTTTTCCTTTTTTGTTTCAATACAGAAAATAATCCTGCCCAGAGTGTTAACAACAGAAACATTCTTACTATGTTAACAATAGCAACATAATCAGCAAGCGCTTAACCTCCTTACTTCCAGTAAAAATATATTTAGCAATACTTTCTCATTTCATTTGGTTATCGCAAATGATCCAAGAAAAAGAGCCCCATTCTTGCCGTAACATTTGGGGTTAGCTGTCTGGGGCCATCATATGACTTCTCAGGGTTTTTTCAAGTTTAAAATAGTATGAAAAATATGAAATTGATAGTGAAGCTATGTCTTTAGAGAACGAACAAACACATTGATAGAATGGTATCTTCTTATTTTTTAAAAAGATAATATGTAATTGTTGGTTTAAAAGTCAGGGTTAAATCAAAAGGAAAATACTAACCTTTCATCATGGTTATTGGTAAACCAAAATTACCTCCATAAGTAAATAAGAGAGATTGATAAATGCTTCAAGTTTTTATAATGCTAGAGCATATACTGAACAATTACACACATTTTCATTTCTATATTTGAAACGTACAACGAAAATGCAAATTCCCTAACTTCACTATTAACACTTTAATTTTTAAAATTTGATCATAAAATACTCGTATGTGCTGCTGAAAATTTTAGCAAAACAAAGACAGAAAAATGGACTCATAATCTCATAATCCAGAGCTAACATACTGTTCAATTTTAATTATCATCTTAAATGTGACACTTACATCTTTGCAATCTTCTTTTGTGCAGCTGGTTTTGATGCGCGTATCAAACCACCTAACAGTTCCGTCCTCACCGCAAGAGAGGAAGGTATGCGGGTCGTTGGGCACAGTCATAATCTGACGAGAAAACGAAGCCCAGGCACTGTTACCAAAGACTCAGGAGGACAGATGGCTGTGAGCAGCACGGCTCCTCTTTCACAAAACCAGTACGGCAAAAGCAGCGAGGACCGCGTACTGTACTTACTCACGAACCGCCCATTCCACAGCTCAACACAGCAGAGCGCGCAGAACTGTGCAAGGAGCAACTGTGACATTAACCCAACTCATTACTTTGGAGTTTGCAACCAATGTTCCTGTCGATAGAAAGTTCTTTAAAATTTAAAACTTTTAACAACTTTGATGAGAAAAATTCTCCCCTAAAAAACATAAAACTAATCAAAGCTTAACTTTTGTTTTCTGGTTGTAATTTTACACTTATAAAGACATTGTAATTTTTTCCTTCTATGATAATGTTTAAGAAAACTGTAAGATGCTGAATTGATCAAAACATTTAAACTGACCTCTCAAAAATTTTGACAGAATTTCATGATTAAGACACTCAGCAATCTAGGAGCGGGGAGGGGGGAGGAATCTCCTGGACACAAGAAAAGCCGCGAGTGAGAAGCTCACAGCTAACAGCGCGCTCCGCGGTGACACTCGGAGAGCGCCCCCTCTAAGATGGGGCCGAGACAAGCGTGCCCTCTCCTGCTGCTACCCAGTACAGGGCTGGAAGTGCGGGCTGGGGCACCCCCGCAAGGGAAAGAAGCCAAGCCGTCAAAACGGGAAAAAGAGAAGGAAAATTATCTGATTGAAGATGACAGGATCTTATATGTAGACTATTCTAAAGATTCCACAAAAAAAACCCCATTAAAACTAATAAATGAATACAGCAAAGTTGCAGGTTAACAAATCAACACAAAAATCGCTTGTTTTTTTTTCCTATGTACTTACAATGAGCAATCTAAAAAGGAAATTAAGCAAACAACCTCATTACAATAGTAGCAAAAATATATAAATAAATAAAATACTTAGGAATAAACTCATTCAAAGAGGTGAAAGTCTTGTTGACAGAAAACTACAAAACACTGCTGAAAGAAAATAAAGACACAAGCAAATGAAAAGACAACTACATGTGTGAGTTGCAAGACTTAACGTTGTTGGAAATGCGTACCACTCAAGGTGATGTAGATTTGTGTGTGTGTGTGTGTGTGTGTGTGTGTGTATGCGCGTGTGTGTACACAAAAATATTAAGGTGATCAAGGTTTTATTTAGTTTCTACCAAAATCCTCGTGGCATTTTTTCTTTACAGAATCAGGAAAAAAAATCTTAAAATTCACGTGAAACCTCAGAAGACACAAATAGCCAGCACAACCTGGACTAAGGAAAACGAAGGCGGAGCCTCACACTCGCTGAGCCCGGGGCGCGTCACACAGCCACCGCCCCTGAAACAGCACAGCGCGGGCGTCCGACAGACACGCAGGCCACAGAGCGCCCCGACTTAACAGAAGACAGTGACGAAGCACTGGAGAGGGTGAAGCCCCCGAGAGGGCCGTGAGGCACCACAGAAGCGTCTTTTGTAGGCTGACACTTGGGCTTAGCGTGTGGTTGCTCACGCAATTATCAACCCTGTACCCACGCAATTACCAACTCTGTGCCCATTACACATGTCTTATTTAACTTTATTCACAAGCTTATCAAGACCCATTTTCTCAAGTAGTTTACTAAAATCTAGATGCTCTGCCAATAATTTCTTCACCTACAAATGCATGAATGTGTATATATACACACAGACAAATCTACACATATGAACGTACACACATGTACACATACGTCCACTTTACACACATATACATGTGTATCATATGTATAATCATCATAGTACCGCACCTCGTAGGTAGTTCCATAATGGCACGTAAATTGGCATTGTCTGTTGGTTTCTGCATCTTGCTCAACGTTGGTATAAAATATTACTCCATCTCCCGAGCAGGATACAATCTGCTTATCGTTTGTGCACGGTAAGAACTTCGCACTAAATATATTGGCTCGGTGCCCTGAACGGATTGTTGTCAAAACCTGAAACACACAGAGAAAGTAGTTCTTGGTAATTTATTTTTTCCTAGAAAGAAAGATTCATATTTAACATATCATAGCCAGGAATAAGTTCTCATTAATATTCTCATCTCAATGAAAATGATCATTTGATTCTAAACTATTATAATCATGGAAAAGAAATCAGAATCGCTCATATTTTCTTTTTTCCCATCTGAGACGTGATGGTAACTCCTCATTATCAGGGCAGCCATTTGTTACTTTTAGGATTATTTTAGAAGTCTTTAATCAAGTGTTTTTCAGTTGTCTTCAGTGAGAGAATTGGTCCAAATAAACCAGCCCGTTGATTAAGACACATCCTTAATAAGAAACACCTCTAATCTCTTAAATCTGTACATAGTGCTTTGAAACTTTCACTTGCAATAAATTAATCTTCTCATGAATAGCAAGAGACTTTAAGAACAGATTTAACTCAGGATCAGAAAACTATTTTCCTATTTAATGAATCATCAGTGTTTTACAATTAAAAAAAAATATTCCTATATGATACCAAATCTGGAATGATCAAAACAACCATGTGAAATAGATAGTTATTATACTTAAAATCTCTGAAAGTACAAGCTGATAATTCATTTTTCAAACTGGAAATGAGGATGGGAAATGATTAATCACTTTTCAAATATACAATATTTACTGGGGACCATGCATAAAGCAAATGTCTTTTCTTTTTTTTTTTTAAGAAGCAATTAAAGGAGAAACATGAACTTTTAAAAATTATGCCATTGGGCATTTCCCCAAAAGAACTGAAAGCAAGGATTTGAAGATGTTTGTACAGTGATGTTCAGGGCAAGAGACAAGAAGCAGAAGCAACCCCAGTGTCCACGGGCAGGCGAAGGGCCAACAGAACGCCGCCAGCACACACGATGGAGCACAGCCAGCCCCGCCAGCCTTCAGAGGACGGAAACCCCGACACGTGCTGCCACATGGGCGAACCCGGAACACTGCCCCGTGAAATCAGCCAGGACAACAGGACACACGCCGCACACACCCGCGCTTGCTTGAAGCTCACTGACGCTGGACGATGGCCGGGCGCACCAGGGTCCGCGAGCTCACAGAGACAGGAAGCGGGGTGGCGCCTGCCAGGGGCAGCGGGGGGCGGGGCGAAGGGGGATTGCTGTTCACTGGGCAGAGTTAATTTTGCAGGGTGAGAGGAGTTCTGCAGCTCGATGGTGGTACCGGTATGACAGTGAGGTGAATGTGTATGTGAAGTCACTGAACTTCTAAAAATGGTGAAGATGGTTCATTTTATGTTTGTATGTTTTATCACCATTTAAAAAGAAAAATAAAGAGCTCTGCATCTTTTAAAAAAATTCCATTGGTACCCAGATGAATGCTTTGTATATTACAAGCATTCAAATTCTGATAGTGATAATCAAAAAGCATCTCCACACATACCGTATTTCAGGAAATTTCTCCACCGTAAGAGAAAGGTTGTGCTAGTAATTACAGAGAAGTAATTTGAAAACATCAAGTGTCCCTCTGCTTAGTCAGGACAATTAAGTAAAAGGGTCTGTGCAGTAAAATTATGACCTCTCTTTTCATTGAGGACAGCCTCAATGTGAACCTCCTTTTACGTAGAAATCTTAACTGTTTGTAGAAATATAAGAAACACATGACCTCTTTATTCTATAAGATTGCTGACATTACAGGAGACCGCCCTCTCCCATGCTCTCATTGATATAAAAGTAGCGGCACACTTCTACACATGACATCAGGGGAGGAGCCAGTGAAGACCAGAACACAACCCTAATTAAAACTCAGTATGACATGATATCCCGGCTTGTTGAACTGAATGTCATGAAACATGTCACTAGGACCCAGCCACTGACAAAATCCAGTTTTTTAAACAGCTTGGCCTAAGATTAGATTCTGTGAACATAAAAGAAAAAAAAATCACATTATCCCCACCCCGCCCCCCACCCCCACCAAAGAATGCTCTTTTGAGATAATGTCATTTCTGGCAATTTAATCGATTTAGATAACATGAAGCATGTTTAAATATTTTACAGTCAAAAGGCTGAGTGAAACTTAACATTCTCCTAAGAAAATTAAGGAACCTGACTGGAACAACTTCCAAATTATATAACAAACTTTAGCAAGATAAGAATATTCTTCTACAAATGCCTATTCTACGATTATTTACAATTTCTTTTTTTAAGATTTCATTTATACATTTCTAAAGAGAGGAGAAGGGAGGGAGAAAGAGAGGGAGAGAAACATCAATCTGTGGTTGCCTCTCGCACACCCCCCACTGGGGGCCTGGCCCACAACCCACGCATGTGCCCTGCCTGGGAATTGAACCTGCGACCCTAGTTCACAGGTTGGCACGCAATCCACGGAGCCACACCAGCCAGGGCTGATCATTTACAATTTCTTGATTTCTAGTTTCTTGATTTTTTTTTCTCATTAGGTTGTAGATTTTTTAAATCACTAACCTTTCTGCTGTAAGGATTACTAATTACTAACTTGGTGTCATCTGAGCCAGACAAAATATATTCTCCAGTTTCATTCCAACAGATTGTATTAACCTAAAAAAAAAAAGCAAAAAAGAAATTTCAGCAAACTGAATATACAAACAAGTATGTCACCTTTTACTTAACTGATGGTTCAAATTTTATATCACTGATGAGGTTATACCTATGATAAACAGCATTTACCAGTTTACTTATTGAAAGTACATACTGATCACCATTAGCAAACACAATGTCCTGAAAATTCACACTGAAATGTCTGTCTCTCTTAAATTTTAATAGTTAAATTTATTTTAATTCATTTAGTTTATATCTAGAGACACAGAACTAGGCCACCTAAAAAGGAATGAGAAAAGCTCACTCCCAGCCACAATGGCAAAGGCTGTGCGCGGCTCCTGTGCTCCTGTGAGCCCAGCCTCGCCCGTCAGGGAAAGAACTCAGGGGTCCAGAAACAGGCCCTCACATTTCTGGTCAGGACTCTTAGTCAAGGGGTCTAAGGCCAGTCGATGGAGAAAGGAGTCTTTTCAACCAATGGCGCTGGAACAACTGGATACACACAAGCAAAAAAATGCATTTAGACCCTATTTCACACCATGTGTAAAAATTCAGTGAAAGCAATCAAATATCTAGGGCCAAAATTATGAAATGCTTAGAAGAAAACACAGGTGTAAATTTGCATGAAAACTAAAACCACAATGAATTACTACTTCACACCTACTTGGATGGCTACGATAATTTAAAAACGGAACACAACAAGAGTTGGGGGCATGTCATGTCAGAAATTTCCAAGAAATTGGAACTTCTACACTGCTGGAAGGAATGCAAAATATTGTAGCTCTTTGGAAACCAATCTGGCAGTGCCTCAAAAATGACACAGCTATGCTGTGACCCAGCAATTCCACAAGGTCTATACTCAAGAGAAGAAAAAACATGGCATGCAAAAACTTGGACACAAACGTTCATGGCTGCATTGTTTATAATAGCCCAAAGGAAAACCAACCCAAATATCCATAAGCAAAATGTGACTGCCTGTTTGCTTATAAAAAAATACCCGCACAACCAAACATTATTCAGCCACATGAAGTACTGACACATGATGCAACGTGGAAGAACCTAGAAAATATTAATATTATGTGAAAGAAACCCGTCTGAAAGGCCACAAATTATTATCCCACTTATCTAAGACATCCAGAAGGGTCCTATCTTAGACAGGAGGGGGCCTAGCGGCGGCCAGCAACTCCATGGAGAGGGCCTGGGAGTGACTGATAAATGGTACGAACTTGCTTTTCCAGATGCTGAAAATATGGTGGAGTTAGATGGCGGCGGTGGCTGTACCGCATTATGATCGTATTCGAAGAACCACCAACTTACAGGGAGAGAAACGGTGACAGGAGGAAGCTTGGCTCGGGGCGGCGAATGCGCGGCACAGTGAGGGGCTGATGTGCTTTAGAACTGTGTGCCTGAACCCGCATCATTTTATTAACTGATGTCATCCCCCATGTAAGTTCAATAAAAATACTAATAATAATATAAAAAATAAAACTAAAAACCCACCGAACTGCAAATTAAAATGGGTGAATTTCATGGTATGTGAGCTACATCTAAATTAAAAAAAAAGAATTCGACTCCCACTTTCGGTCAAGATGGAATAACACAGGCCAGCTGTACTTTAACAAGAAAACCATACACTTTTCTAAATTCAAAATTACTGTAACATCTTAATGCAAAGCCTGATCGTGCCCATTTATTGTCGTCGGCCACAACCCGCACAGGGGCCTGTGGCACTTCCTCAAACCCTTGCAGGCTGGATTTTAAAGTCCTTCGTGGATGAAAGTTCACTATTACTTACACAGCCATCATGCACATTCAGGGTTGCTTCAAGTTTTAGTCTTTGGATAAATTCTCTTCTTCCTGTTTAAAAAGAGCGAGAACTAAGTGAATCCTGCCACTCACTGCTGGGGGCGCAGAACGCCGAGGCTGAGAGCCTACGAGCCGTATCGGGGTGCGAGCTATACCGGCAGCCCCTCCGCTCACACGCCCCGGGGTCCTGGGCGGGCCAGGCTCGTCCTCAGCTCGGCTGCGGGAGCAGGGCGGGATCCCCGGACAGCACAGGCTGGGCGCGGCGCCAGGACCACAGCACAGACCAAGCGTCCCTTGGCTCACCCACTCACCCACCAAACGCGCCGAGTACTCGCTCCCTTCCCGGAGGGATGCGAGGAGCTGGGAACCCAGTGTAACGCAGCAGAGAAAAAGGCCCCTTTGTCAGGGGGAGGGGGCAGCCAGGAGCAGCGTGGCCCTGGTGAAGGTACTACAAGGAAAAATAAAGCAGCACCGGGCTAAGTAGGGGGGGCCTGGAAGCGGAGGTCAGGGCTTTCGGTTCCACACAGGGCGGCGACCAGCCTCAGTCAGATGCCACCTATGCGGAGATACAGCTCAATTTCAGAAGAGTTAGGGTATTTCAAAGCTCACTTTGCAATGAAGACATGTGGCAGCAAAAAGTAAATAAAATCAGCCTGCGTGTCCATCAATATCAGGATAGTTATAACGCTACAAAAATAGAATATGTTCCTTCTTTGAAAAAGAGCAGTATGTTTCCCTTTAAGAAATGCATCATCTTTACCAAAGATGGACCACAAAGCTTCATGTTTATTCAGAAGCTGCAATGAAAGGAGGCCGCGTTTATGACAAAGGGTGACAATGAAGTAAGTAACCAGGCTGATGAGAGCCGGACAAAATCACGTTCGCCTGTGCTCCCCGCGTCCTGCGGCGGGGCCACGCGTCCCACATCATGACTTCTTGCCGTTCCACGTGAAGATGCGTATCTTGAAGCCAAATGGTTTTTATTTTTCACCTTGCTTATAGATGTCAAGATGGCTAGGCAGAGGATGGATTAAAAACTAATTTTATTTCTGTGGCGGGGGGATGCTCTACGGTTCCCAAACTTACTGGAATAAAACAGTTTACAGAAAATCAGTAAAGTATTTTCATGAATTAGGTTGTACATTAACTTTTCAAATCTGATTTTCAGTTATAAAAAGACACAAATAGTAAATGGGTAAATTTTTAAAAATCTTTTCCCTCTGAACAGCACGCTTGGTAATTCTACTGAGTAATAAATTAACAGTTAAGAAATAAAATAGTCCATTTAACAACTCATTAAACTGATAACAATTCATTAAAATGCTTTTTTAAAAGTACTAGAAACTTTTCCAAGCTTTAAAAGTCTGGTTTTTAACATGTAGCTCTAGCCACTGCTGTATACAGCAAACAGTGGCAGCACGTGAGAGAAAGGACAACCGCTAAATACACAGCTCCTGAATGATGGTTTTGAACGTGACCTTGGATATCAAAACTGTTACATGTCCACACACCCCCTACAACGCGTTTCTGAACAAGCGAGTGTCAACACCCTCCACCCTTTCAGTAGCACATGTACCGCCAAGAAACGGGACCTGAAAGCCAGCAGAAAATGAGAGCTGGAAGTTAAAAAAAAACTGACCCCCCTCAAATTAAAGTAAAAATAAACTCCCGCCTGTCATGGTAGACTGCAGAGTCTGGCCTACTGGCAAGCAAGCTAATGAGTGACCTGCCATTTCACAGGTGCCAGCAGGAGACACAAGACTCCAACTCGGAAGCAAAGCACGTCGCGGCTCACGGCCCGCAAGCGGCGTGGACTTCAGGTTCACAAGTCCCCTCAGGCCCTAAACGCCCCGGGCAACGTGGAGCAGCCAGCACAACACTGCAAGCAGTGGGTCTGAGTCACCGTGGGGGCCCAACCCTGGATCCAGCAAACCTGCCTGCCTGAGGGACACATGCCCTCCATTTCACTGTGGGGGCCCAACCCTGGATCCAGCAAACCTGCCTGCCTGAGGGACACATCCTCTCCACTACAATGGACAATAAATAAACACACCCTCCACCCCAGAGGGAGATGCTGTATCTCCCAAGGCCGTCCACAGAGAAACATTCTTGGAAAGGCCATCGGGAACAAGGCAGCCAGCGCCTCTGCTCATGAAACGTATCAGAGCCATGGAGGACTCTTCCGGCAACCCCGCACTTGTTACGGGCGACTTGCCTGTCGCTGGGGAACCCTACTCCAGTCCTTCTGCGACCCAAGCTGCCTCTTGGGATCCCATCTCGACCCCCACATTCCATTCAGTAGCAATAGATTACAAGCTCCATAAAAAGAGGAACACCCTTCTACCCCGCTAGCACGACGCAGGCACTCGGTCTGTATTTGCTGCATCAGCGATACACGGGTGGGACCCTTCCCTCTGCCCCTGGCTTCTCTCACCAACACGCGCTCCCAGCTCCCTTGTTAGACCAGGAGGCGCTTGGGACTAGGAAGGCCAGACCCACGTTTAGATCTCTAACTAGAGAGTTGCTGCGCATGTGCTGGCAAAATGCAACCTCCCCGGGCCTTAGTTCCCGCGCTGGTACAAGTGTTACATTTGATGGGAATGCTGCCATCCACTTTGCTGGTTTATTGTCGTGAGTAAATAATTAGCATACGCAACAACCACCGCTGTGCCTGACACACTGTTGTCTCCTTACGTACAGGTGGGACTGCTCTACGTTGACATTGTCTGAAAAGAGAGAAAACCATCCGGTAAAGGGGCCGACGCTGGTGCAGAGCGCACCCAAGGCTGGCGACGCTGGGAGACGGCGGCGCCTCCACAGAAACACTCCCTCTTCTTCATCCCGTTGCCCCCTGGAGCCGCTTCCCAGGGCCAACCGCCTCGTCCCTGCACTCGCGGCCCTCCCTCGCTCCCCGGTCTCCCCTTCCCTCGCTGACCTTTCAGCCCCCTCCTCTTCAGTGGCTTTGTTCTTGGAAATCACGGGTTACCCGTGAATCTACTGGTCTCCTTTGAGACCCGTTTCTTGGGACCCCAGAGTATGGGCTGTCGCTGCGGACTGCTATCTGCCTGCAGTCACCTTCTTTAGCAGCCACGGCATCTTACCACACCCTCAGAACCAGAAACCAAGGGGCGACAAAAGTCCAGACACAGAACACAGATATACAGGGGTAAACAGGACAAAATAGGTTTAAGATCTGTATACTGAAAAATACAAAAATATAACACATCGCTGAGAGACGTGGAAGAACGCCTAAAAAACAGAGAGAAAAGCCATCGCCACGGACTGGGAGACTGACCATTGCGAAGATGCCAGTTCTCCCCAAAATAACACGTAGGTTCAATGCGATTCCATCCAAGACCCCACGAGTCTTTTGTAGTGAAATTGGCGAGTCGATTCAAGCTTTATATGAAAATGCAAAGGACCCAGAATAGCCAATTCCTTTTTTTTTTTTTTTTTTAAAGAACCCAGTTCAAGACACCACGCTAGCTGATTTCAACGCTCGTGACAAAGACAGGCCCTACCGTCACGAAGCCAAACGCCGAAGTCAGCGGCATGCGACGGAGCACGTGAGCTGCGCGGATGCGGTTGATTCTTTTCCACAAAAGGGAAACGACAGTCTGTGCAGAAATGGTGCTGGATCAATGCACATTCACAGGCCAAGAAATGAAACTTGACCCTTGCCTCACAGCATAATTAACTCAAAATTGTTCACAGACCTAAACATGAGTTAAAAACAGAAGGCATCTAAAAAAAAATGCATAGTGGAAATCACTGTGACCTTGAATTAGGTAAAGATTTTTAAATAAGACGCAAAAAGTATGAACCACAAAAGACCCTGTTAAGAAAAATAAAGGATGAGACAAACTGGGAGAAAATGCTTGCAGAATGCATACCGGATTAAGGACTTGTATCAAGAATATGTAAAGAATTCATACAATATTAAGAAGGTAAATTTGAACACTTAACCGAAGTGCAGGGTTGGCAAATGAGGCAGGAAAAGATACTCTACATCACTCATCATGAGGACCAAATCAACTGCAAGTTAAAACGACAGTAACGTACCCCTCATACCTACGAGAAGGGCTAAAATTAGGAGGCCTCGCAACGCCAGGGGACGACGGGAAGGTGGAACTGGGCGCTCCAACGCCGCTGGCTGCTTCTGGGAAAGTCACACACACCTACACAACTCAGCAATCCCCCGGTGGGTCCTCACCCGGGAAAGCGGGGTTTGAAAGTGTCCTCCTTGAGTTACAGTTTCCAAGGCGTCAATGAAAAGTTTCATTATCTATATCTTCCATATTAGCCATCAGCATTGTTTAAAAAATTTTTTTAATCCGCAGTAAGTACTTGGGAACCCAAGCCACCCTAACCTTGAAGTCAGTAACATTCAATTACAATTATTCAAAAAATATACACCATCTAGTAGAGTTTTGCAAGCATCAAGCCGAGACTCACTAATGGACACTCTACTGGATCAACACCTACATTTCCAACATGATCATAAACAGAAATTAGAATAGACCCCGCCGAGCAAGGCTAAGCCCCGTTTGCAGTGTGTGTGGGTCACAAGTTGTCATGTGCATATGTTTTCACTGTGGACAATGGTCACAGCATTTGCAAAACACTGATCTGAAGCGTAACTGTGATACAAGTTCGGTGCTACCAGAAGCTCTTATCCCTCCTAAGCATGTCCATCCCATACTAGGGAGGGAAGAAATGCTCCGCAGGGTGACCCTATCCTGTTGGCTGTACTTGTGATTGGTAATACGCCTTTGGTGGCCTTATTTTCAAGAATCAGCATATTCTATCTTATATGGTTTTCATATTCGGCATTTTCACCACTAAAATCAGACATTTTTCACTTTTCACTGAGATTTCAAGACTAAAGAAACAAAATACAAATTTCCACTAACTTTTCCCCAGTAGGAGGCAAAAGTCAGAGTTTACTGACCCTCATAACATATTGTAACTTGGCAACAAATGATAAATTTGGTAAATCTGAACGTAGATGTAATCCAGGATATGCCAAACAGGCTTCCCTAAATGCAAAATTAATCTCAATCCATAATGACATTCAGACCTTGCCTGTCTAATCCCCTTACAGAAAAGGTTTCAGTCTCCACCGCAAGCTGCCCCGCGCTGCCTGCTGAGCCTGACCGTTCCTGTGCCCCCCACACCCTCTGCCGGGACCCGGAGCCCCTCCTGCCAGGAGCGCACAGGGAAGGGGAGACTGGGCACCAGCGGGCTGGCCTCGCGGGACTGAGGGCCCGACCTTGCCGACACCGAATCTCAGCCTCCGGCCTCCGAATCCGTTCAAAACAAACTTCTCTTGTTTATCAGCCACCGAGAGCAGGGCGTGGTGTGACCAGCCGCACTGCCCAGACACTGCCCGTCAGGATTCAAACACTATGGGAACCGCTTCGTGCGCTGCAGCCCGCGGTTCCCTCAGAAAGTCCCTCAGAAATTACGTCTATCGATTACCGTTTTTCAATTTAGAGGCGTTAGAAAACTGTTAACTCAAGATGTAGACAAGACTGTCTAAAATAAGAGAAATATGGAAAGAAGAAATGTGCAGAAATGATAGTTACTTTTATAAGCGATGTTTTTTAATAAAACTGTACACCCTAAAATATGTGTGGCTCAAAAGTTATTATAACAATCACTGAATTTCAAAAGCAAGACCCTACAGCTGTATACAGTATGAGAAACGGAAGCACTTAGAACACAAACTGGGACTTGGCAATTAGGGTCTAAAAAAGTAAACCCGACACTGAAATTGACAGCAGGTTCGCAGAGAAGAGGCCCCTGGCCTGTTGTCTGAATTCACGCCCTACTCTGGTTCAGGTGAATTTGGGGGCTGTAAGCAAACACGTGCTTTTTCTCCTAAATAACATATGACAAATTATCGTCATCCCACAAGGCAGAAGTACGGTTGGGAACTGTCATTTTCTTGTATGGGAGGAAAAGAGATAATTAACCAAATTTAAATAAAAATCAATGGCAAAGCTTGAATGCTCGTGAAAACATACATTTGATGGTGCAATAATTTGAAATGTAAATGTCACAAGAAAAACCTGTCAATTCGTTCTATCCTCGTTTCACTGTTATTGAGCAAGAATTCATTATCAGAAATACAAATAACGGCTATAAATTAGAAATGCAATTAAGCTACAATACTGTAATCAAAATGTTTAACTATTGAAATCTCAAAAAAGGGATCTATTTACTTTCTAAAACAGTTGGACCGACTTTTTAAAAGGAAGGCTTTATAAGAGCACTTCAAATTATTTTTTTTAAACTCCCATTCACCCAGGCACTGCGAACGCGGATTCCGCGGCGCCGCGAACGCCACGCCTCGCCCGGCGCAGCCACGTTGAAGGGCTGGGTAAGCCCACGGCGTAGGGTGGACACACGCCAGCTCACTACGAGCTGTTTTCCAATACTTAGAGAACCACTTTTACAGGAAGCTGTTCTGAGAATGTGCTAATTACAGTTATTTATTATGACCACTCTTCAAGTATTATTTAAGAAAAGGAACCCCTGTATGTGTACACACACATGTGGAAGTCTATCATGCAGACATTCTCCTAAAGACGGGGGGCTTCCGCTCGTCCGTTCGCCTGCGCCCGACACAGACTCCACTCCACCCGAGAGGAGTTAGAGTAGGAAGAGAAGACATGTAGGGGTTTAACATTAATTGACCGCCATAGACACAGCTGAACGGACAGTCCCAGAAGAAAACATTAGTATGGAAACCTGCATGTGTTTCTACAGAATGAACAGGTCTGTTTTTTACTGCCATGGAAAGGGATCCCAGAGGCAGGGTAGAAAAAGCGAGTTGCAGAACAATGTTCGCAGTAAGGCACCGTGTAGGCAGGTCACAATCACACGCACAACGGCGGCGACTCGCTGGGTGCGTGCGCGCCGGTGAGAACGCAGAGAAACCAAACGGCCTGGACCAGCACTCAGGACACAGATGAGCTGTTACCTCCGAGGGGGCGCGTGAAACTGGAACGGGAGGGGTTCACAGGGGTTTCTCTGCCTCATTTTGATTAAGTTCTTACAGAGACCGTTGTAGTCATATGTCACTTAAGACACTAAAAACATAAGAATGAGAAGGAAAATGCTTCCAACGTCTCTGAACTATTTTACAAACCAGAACTGTTAGATATAACAAGATTTCCTCTTTACTGACTGGAAGTCGAAACCAAATGACATCCACAAAGACTTACCCAGCAAAAAGAGACAAAATTGGAAAGAAAAAAAACATTGATGTTGTCTTATCTTCAAATAAAAGAGAAGGAATAAAGAGGACTGAAAAGACTGCACAGGAAGAAACAAAAAAGACCCATACTCAACCGTGGACTTTTTAGTTAGCTCAGGCATGACCCAGAATCCTTAAAAAAAATAATAAAAAAAATAAAAAACACTATCCAAAACGGGAAGAAAAAAAAAAAGTGGAATACTGTTCCCTCAAGCATTGAAGGCTGTTTTTAGAAAGGTGAACTAAGAAACAGAAAATGCCAAGTGTGTGTTGCAGGGCTGGGAATGGGAACGCGAAACCCTACACCTCCTTAAGGCGGTCAGACCCAACCGAACAGCGGGTCGCCCGGAGCGCTCGCGGGGGTGGGGACAGCTCAGCCATCACTTCCAGGCTTTGGCTCCGAGCCGCGGGACACTACGCGGAGTCAGTTCGGAGCGTGAAGTCCCCAAGGGTGGTCCCCGCGACGCAGCCGACCCCTAAACCCGCCGGGGATCCAAAGGGAGGGGCTGTCAGCAAAAACTCAGGTCCCCGGGTGAGCGGGGAGAGCGCTGGAGAAGAGGAAGAGCTCCAACTTTTGCTCCAAACGCTCCAGGAGGCCCGGCAAATCCTCTCCCGAGTCCCACTCCAGAAGCGACCCCCAACCCCTCTCCTGGCCGGTACCGTCCGCCCCCGGTACGGCCCGGCGAGGAAACCCCAGCCAGGGCGGCGGCTGGCAGCGCGCAAAGGGGCCCGGCCGCGGAGAGCAGGGCGCGGGGTCTTGTCCGACGGGGTCTACCCAGCGCCCCGTAGCCTCGGGGGCGCCCCGGCCGAGGCGCTGTCCCACTGCCAACAGCCCCCGGCCGAGGCCCCCTCCCCCACCTCTGGGCGGCGACTTCAGCGCCTCCGCCCCGGGGCCCCCGCTCACCCAGGTAGCGGCTCCGCAGCCGGGACGGGTCCTCCAGCCCGAGGGACCTTTTCCTCACGTCCCACAACAGGTGTGGGCAGGAGCCACCCCGAGACATGGCTCCGCCGGGCCGGGTGGGAGGGCAGCCCACCGCGTGGGGGAGGGGACAGGGGAGGGGACAGGCGATCAGCCCCCGAGCCGCACCGGCACCATCCGCGCGCCGGGCCTCGCGGGCGGGCGCAGCGACTTAGATGGCGGCGACGCCTTCGCCCCCGAAGCCCGGCCGCACCCGGGCCAGAGCTCGCCTCATACTCTCCTCACACTATCCAGAACATCCAGAGATCAGCAACAGTCTCCTCCCTCGGCCCCTCCAACGGGAGGAGGAGGTGGCGGAGGCGGAGGCGACTGCGACTCCGCCCCCACCCCGTTCTCGACACCCTCCGTTCCAAGCTTTTCTCGCGAGATGACGGATCATCCGGGAGACTGAGGCCGCCGGGAGCCACAGCTGCCCTCATCCTAGAAAAGCGGGTTCAGGGCACTGTAGCCAAGTCCTTCATTCTCTATGGATAAACGAGAAAGAGCGAAGAGCCTGAAGTCTAAAGTCTCTCCCTCATGAGTCTCATTTCATAGGAAACATGAGAGTTGTGGGCCGTCATCTTTAGTTGGGGCACGGGAGGCCCGACAGGCCCATTTTAACTACGGGCCTCCTTAATCAAAATAAAACGTGATCATAGCAGGTGCAACTTCACTTTCCCTTTTCCAACATGGCCTCGAGGGCAGGGAGGAGAAATGGGAGGTTCGCGCTGAGCCCCGCCCACCCGCGGGGCAGGCCAATCACCGCAGGTAGCTCCTCTCGCGCAGGCGCGCTGCCGCAGGGCTCTGGGAGGACCGACAGAGGCGATTCTTCTGGCACCTGTTGCCATGACTCCTCCTCCCGGCTGCCTGCCCGAGGGCTGGAGGCCGGCGGGGGGCGGGCCATCGCAGAGCCTCCGCCCCCTCGTCCTTCTCCGGGCCCGGGCCCCTGGGAAATTCGCAGCGGGGCAGGCTGAGCCGTGGCGGGAAGAGCACCCGAGGCGAGAGGAGGACGCGAGACCCTGAAACAGGGGAAAGTGACGAGCTGCTCTTCGTAGTCGGCCCGACGAGTACGCGGCCACCCTCCCGCCTGCCAGCCGCGATCCCCCATCCGCTGAGATGTCAGCCGCCGGCGTCCGGGGCCTGAGGGCCTCCTACCACCGGTTCCTTGATAAAGTAGAGCTCATGCTGCCTGAGAAACTGAGACCGCTGTACAACCACCCGGCAGGTAATGAACCCGGAATGGCTCCCCCGCGCCGCCCCTCCGTCTCCCTCTAAAGTAGACCTTCCGAGGCCCGCTGACAACTCCGGCGCTGAAGGCGTCACCCACACCCCAGCCCAACCCCCTCTCTGCTTCTCACTTTGCCTCCGTCCACCATCTGTCGCCAACCTTCGCGACCTTTGTCGCACCCCATCCCCTAGGGCCCCTGGGCTCGGTCCTGCTCCATTTCTGCGACCCCCAGACTGTGCGGGCCGCCCGGACACCCTCGTCCTCTCCGCCTCCGCTCCCCGAGCGCTTGTCGCGAGGGAGGCTTTGGAGGAAAGGTCACGCCGCCTCCAGGTCCCACTGGCACCGGCCGGCCCCGGGGTCGCTGGCCTCCCCTGCCCCGGGAGTCCACCTCGTTTCAGTGTGCCCGTGCCTGCGAAATCCCTGAGCGTGCTCCCCCGACCCCGTTCTGCATGGACACACCTGGATTCCTGCCCCTCGCTGCAGGTGTGACCTTGGGCCATATCCTAGGTCTCTTAGGTTTTGTAAAAATGGCCAAGGGGAGAAGTAAATGTGCGTTTGGCTCTTCATTCGTGTTCACTACATGTTAGCTCTCTCTCTCTCTCGTCCTGTTGGAACACAGTGTTCTCGTGGCTGAAAAAAATAGGTGTATTTCTGGAGGAAAGTGGAAGATCCCAATTCCTCCCACTCTGTGTGTTAAGACCTGGAATTCTCTATAAAACGGGCAGGAATGCTACTTGGTTGGCTGGGAATGAAAAGCAGATCTCTTTCAAGAGTTTGCAAAGGAGAAAAATCTGCCCTACATTGAAATATTGAAGTGCAACCCTAAAAGGGGCCCTTTTGGCCGCATCTCCTCTGAGCTGGTCTCATTGGGGGGTTGGAAATTTTCCCCCAGGGGCGACTCCTGCGTCTGAGGTGGTTCCCACTAAATCCTACTTCCAGTTTGATCAGGGAATGAACTGTATTTTGGGATTATACTTGAGGATAATGTTATTTACTGCAGTATTGTGCCCATTATAAAAGTGATCTTTAAGGAGAGATTTTTTTTTCTACTTTTTAAATTAAAAAAAAAAATCTTTATTGTATTTTTCCCATTACCATTTAGTCCCGGTACACCCCCGTCCCCCGCAATCACCACCCCGTGGCCCGAGCCTTTGAGTCCTTTCTCCTTTGCCCCATCCCTCCGCCCCCAGCCCTGCCCCCCCCCCCACGCGCTGTCAGCCTGCTCTTCATCTCTGACTCTGTCCCCATTTCCCCTGTAAGTTCAGTTTGTTCAGAGAGGTTTTTATCGCCGAAGAAGTGCATTTAGTTTGCCGTTTAGTTCTTTTAGCCCTCAAATCGTGGAATGGTTCTGCATTTTGTGGCAAAGATACCGGGAGGAAGGTTGGGCAATGCTCGTGCGGTGCGCGGGGCTGCAGGGTTGGCTGGACTCTGGTCCGCTCTGACCCTCAGCTTTGTGCTTGGTGTGTGGGCGAGGGAGCGGAGAAGGGCAGGAACTGTAACGTGGGTTTCTAACAGGGTGATTTCATAGTATCCTTTCCTGGGCCTTGGCTTTCACCATCCACCGTCGTTGCTTATAATACTTCATGCACCTCCCAGAAGGAAGGGGAGTTACTTTTCACTTGTAGATTGTGCATTTCATCCGGGGCTCTTGGATTACACGAGTTGTTGTGATCCTCGTCTGGCCCGTGGACAGAGCCGAGGCTTTGAAGCCAGGCAGGGAGGTTTGAATCTTGGCTGTGTGACCTTGGCCTTAAACCCCCCCAAGCGTTAGTTTTCTCTTGTATAATATGGGGATAATAATGATGACCATGTAAGGATTGTTATGAAAATTAAATGACAGTGTCTGCAAAACTTGTAGCAGTGTTTGCACTGAGACTCCCAACAAATAATAGCTTTTCCCATTTAAGCTTTGAACCAATATGCGGAGTAAGAAGCCCTATCACTGCAAAATTATTTGTGATTAGACAGTTGTAGGCACACCAATGTAGAAATGGAGAAGCATGAAAGATAAAGCTGTTGACTCGTTAGGATTGAATAAAATCTAAGGAAACACTGACTGTTATTCCAAGAGTTATTTGACTGACTATTCAAGCTTTTGCACACCATTTTGCATAATAGTATGTTATTGAATCATCGTTTAAGTATTAGGCTAGATTCACATACTGGAGGTTTTTATAAATCTGTGCAAAGCTAGGATGTTTATAGTTGGATACATACATCATTGATTCTAAGTTTTTGAGATTTAACATTATCAGTGACAAGTTATATTCTTACTGTGAAATCAGAAGACTTTTGGCACAAATAAAAATAAGTAATTTTTGGCAGTCATTATTTGTGTGAAAGCATAATCCTGACAAAACCTAAGGATGTGTAAGCAGTTTGTCACATGAGAGTGAACAGGTCATGTTATTACTTAATATAAACAAGTAAGAGGAATGTTGAGGGTTGTTGAAAGTCACCGACCTCAGAGAAACAGTGTGAGAGGGTAGGAAGGGCGTGGTGGAGAGCGTTCAGTTAGAAGCTTTATTTTTCGCAGTGGGACAGAGTGAGCACCTCAGCTCAACATTTGCATTTGTGCACGTTTGCCTGTTTGTAAAAGTTACTTATTCTGTTCCAAGAAAAAAACCTTTCCTTGGGGAGGGCCTCATACATACAATAAATGGACTTTCTGGGTAGAATTTATATATTTCATTAACAGTACTTTCTCTCAGATAAGGAAACTAGGAGGTAAAGTTGTGTCATTTTATCAACAGTTTCATCAAAGTTCATCAAGGCAACTGGATTTGTTAACTTGTTTGAAAATGTATGTCTCTTGCACACTCCCTTGCAGAAGTTCTCAAATTCCTCTATGAAAGTTTGAACTTTAAAAAAGTTTCACTTTAAAAATAAGACAAACCCATAACAACACAAAAGAAAGTGACCATTATATTATTCTCTGTATTTTTGTTATGCTTGAAAATATATTTTTAAGTTAATAGATATTTTTTAAATATTGTTCCATATTTCCAGATCATTGGCACTTATGGCCTTTTTCAGCTCCAGGAGTGGGCTGCTAAGAATCAAGAGGAAAATGTGTTAATTAATTGTTAATTCCTTGCCTAAAAGAATGTACATTTATATCTGATGGGGACACATTGCCCTCATTTTGTACTCCAAATTTAATTTCTTATGAGATGATTTTTATTCAATATATTTCAGCAGTTCAAATTTTCCACCCAATCAAGTTTTTTCATTTCCCATCATGAAATGCTGGCTAGGTAGTCTGTTAGTTATACCTCTGCTTATCTTGATTTTAAGGTACTGTAATTATTTCAGACATAGTTACTTAATTGCTCATTTTTTAAATAAATTGTTGCATTTCAGTGAACAGCTGTGAGAATGACTGCGTTGTTATATAGAATGTAAACCTGGTTTTCTCAGGTCTAGAATGATACGTGTGACATTGTGTTGTCATTGTTTGGGTGCATCACAGGTATTGCTAGCCATTTTTCCCTTTTTTAAAACAATGAAGAAAACATGATCGATTCGCATTTATAGGTCTCTAACTGATTATTTTTGTCCCTTGTCAGGATCCTCTCATATCTCAGAAAAATTAGAAATTTGCAATGTCATATATATTTGCAACTGATATTTTTTAATTTGGTACTTAGCAGTTGTTAAACTAATTTAGGTTTGTTTTGTAGTCTAAAATTACTTACTAACTAAAATATATACACAGCTCTTAGTCCAGGTTCAAGCAACCGTAAGATCATGTATGAAGTTGTTTTGTTAGATTTGGTTTGGGGGAGGGGGGCACTTGGTGCAATATTTTAAGACCGTCACCCAGCTTGGGGCACTTATTAGTTACCAGGCAGACCTGCTGAAGAGCTTGAACGGTCATTAACTCGGAAGCATCAGCCACCTCGGTGTGCATAGAAACCAGCCCAGGGGACAGTCCCGGGAAGGCGAAGAGGAAGCGTCCCTTTTGAAATAGGAAGAGAGGAGTCTGCGGAGGAGTTCAAAGCCGGAGACTCAAATGGGCTGAATTACCCTTGAGAGGTGAAGCCTCGGCACTGCACGCGGGGATGACAGAGGAACTTGGCTGGCCGTCCTGCCTACGGCCAGAGACTGTGTACCTGACAACGGAAAGCGACGGGTGTGCTGATGGGAACCCCGGAAGCTCGAGCTGAACAAGAGCACCCGCCTTTGAAGGCGGACTGAGGGGGGCGGCGCGCCGCGGCACCGGGCTCCCGGGGAGCCTTCGGAGCCACACAGGGGGCGCCACCGTCTAGGAGGAGAGCGACCCGTGAAGGCAAGTCTGACGCGGTCTGGGGCCCCTGCAGATGAGGGAGACCGCAGCCAAGCCTGGGGCATGGACAGTGGGGCGGTCCCTCATGCCCCCAGCCTGGAGGCACCACGCGTGGACGAACGTTAACTCCATGGTCAGGGCAAAGCACTGGGAATGGTTTCCAAAACCACCTCCGCTGTACTTTAGCTAATTTATAACAGGTTACAAAAATACAAATAATTGGCGAGGAGATCAAAACAACGCGTATGAAAGGTTGATATCGTGGTGACCGTCTAAAGGTTAACATATACAAAGTATGCAGAAAACAGTAAAAATGATTAGAAATAGATTGAGAAATCTTTGGATTTTTGAAAGACATGTATAAAATATTGAATAGTTGGTTTATTCCTAAATTTTTCTCTTTTTTTTTTTTTAGGTCCCAAAACAGTTTTTTTCTGGGCTCCAATTATGAAATGGGTAAGTCATGAGTTTTTATAGAAGCTACTGAAAAAAAATTCTCCAATAGAAACTTAGTAATTTGAAGTAACTTTTATGAAGGATGTACTTTTAAATGTTCATGGTATGGCTCTAAATGATTTCATGCAAATATTCTTAGGTGAATCATTTTTCCTCCAGAAAGCACACCAGTTTTTTCTGAACTTCGTAGGTTAAGAGGCCTGGGAACATACTTGTTATCAAAACCCTTACAATCGCGAGCCCTAGGGACAATGAAATTTATTCTAAAATTTTATGACAAAGTAAAACATTGAAGTAGTTAGACCCCCCTCCCCAAATGAACTGTTACTATTAATTTAGAATGAGAACTAAAGGTACACCCAAATAAAGTCAAGCAAAGTTAGTCTCAAAAAGTAGTGGGATTTATCCAAGAGTGTGTATTAATTCATAGCTGGTAAGTTCTGGAAACTAGGATTTCTAACTCCAAGACCAGTGCTTTTACTCTATGCCAGTGTTTCCATTCCTAAAGTTCTTGCTTAGTTGAAAAGAAGCCATTGAGGTGGCTGTGGCAAAGCATTGGTTTTGTATGGAAAGGGCCAGTCTTGGCCGATTGCAGTGCTGCTTAGAGTGTCACCGCTGGGCGTGGAGCGTGGACATCACGCAGGCGCGTCTCTGAGGTGCCCGCCTTCGGGCCCCTGGCAGCCTCCGTGAACCGGAAGCTCAGGGTCAGAGCCCAGCAATCGTGTTTCACTGAGCCCGCCTGGGCGTCCTGATGCCTTCTGAGGCTCGGAAACTGGTCTGCAGGTTTTTTAAAAAACAGACTAAAATCACATAAAATTTCCCACCTTAGCCCTTTGTATAGTGATAAGTACATTCACACGCTTGCGCAGCTGATCTCTAGAACTCTTTCATTTTGCAAAACTGGATCTCTGCACTCACTAACCAGTAATTCCATTCCCCTTTTCCCTGCCCCCGGCGCCCACCATTCTAGCTCCTGTGTCCGTGAATGTGACCCCTCTGGGGACCGCACGGGAGTGGAGTCACGCAGCATCTGTCTGTCGTGCCTGCTTGTTTCACTGGGCACAACGCCCCTGGGGCTTAGCTGTGGTGTGGCGGGTGTCAGAACAGGCTCTTTTTAAGGCTGAATAATATCCCACTGTATGTATATTTCACATTTTGTTTATCTGTTCATCTGTGGGGACACTTGGGCTGCTTCCACCTTTTGCCATTAATGACGCTGCTGTGAAGAGCGGTGGACAGATATCTGTCCTAGTTTCTGCTCTCAGTTCTCTTGGGTTATACCTTGAAGTGGAATTCTATATTTAATACTTTAAAGAACTGCCATATCGTTGTATATTCCAGAGGGGCTACACTACTTTATAGCCCCACCAGCAATTAACAAGATTCCAATTTCTCTCAATTCCTGCCAACTCTGTTACTTTTGTGGATGTTTTATAATGGCCATCCTAATGGGCGTGAAGTGGTATCTCATTGCCTTTTAGGTTTCCATTCCCTAAAGTGACTGGTTGTGTTGAGCATCTTTCATACACTTGGGACCATTTATGTATCTTCTTCGGAGAAATTCTTGTTGAAACCCTTTGCTCATTTTTTTACCGAGTTGTTTTTGTTGTTGAGTTGTAGACTATTTTAATTCTCTTGTTACAACAGTCAGAAACTCAGTGGTAAATCTACGTAGTTGAGGCTGTTAGACCAGGAAGTGGCTGTCCCTCAATCTTACAGCGTTAGGCAAGTGACCTCTACCAGTTCACGTCCTCGACTATAAAAGGACCAGGTTAACTGGGTGGGTGGGAGCTGTGTTTTAGAGGGAACTTCCTTTTTATATTTACATATTGAGAAAAGGTTCCATCTGTTTTTTAAGAAGTTTTAATATATCACCTTTGATGGTTATACTCTGAGCATTCACACGTAGTGTTACATAACAAAAAAATAAAACAAAACCCATACTAATGGAAGGGACATTATTATTTCCTTCCTCTTCTCTCCCTACCTATGTACTTAAAATTATATAGCAATTATATATGTATAAAGTGGAATTGATTACTGAAGTTCTGTTTCTAGTGCCATTATTTAAAAGAATAGGAATGATTTAATCTACCATAAATTTGGGGTCCTCCTTGACCTCAGATTTGTCACAATTTGGGAGTTTTTTGATTTTATCAATAGCTTTTGTGTGTATTTGAGCTGGTTCATTGGTGTTTTGAAACACTGGCAGTATTAGATCCTCGCAAGTGCCTTCCTGTCTCCTTTAAAAACTTCTATTTTAAGTTCGTGTTGAAATCATACATAGTCTCCTGATGACCGCAGAGCAACAGAAACTTCTGTGTCTTGTTCTCTGCGGGGACACTTCTTTTGATAGATACTTACTTTATGTGCATGTGTTTTTCTTCTCTCAGAGCGTTTGATAATCCCTGGCGGTCTGTACATATCCTAAAATTGCTGCTGCCAGCCAAATATGAGGTCTCTCCCGAAGGTGTCCAGCCATGTAATATGAAAAACAGAGACACTTATTGAAGAAGATACAAGATACTTAACGTTGTACATAGGACAATGACGCCTGAGTCCCCTTCAAAGCAGGCACCTTGGGACCTCACACAGTTCTCCCAGTGGCCATCTTCTGTCATGTCACATTTCCCTGAACTTCATTGACAGTCTGAAATCTCTTCCCTTTCAAAGGTGATTTTAGTTTGGGGAAAAGCCAGAAGTCACAGGGCACCAGATTTTGGCTATAGGAGGGCTGAGTCACCTGGCTGATTTGATGTTTCACCAAAAAACTCTGCATGAGACGTGATGCATGAGTAGACACATTGTTGTGATGAAGCTGCCAGTCTCCAGGTGCCCAGAGCTGTAGCCTTCTGAGGCATCCGAATAGTCTCCATGGAAGAACGTTTAAGCTTAATGCAAAATTTTATGCGAATTCGTTGCTCTACTCGCTCAGTCATTTTGAATGCAACGACCACACAGCACACATGCTCACTCGAGGGTGTCTGCCACCCCCACTGACTAGTACAGTGAAGTCATCATTGTTCACGCATGCGCATTCCCATCCACTCTCCTTGGCTGCCAGGTTACATGGATGTCGCGCAAACCATTCTCATTATATTAACAATGGCTGGATTTTCCTAACAGACCTTGTGTATGTTCTTTAGGAGCAAAAACTCTGTGCTGATACATATTTTCCATGCAAGAACATCTTTGAGAAACTCAGTAAAACCTGCAAATAATTTCTTAAAAACATAATAACATATTTAGGATTTGATTTAAAATACTTAAAGGAGGGGGGGAAGGGAGGTAAAGCTGATGCGGCAGAGTCTGCAGGGGCTCCTTGCACAGTGTCTCCTATTTCGTGTAGGCTTGAAGTTTTCCTCAGTCAAACTGGTTTTATTCCATCTTCTAATCTCCTCAATAGAGCAGTAGAACTAATACCGTGTATGATCGTATATACATGTATTTTGCCATGTGTAATGCACACTTTTTTGCCCAAATTTTTGAGGGAAAAATAAAGATGCACATTATACATGGGTACAATGATTACATACCATGGGTATAATAATGGTTATAATAATCGCGCCTATAATGCACACAACACCGTGGGAGAGCATTACACACGGCAATGTGTGGTATTCTGGTGAAGCCTTGTTGCTTCACGGTGCTCGTGGAGGCCGTGAGTGGGCGATGCCATAAAAGACCATTAGAAACGCAGCAGCGAAGAAATAGCCATCAATATTTTGACATGAAAAGAACCTTATCTAACCAAGAAACTAAAGTTCCAACGGAGCTTTTCTGATATCTTCAAAAAAGGAAAACATTGACAAAAAACATGACTGGAGGAATCTATACAAATTACCTTCGTTTTCAGGCATACTCCATGCCAGTAGTTCCTGACATGGATAAAGAACATATAAATTCACATGTGGAAGAAGTGTCATTTGTAGAACAAGTAAACACTCTCTCTCTCTCTCCCCCCTGATTTTTAAATATATCAGACTGCTTCCTCTGGTTAACAAAATACAAATTAATTCCGAAAGCCCTCCTGAATTCATTGTACTTCTTTGTCCTGGCCTGCACTTTCCGGACGCCACCATCTGGTGGGAATCCCCGACGTGGCGCTGTGTTGTATTTGAAGGGGAGGACTGCTACGTGACACTCAGGACGCTTCTTTCTCTGTGTCCCCAGGGGCTGGTGTGCGCCGGCTTGGCCGACATGGCTAGACCTGCCGAGAAGCTCAGCACCGCCCAGTCCGCCGTGCTGATGGCCACAGGTAAACTAAACCGCACCTGTCACACTCCCTGAAGGGTGGGCCCTGTTCTCATGGTGCTTAACATCCCTTTATTCCGCAGTTTAATGTTTGAGGCACTTACGCGCGCGCGCACACACAAGAATGCCCGGGGCGTCTCCAGAAGTGATTGGGTGGAGGAGGCGGAGGAGGGCGACGGCGGATAGGTGCCTGCGCGGTTTTACTACGTTTTTGTCATGAACAGAACTTCATATGGAGGAAAAAGTTCCAACTACTATCCTTTACCCTATACAGATTTCCCTTTGATGTAAGAACTGAGCGTTTTGGGTAACACTGAAGTCTAGTTTTTCTGTCATTTATCCTACATTATGTTGTCCTCATCTTTTTTATGAGTAGTTTCCTCTAATACTAAATGTTCAGATGAGACATTGCAACAGTAACTATGCTTTTAAAAAAAACATTTTATCTCAACAGGGCTTATTTGGTCGAGATACTCACTTGTAATTATCCCAAAAAACTGGAGCCTGTTCGCTGTCAATTTCTTTGTTGGGGCAGCGGGAGCCTCTCAGCTTTTCCGTATTTGGAGGTACGTGGGCCTGCGGGGCAGGAGAAAGTGGGCCTCGGAAGTCACTGGAGGGCTGTGCTTTGCTTTCTTTTCTTTCTTTTTTGTAAGATTTACATATAGTACTAAGGTGGGATGTGCCTGCAGCAGAAATTCAGCTTTTCTAGAAAAGTCTGGGGGTTTAAGTTGAAAGCGTCAAGCAGTACGTTACCTAGGTTTTAAATCCGCATATTATCCAGATGCATAGCTTTCTGGTAGAATCTCTTTATTAAGATAACATATGAACACGTTACAGTGTACTAAGTAATTTTCTGTATGAATCTTTTAGAGCTTTCAAGTATAGACAATAAAGTGGGAATAAAATATGTAGTTATGTAATATTGGAGATGGTGTTTCTGGTGAGACTCCTGGTTTCATTGGACAGTGTTCCATGAGCACCGGAAATTTTTAAGGCTATTTACTCAGTGGTTATCATTATCCGTCTGTGGTTGATTAATACCCTTCAGTGAGCTCGTCTTAGATGAAGGCTCTGGGTTTGTCTGAACCACGGACCTTTCTAAATTATAAAACGATGTCATGAATAACAGCTTTCTTTGGCTAGGAAAAAAATTGACCTCAATAAAGAGAAAATGATTAAGTTATAATTTACATTCCTTTCAGAAGGCGTTCTGTTCCATAGAGTGCAGTACCTCTTACCACCCTTAGGTTAACGAGTGTCTCTATAATTTAATCTTTTCATAATCATTTAGCACCTAAGGGATAGATGAAAGAACAACCCACTCATTCTACACTATGCATCGCGGCCGCCTTTAGGGCTTACTGATATCAATATAAACTCTGATTTGTACAATGACTTTGTTCACACAGTATTTTTCTCATATGCCATCCCATTTTAACTTTACATTGACTTGTGATAGAGCTAAGAGAATGCTGGGTGCTGTATTCAGAATTCTTTTTTTTTTTTTTAATATTTATTTATTTATTTATTTATTTTTAGAGAGAGGGGAAAGGGAGGGAGAAAGAGCGGGAGAGAAACATCGATATGAGAGAAACATCAGTCATTCGCCTCTCGCATGCACCCCAACTGGGGACCGAACCAGCAACCCAGGCATGTGCCCTGACCAGGAATCGAACCAGTGACCTTTCAGTTTGCAGGGTGATGCCCAGCCAGCTGTGCCTCACTGGTCAAGGCCAGAACTATTATTTCTATTACCAGAATTTCAGATACAGTTTGACAAAGGGATTTTTGGCACCTTTTAGTTACAATAGCAGATTGGGAGACTTTGTTAGAATCACAGGCGTTGGAGTCTGGAGCACATTGAATGTTTGAGTTGGGACTTTTGAGAGACCTAAGAGGTAGGGTAGGCGTCATGGAATAAGTCCTTCTAGTGTACCTGCTGCTCTCCACGCTGCCGCAAGCTGGGAGAAGAGCCCGCGAAGACATTCCCATGCTTTGTCGGACTCTTGTGTATTTCAAGAATGAAAGTATTCATTAAAATAATACTGTTGTGCAGGAAACTGTATGTCAGTCAAGGTGAAACTTTTTGGCAGCTGGAAGCCAAATGCAAATAAAGCCTGAGTCATCCCCCCTTCCGCCTGCCTCCGCCCACGAGGCCTTGGGAAGATTGCATCCCCCCGCCGAGGAGCCTCCCAACTAGGGAGAAGGGAGGGATGGAACAGGCTTTTCACGCCCCTTTTATTGGTCACTTGTCTCTTGTGATTCATGATTATTTTCCTTTCTGTTCTCTCCACAGATATAACCAAGAGCTAAAAGCTAAAGCAAACAAGTAAGAGTCCCTGATCATCCCAATACCCCTGATGTGGACACAACCGCTTGGACTGCGTTTGATTTATTATTTGGTTATTGGTAAGGCGATGCCAACTGTGTTAACGGTTGAAACACATGAAGAGCACCGTAACTTAACTGGGAGCTAGTGCCTGACTCAGCAGAAAAATAAAGCAAATTTTTAATAACTGTCTCTCTGCGACTTACGGGACTTGCCTGTGGATATTATACCATTTTTCCTACTCTTTGCCCCTAATAAATCACGCTTGCTCATACACACCCTGGCTGCCTCCTGTTCTAGTCGCCAAGGTGCGTGTGTAGGACAGTGCACACATTCAAGCGAGCCCGGAGATGCTGGAAAGGTTAAGTTAATCTGTTTTCAGTGAAAGATGGTGACGCAGCTAAAAGGGAAAGGAAATGCTGCTAAAGAGGGTGAGAAATGGTGGGCGAATGGCTGGCAAAATGACTTCAGACTATTTTAAAACACTTTAACTTGAAGACTTGAAGACTCATATTTGGCATATTATGTGAGATTCTTTTACAGCGACTGAGTAATGACGGGTTTCCAATTGTTCGAATTACTTCAGTAACTGACACAATGTCGCAGAAAGGGCTCCGGGGTCAGACCCACCGAGCCGGATCCCCTCCTGTGCCGGGAGCGGTGGCTCTGAGCAGGCTGCGGGGGCGTCTGGCAGGGGCTTGGGGTGCCAGCCGGCTTCCTGTACAGGGTGGGCCCCTTTGTCCCCGCTGGGAGGAAAGGCGGGACGTAGGTCACTTCGCGCTAGAAATGATTAACAGTGGGACTGAGCTCCAGGACGGCCTGTGGAGCTTTTCCTAGATGTTGCGGAGCAGCTGGTCCTGTTTAGAACTGCAGGCAGAGGAATCAGCAGAGCAAGTTATTTCTAAACATAAAGAAGCAAGAAACAAAAGAACTTTCCAAGTAATTAACGATCAAAATTTAGCAATCAGCAATTGAACGCCTTGGCCTGTTTTCGATACCCCTTCACCGCAGCCCACCTCTGAGGAGGAATTCGACGTTGGCGGAGTGGAGAGGTCCCGAGGGGTCCCGTCCCACTGCCCTCCTCTTACAAGCCCCACCGCCACGTGCGTTGGTCACGTGTGTGCTCATGTTTCTGTTGCCTAGGGTTACGCATGTAGGAAAAACATCAATTACAAAACAGAGCAGGGTGCAAAGAAATTATTAAAATGTATGTTTTAAATTGATGCTTCCTTTTTTTTTTTTTTTAACTTAAAACCTGCTCTGCCCTGGCTGGTGTGGCTCAGTGGATGGGGCGTCATCCCTAAAAGGGAAAGGTCACCGGTTCAATTCCGTGTTAGGGCACATGCCTGGGTTGTGGGCCAAATCGATGTTTTTCTTCCCCTCTCTCTAAAAATAAATAAAATCTTAAAAAAACAACCCTGCTCATATATAGCTTCCCTGACCACACTGGCCAGCCACACCCATTGTGGCGCTTAGATGCAGTCGCAGACCTTCTGCCTGGTCCTCAGCAACTCCACTGACAAATCATCTCGGGCTGCTTTTCCGCCCAGAAACCCCCATCCATCCTATTACTGAATCTTAAAAATTAAATCACCCTGATACGTGTCCAGTCAAGAACTCTCACTACTCCTCGAGACACTTAGTTCGGTGATCAGTTTCACAATTTTTTTAAAGCACAGGAAGCAGAATTTATATCCTCGAAGTCCTTACTACCAAGGCAGAGACTGCACCCCATGAAAGCACCTTTCCCAATGATCAGCCCAGCTGAGCTGGATTCCATACGAAAATCTAACGAGCCCTTCCCGGTGACTTCGCTAGGTGTGATTTCTCGGCGCCACGCCTGACAGGCCTGGCTTTCAACTCGGGTTGGCCATGTGTTAACGGTGAGACCTTGACCTCCATCTCCAAGCTCCAGTGTTGGGGGGGGATGGGGCGGGGGCGGGGGGGTGGGTAATGGCGCACACCGTTTCGGTTTGTGGTGAAGGTGCCTCCAGACGACAATGTAACATGGTGCCCAGTCCGCGGTGGGAGTCGAAGACGTGGAGAAAGCTTCGGAAGACAGTACACTTACTAATCGAAGGTAGACCCGAAAAGTACTTTCTAACACAGAGGAAGTGTTGATAGAGCTACAAAAAATATGTATGCTGTGTTAACCTACTCCACACCCTCTGGGGTGGTAACTGTCAGAACTCGAAGCTTCCTTAGTCGCAGCAGACAGCCAGCCCGCTGCTGCTGGGACGGGCGGGCAGGGTGCTCTGTGCAAGGTCAGCCCCTCCCCCCGCCGCCTCCGCCTCCCCGGGGCTGGCGCTTGTCTCAGAACAGAGGTCCAAAGAGGATCGGTGCTGTTGTTTCTCCATAGTAAACCCCTGGTCTTTTTTCCTTTGGTAAAATACTGATGAAAGGTTGAATCTTAACAGGATTGGCCTCAAAGCCCGGGCTCGTCTCCAAAGCAAAGCCAGTCCTACTGGCTCCTGCTAACGCAATGGCACCGAAGTAGAAGGCGCTGGTGCTGACGAGACTGGCTTTCTCCCCAGGGCGTCAGCTTAATCACATGCGATACGGTCCAGTGATATTAGGACTGGTTTCTGCAATATCAGAAATTCACTCCAGGAACATAATTCAATGAGCCCTTTTTCCCCGTCCCTTAAACACAACTGTTTTTTTTTACAACATTTTGAAACAGTGAATTTAAGTACCGTGTTGGCCTTTACTTGAGAATGCTTGCTTGCCTTTTCCGTTCAACTTTTCTAAATTCCACTTTTACGTGTGTCAGTAATAGTTGCGATATACATGTGAACAGCTAGAAAATTAAAACATGGTTTCAGCTGTTAGAAAATGTGTCACCCTCCTAACACATTTCGCCAGTGTCACATTGGGTTAAGAAACCCAAACCCAGCACCACATGGGGTTGCCCAGTTCTCCTAGGGGTGAATTGGGTTAGCGGTATGCGCTTGACCGGTCAACAAGGACAAGTCAAAAATTTATCTCAGAAAAATCCCTGAAGATAGTAAAATTCAGAGGCCTGGTAAAAGCTGTAATCATCATTGACCAAAACATGGTATGTGCTCTCGCAGGCGACACTGTCTTTATAGTGGTCGCCTACCAACGGCTGCCCGAGTTCACTGACCCTTACCCCACACGTCGGCCGGGGAGACCTGAGATGGCCAGTCCAGGGACAGTACCCGGTCTCTGGGGTCGGGGGGCGGGGCGGGGCGGGGCGGTGCCAGCCAATCAGAAGCAAAGTCTGCACATGGAACAATGAGATTCTAATGAGGGTGTGGCCAGCAAAACGGCTTTTAGACAAAACTGTCATTTTATGGCTCATCTATGGACAGACATGGTGCTCCTGCTGTCTTCAGAATAATGTCACCCAGGCCTCTCCCACCTGTCTGCGCTCCTGACAGGTCTGGGGCCTGATCCGCCCGGCCTCCCCCAGCCTTGGCGGAGGAGGAGGAGGCTTCTGGACGTGGGTGTCTCTGCAGGAGGTAGGCTGGCTGGGGGGCGACGTCCTGGGAAGGCGGCGGCAGGCCTTGGAGCTCAGAGGAAAGGGGGCGCCTCAGTGGAGAGGGGCGCCATCCGCGCCCGTGTCCGATGTCTGAGGCAGCCTCTGCGGTGAGGCCGGGACCCGAGGCGCACGTGCTGCCTGTGCTGCTGATCATGGATGTGCTGACGTCCTCGCCTCCCTCCTGTGACTTCGCCCCGTCCTCCTCCTCCGCCACCAGGGCCAAATGCCAGCCCTGGGAAGGGGGCACCGGGAAGGTGCTGTGCAGGAGGCAGGTGTAGAACCTGACCCGTAACACAGAGAAGCCTGCAGCACAGCAGGGGACGCACAGACATGCACAGGCCATTAGAGACACGTCAACAGAAACGAAGGCCCAGTGGCTTATAGACCCTCCGTGCCCCGGGAGCTCAGGGGACAGTGGCCTTGGGTTGGCGTGGCCCGGCAGGGCTTCCTGGCGGGTGACATTACAAACCTGTTCAGTTCAGAGTACGTACCTCCTTCCTTGGACTCTCATAAAACCTCACTCTACACGTTGATGAAAAATTGAATGAAAACTGAAATCTGTTAGAAGTTTCCAGAAGTGGATATAACTGACCTTCTGTTTTGTTTTCATTTGGGGCACTCTCTACGAAGGTCGGAGCTGCACTCCCCCTGCACCCCGGAAACCGCTGGCGCACGTCTGGGGCCTCACCCGCCTCCCTCAGGCGCCCTCGTCCCTAGCAAGGCGCCGCCCTGCCTTCTCCGAGCCGCTCAGTGCGTGTGCACAGCCCCTGGCTGTGACCGAGTGGGCCAAACGGTGGAGCAGGGTACCACCCACAGGCACTGAAAGTGCTCTAAAGTTAAATACGTACTTTCTCTAGGTCATTAACATGCCCAAAGTGTCGAGGGGCATGCACACGGGAGGTAGCGTGGCCCAGCAGAAAGCGCGCAGGCTTCCCAGTCCCGCAGACCTGGGCTTCCCAGCCATGCGGCCTGCAGCGCGGATGCTGAGTCCCGGTTGCCGCAGCTGTGGGATGGGGAGATAGCCCTTTCTCCAGGTCAGGCCCGCTTCCCGAAACGCGTCGCACAGAAAGGTCTTCCTAAGTGAGAACGACAACGTGGAACGGGCCACGCCGCTCGTCATCCTCTGACGTTGCGGAAGACTGTCTTTTAAACAGGACATTTCTACTATCTCCCTGTGGGTGCTCTTGAGGAAAGCTCTCAGGGACTCACTTTAGATGCCTTTGCCTCTGCAACCCGTAACAAATAGTTTTGTTATTCTAGTTCCCTTCCCATCCACATAGGTCATTGTCCTCTCCCAACGCATCCCCTTTTTCTTGCCTTGTAACCATAAACTTAGAAAAAGCTGTCCGTGTTCTCAGATCACCTTATTGAAACCCGTGGGGCCTTAGCAAGCATTTAGTTCCTCTTCAGGCCACATCACCTCTGCAGCCTGGCAGGTGGACATGCAGCCTCTCACAGGGAGACCCAGTGCTCCGAGACTGCCCAGTTCTGACGTTCACCCTCACGCTGTGTAAGTTCGCCTCCCAGTGCTTGGATGGCCATCGATCGCAGTTGATCCTTCCGGAGAAAATGCGAACCCGCTCCCCACAAGGTACGAGCGCTACCGCCAACATTCACAGTGTGCATGTGAGGAGCGTGCACAACTGCCCGGATGCAGGGGAGCCGCTCGTCGGGAGGTTAGACAAAACGCCGTGTTTGGGAGGATGTGTTTATACTGAATTATTATTCATTTAAAATGCAAATTTATCTAGATGGCCTATGTTTTTATTTGCTAGCCCCGGCAGTCTCGCAGGTGGTAGCCAAAGAGAACTCCCCGGGATAGGAGCAGGGGCAGGAGAGGGGAGACTAGACAGAGCTCCGCCCCACTCGGTCCTGCTCGTCTTGGGCTGCGGCCCCTCAGCCCTCGGTGACAGCCTCTCCCGAGCGCCCAGCCTGTGGAAGCCGCGCGCTTCAAGGTCACATATTCTTGATCAATGAGCTCCCTCCACTGAGGACAATACACACCCCCCTCCCTGTCCTTCTTCGCCCCGGCGTGAGCCTTACTCCTGCTTAGCCAGACGTGTCCCGACAGCAGGGAGCCGGCAGGGCAGCTCTTTTGTCGATAGTAGGCACCCGCCTTAGACTTTGCACGGGGACCTATGTCTCCCAACTTTCACAGTTCAGTGTAAATATTTGAAGACGACTAGTCTTTTTGCCCAAATGTCATCATCTCCTACTATATTTCCGACCTCTCCTATCATTCCTCGTGTGCCATAGTCACTGGACTTCACATAAAACGGGCAGAGCTAAACCCAGGGCCCTGGATCAGATTTGAACACAGCTTAGGGACCGTAGGACTGCATTGCATCAAAGTGTCCGATAAACTACGAAAGGTGCTTAATTTCCTTAGTACCACCAGGGAAACAAAGCCCCAGGGACCACCGCTCACCTACGAGACGGCTAAAATTTAAAAAGACTGACATTAGCGAGTGCTAGCTGGGATATAAAGCTCTGAATTCTTGTATTTTGCAGGTGGGGTGTGAGTTGGTACAACCTCTTGGGAAAATTGGCAGGATCTACAAAAGTTCAATATATGTATATCCTAGGTCCCAGCAATTCCGCTCAGGTGTAGGCCCAAGCAAAATGTTTACATATGTTCACCAAAACACATGCACAAGAATATCCTGAGCAGCATTAATCCTGATAGCCTGCGACCAGAGACAATCCGTAGGTCAGTAGCAGAATGGACAAATACCTCATGTATAGTCAGGTGGGGGAATACTATACAGCACTGAAAATGGACAGGCATCGATATAGGCACAACAGTATAGGTGAGTGTCACAAACGCTTGAGAAAAAACCCCAGAAGAATCTATAGAGCATAATCCCATTTACATACAGTTTCAACGCTGACTGAGGTAGCCTGTAATCTTAGAAACCGTGGGGGAGGTTACCCGTGGGGACAGCGAAGGAAGACTGGGGGGAGGCAAGAAGGGAACTCTGCAGTACTGGGAGCGTTCTCTTTCTCGAAATGAGAAGGGTTACACGGTCCTGTTCACTTGAAAAAGACTCATTGAGCTGCACACTTTGAATTGCCCATTTTCTGCACGCATTATGTGTCAATGTGGGTTTTTTTAAAGATAGCAATGCATTTGCAGTAAATCTAGTTTTTCATCCCACATGTTCATGCATTTGATTTTGTCAAAATTCTAAATACAACACTTCGCGTTTATTCTGAAATCTGGTTATTTCAGCGTAATTAGGCTATTTCGAGATCCTGAGTGTGCCACTGGATGCATCAGCTCTGCCTCCAGCTCTGTCTTTACCTGAGCCCCCGGGCATGCCCAGGGAGGCTTCCCTCTGAGTGGACAGGAGGAGAGAAACACCAGCACCCTGCAAGTCTGATTGGTAACCAGCTAACTGGATTTTCATCACTCTTACCATCTGCCTCTTACCCAGAAGGGTGTGAGAAATTTAGCCAAACGCCCTGTTCAAGTCAAGTTAAATAGCATTCTTTGGATTTAAAAGTGTACTAACTCTTCAAGAAAAGAAATTAGGCTAGATTGCTCTTGGCTGCAAAACTGTTTTGACACCTTTTACTCACTTCTGGCTGAGCTAAGCGCGCACCTGTTGCCAGGTGCGCTCACAGCTGAGGCGGCTCACAGACATCCCAGCCTCTCTCCCACCGCACGCACAGTGGGACCGCGCTTCCCCACCCACTTGAAATGAAACGTATCTGCCGGACTTGCCTGGGCCAATGTCACGTGAGTGGCAGTGAAATACGTCACTTCTGGGAGGACACGTTAGGCATGAGTCTGCCCCATGGAGTCTCTTCCCCGCACTCTCTGAGCAGCCGAAATGTCCCCGCCTGGGTCCTGAAGTGAAAGCAGCGGCAAAGCCAAGCCTCAGGCAACCTACAGTGCGGGCAGTAACAGGAGCAAAAGACGAACACGCCTTTGTCATCGCAAGTCCCTGAGGTTTTGGCATTACTTGGTGAAGCCAGCCCTGACCTGTACGGACGGAGGCACCGTGTTTACCGGTCTGTGTTTCCTGGGATGCGCAGACAGCCTCGTCTTTCCAAATTTGGCACGTCCCCAGATTTTCAGCCCAGCTTTTGTTCTCCACTATCTTTGGAGATGGCAGGATGTCTGTCCGTGCTCCCGGTGCTTGCAGGTATAAGTTGTCTGGGGCTGGCGGCCGGAATTTGTTCTAAATGACTGGGCGCTGCAGGACCGCTTTCTTATCTCGGACTCCAACTCATTCTCAGCAATACTTGTTACAGTTTTCAGTTCTCCACAGGCGAGAAGGCAGCAGCACAAGAGGGATTGTGTCGTACACCATAGTTCTAAGCTTTGTCCTTATTCCTCTTCTATTAATCACCTTGCTTTTATCAAAGCCAAAAAGTCCCTCTAGTTTCTTTTAACTTCAGCATTTTCCTAAGGCTCAGCTCTTTCTGGGCGTTCCGTTTTCTCACACCTTTCCTACAAATTCACGTAGCACTTACCAAATTCACTCTCTGACACTATTTGGGGTGCTCATTATCTACTGACCGATCCTCGTATATGCTGTGGCTTACTGGTACTTTAAAACAAAACAAAACAAAACCCTAGCTATAGGCTTTTCTTTCTATCTTTTGCTCACTTCTTCGCATTTAAGCTCACCAGGGCTTTTCCCTTTAAAGGTTATCTAATATCTAATATTTAATACTCATTTTTAGAGATCACTATACATTTTAACATTTGCCTGTTTACTATACTGATGTTTTCCCTGATTAAAAAAAAAAAATGTTTTTCTTAACTCTAAGACACCGCTTCATGCTCCACCTCTTCTCCCCCAGCTCCCTTGTCGGGGCGCCGGTTGCCCATCAGCTGTGCAGGGCCGGCGCCCAGTTCTCCTGCAGAAAGCCGGCCCTTCTGGCGTGCGACTCCCAAACGCAGGCACCCTTGCCGCCCTGTCGCTCAGCCCAGCCCTGCGCCAGTCAGAACGAAACCAACAGAGGAAAAGAAGTAGGCACGTGAGGGAACGAGTTCCAATCAGATTTCCTCCGTTCTCGCTCTTCTCTCCGGAAGGTCCGTCCGGGACCCGTCCCCGCGCCCCTGGAGCCCTGCACGTTGCCTTGAGCATGAAGCGTCAGCAAGAAGAGCTGCAGGACCGGACCATCATCAGGATCGCGGCCCACCTGCCGGACCTCATCGTCTACGGGGACTTCTCCCCGCAGCGGCCGTCTGTGGACTACTTTGACGGAGTCCTGATGTTTGTCGATATCTCAGGCAAGCACGAGAGGGGTGCTGTGTGTGGGCGAACGATGGGCAGAGCTGGATGGCGGAGCGGGGGTGCCGTCTTCGAGCTTTTTGTGCGGCTCGCAGCAGATACTCCTCCAGGGAGAGCACCGCCCCCTACCTGGCAGGTCCGGTCACGCAGCCTTTACTTAACGACGCCCAAGGCCCACACCTGGAACTTCAGGCTCCCCTGTCCCTGCCCGGACTCCACCGAGTCAACCCCCAGGCTTCACACACTCCCAGGCAAAAGTGACCGCAGGACATGGTGCCTCCGCCTATTGTTTCCGTCGTACCAGTCAACTGGCCGCGGCTTCCGAAGCGTTTGAGCTTCGTGTGTGTTTTCATGGCCGAGGGAGGGAAGTTCTAGACCCCTTGGAGGACGTGCGGCGATTCCTGTGCAATTGGAGAAGTTTGGAGGGAGGAGGTACCTGGCGCTTGTCCCTGACCTGTCGGGTCATAAGCAGGGATGGCGGAGGCTGCATGGCCGGCCCTGGACCGGCCGCGCCAACCTTTAAGAAGCGGCCCTGCCCCCTGCCCGCCCGGGCGCCCTCCCTGCGGCCACGGCAACGACCTGCACGTCTCTCACAGGTTTCACCGCCATGACTGAGAAGTTCAGCACAGCCATGTACATGGACCGCGGGGCCGAGCAGCTGGTGGAGATCCTCAACCACTACATCAGTGCCATGGTGGAGAGTGAGTGTCCCCGTGCCCGGGCTCAGACGCCGGCCCGGCCCATCTTCCCACGGGTGCTGGCGGTGACCCGACAGCGCGCCTTCGCTTAGCCCTCTTCACTTCCCCCCGGAAATGTGTGTGAGCCCAGCCTTCCGCAAAATACTGCAGTGCACGCCAAGGAATGTCACCTCACTAACGCAAAGTATTTGAGGGCAAGGCTGTGTTGCAGCCGCTAAAGGGTGAGCTGGAGGCTACTATAGAAACCGCTGAGGTGGTCACGCCTTTAGCTGTGTCCGATAACCCCAAGAGGCCGGCGTCGGGGTGACCCACAAGCAGTCACGAGGACAATGCTGTCCGAATAAGCGAGGGGTTTGTGGGTAGCTCATCGGAAATCTGTCTCCTAATGATGGATTCCGAGGCATGCGGAGCTAACTGGAAAATAGGGTCTCCTTTTCCACCCCTGCCCGCCGTCTTGCTAGCATTATTCGTATAAACTATTCCTGAAGAACAGGGGTTAACTCTCTCACGGTAAACTCTAAGCTCCCTAGTAAAATCTTCCTATCAGCCACCAGACGGAATGCAATGCTCTTGAAAAGCGGACACTGTACCTCATTCTTCTTCTATCCCACTCAGCACCAGGTTTATGAGGCAGCATAAATAAGAGAAAAAACATCCATTTATGTCAGAAACCCTAAATAAAGAGACGCGAGTCGTTGGCGAACAAAGCTGGACCCGCCCGTAGCTGCGGGGTCCCGGGTTCCCGGCTCTCGGCTCTCGGCTCTCAGGGACCCAGGCTCGCGTCCACTCCCTCCACGGCTCTCAAGCCCCGGTTCCTAATACTTATCCTGATCAGTGAAGAGCCTTCCAGCATCACAGGAGCAGAAAGGGTGTCCCCAGACCTCATCAGAAACCCCGCCTCCTCCTTTCCTGTTTTTTCTTCCCATTCACAGAAGCGGAGCCTGCCCCCCCACCCCCCGTCTGGGCCAATGCGCTCACGGAGGAAACCCCCAGACGGCTCTGAGTGGCTCGTCTGGGAGGACGGCTTTGGGATACGTCTCCCCTCAGAACTGCTGTCCTCTTGACCTAATTTCTATTCCGTGGAGGACGGACAAATTCTTTTTGTTAGCTTTAATTAATCAGAGTTTGATGTAACTTATTTTCTTTTGCCACTTCTTTTATTTTTCCTCAGAGGTGTTGATTTTTGGAGGAGACATCTTAAAATTTGCAGGTATGGGGGCTTCCTGAGCCGGGAGGGGTGGGAACGGGCGGCCGAGGGGCAGGCACCCTGACCTGGGGGGCATCTCAGAGGCAGCGGCGGCCGGGGCCGGGGCTCCGGCAGGCTCGTGTCCGGCCGCCGTGCTCAGCCGACGGCTCCCTGGGGCAGGCCATGAGCCTCCGGTGCATCTGTCTCTCCCAGGTGACGCGCTGCTGGCGCTGTGGAAGGTGGAGCGGAAGCAACTGAAAAACATCATCACGGTTGTGGTCAAATGCAGCCTGGAGATCCACGGGCTGTTTGGAACACAGGAGTCGGAGGGCCTGGACATCCGGGTCAAGATAGGTGAGCTCTGGAGAAAGAGGGGAGGCCGATGGGGCCATTGAAGGGGGCGGGTGTCCCCGAGAGAGGAGGACAAGCAGCTGGCACCGTGGCTTTGGGACAGGGAGAGACTGGGCAGGCCTGGGCCCCACAAAGGCTTCCTCTGGCTGCGACCTGAAATTGTAGAAGCTGGGCTTCGCTCTCAGGTGGCGCAGCCACACCAAGATTTGATGTCCCCGAGGACCCGTGCCGCCGGGGAGCCACCCAGCACCTTCGCCAACCCGTCGTCCGCTTTCCCGCCAGGACTGGCCGCCGGCCACATCACCATGCTGGTCTTCGGAGACGAGACGCGCAGCTTCTTCCTGGTGACCGGCCAGGCGGTGGATGACGTGCGCCTCGCGCAGAACATGGCACAAATGAACGACGTCATTCTGTCGCCGAACTGCTGGCAGCTCTGTGACCGGAACATGATTGAAATCGAGAGGATCCCGGATCAGAGAGCCGTTAAGGTGGGTGGGGTGCTGTCCCCTGCAGGAAGTTCTGCTCGCCCGGGCCAGGGGCCCTGCGCAGAGCAGCCCCCCGGGAGGCGGGTTCCGTGGAGGCCCGGGACTGCGGACTCGGGCGTCGGGGTGTCAGGCTGGGGTAGACTTCCAGGGCTTTGGTCCAAAGACACCTCCTCTGCGGGGGCCAAGGCTGCTACGTGCAAGGGGATGTGACCGGGCCTCTCGTGGTAACTAGGGACGTGGGGACGGGGAGCCTTCTGGGGAGGGGGGTCGGGCCCGGCTTCAGGAAGGGGAAGTGTCCCCTGGCCGGTCCCTAGGAGCAGAGGGTCCCCATTTTGAGGGCTGCCATTGGCCCTCACCTGCACCACTCGACCCTCTTGTCGGCAGCTCAGGGAGAGGGGTCACTGGCCAGTGGGGGAGGCGAGACTCTTCGGGGGGCCCTTCCTGGTGGGAGCCCCATGAGTTCCCTGGAAGACGGACTGGAAGCGCAGCTGGCCTGGGAAGCCGGGCTCGGCGAGCGCGCACAGGGGAGGGAGCGCGTGGAAAGACATGGGAGGGTGAGAGGCGCCCCGCTGTGCCCCAGCGGCAGCCGGGACAGCCACCCACCCTGCCACCCTCGCACCGGCCGTCCCCCCGGCCCCCCTCTGCAGCCACTCCTTGCCTGTCAGGGCGGCAGTAACGATTCATTCATTTTAGACTCGCAGGAAAAGTTCAGAAACAATAGAGCGTTTCCATATGTCCTTTGCCCAGCATCCCCAGCGGCCCCGTCCTTCCTGACCCGCGCGCGGGAGCCCGACCCAGAGCGTGAGCGCGGGTGCAAGGCTGCTCGCTAAGGGGAGCCTGGCGTGAGCTTCGCCGGCCTTCCCACGGCGCCCTCCGCGGAGCGTTCCGGGCTCTAGCCACGCGCTGGCGCTGCAGCTCACTGCCGTTCTCGCCTGGTCCCCGGCGGTCGGCAGCAGCAGCACCTCGGTGTCCCCGTGCCTTTGACGACCTGGACACCTCTGAGGCGAGCCCACCGGTGACTTTGTGGAAGGTCCCTCCATTCGATGTTGCCTGGCGTTTTCTCATCATTGGCCTAAGGCTGTCCATGTGGGGGCAGGAATACCGCATAAATGAGGTCACGCCGTTCTCTGTGTGTCCTGTCATGGGGTCCATGGTCTTGGCATGACTCTGATGACCAACGATGTTTCCAATACTTTTTTGGGCATCTGCCCCTTTGCCCCTTTACACTTACGAGACAGAAGTGGTGTACAGTTTAACCAGGTTTTATGTGAATTAAAATGTTACAAAAGGCAAAGAGAGAGAGAGAGAGAGAGAGAGAGAGGATGTTCCAAGAGTGGAAAGGCATGCAGGTTAACCCCATTAGCCCCTGGAACGGCCTTCTGTGTGTGCGCGTAGGATTGCAGTCTTAGAACGACTAACTGGGGAGGGGTTTACGTAATCACGTGCAAATGAAAGAGCTGCATTGTTGAAGTGCCTGTCTGTCCATCACGTCCTGGACGTTCGAAAGCATGCTCTCCGCCCTTCCTGCTGAGAAATGACCTTCAAAGGGCCCGACAACCCTCCGAGTAGCCAAAACCTTCCCTTTTCTTTACATTTAGGTTAATTTCCTAAAGCCACCCCCTACTTTTAACTTCGACGAATTTTTCATGAAGTGTATGACTTTCATGGACTATTATCCTTCTGGTGACCACAAAAGTGAGTACCCCCCACGGATGAGAGCCCCACCTCGCCCTGCTCTCCACCCCAGACCTCTCACGAGACGAACCCGGGGCCCAGGCCTCCTCTGCTCCCTGGCCTCTCCTGTCGGTCCTCACCCAGGGGATGCTGACGCACGTGACGCAGGTGCCGCAGGGCCGTGCGCTCGCCTGGTCTTCCGCCTCGGGGCCCTGGCACCTGGCTCACACTGCCCCTCCTGCCCCCCGCAGCCCCGCCATCGACTGAGACTGTTTATTATGCCAGAGCCACCAGTGACCGATCCGGGCGGCCTCTCCTCAGGCCTCGTCCTAGGCGGCTGGCCTTAGATTTCTGTCCCGAATTGTGGACTCACACAAAAACTGCCCATGGGCTGTCCGCACTGGGTGGCAAACAGGCATGCCGCCATTATTAACACGTTGTTTAAAAAAGATGGTGAAAGAAGACAATTTCGGTGACACAAACAAACTTTCTGTAAGAAAGCGGACAGCTTATTGAACGTAACGTGGACAGTTTCCTTTCCGAGACCTGCAATGGGGCAGAAGCCAAGAAGCATGAATAGGGTAGAGAATACAGAACAGGAAGTGACATACAGTACCCACCCAATTGGCTGGGACCACATATGAAACCTTGTTTGGGGCGAGAAGGCCCAGAGGGGTTTGGAATCGGGGGCTGGCTGCCTGGGTGGACGTGTGGGTCAAGCAGAGCCTCCCTGGGGACCGAGCGCCACCCAAGTCTCGCTTTGCCCCCCCGGCAGCCGGTGGGGGCGGCTTGTCTAGGCTCACGCAGGGGGTGCCGTCACACCCGGCATGAGAAGCCAGTCTCCCGAATTCTCCTCCTGCTGTTCTCTCAGCCCCGTGACCTCCTGCACTCTGTCACCATCGTCCATTCTCGTGATCCCCTCTTCTGTCCATTCCCATCGCGCGTGGCAACCGATCTAGGTCCAGCCTGGGGGTAAAAACCTCCCTGAGCTCCAGCGAGTGACGATGATTAGAACAAGGCTTAGAGCGGCACGCAGTTGAGTCCTGGGAAACCCTCAACTCTAAGAACTTTTCACTGGATTTCCCTTGGCCCTAGTTAGCCACTAGGTGTCCCCGAGTCCCCTGGCCGACCGGCGATGACACTGCCCAAGGGAGTGGGGGCTGGGAGCCCCTCTCCGCACTGGGAGCCCCGCCTGAGCCTGCCCCCCCCCCCCCCCGCGCCTTTCAGACCTCCTGCGGCTCGCGTGCATGCTCCAGGCTGACCCTGTGCTGGAGGCGTCTCTGCAGAAGTATTTGATGGAAAGCATATTGAAGCAGGTATTTTCTTCACTCAACGTCCTGGCTTTTGGGGTATTGGGGACCTCGGACAGCTGGAAAGGTCAAGAAAACCTGTAGCTAGTAATCTGTTACACTGAAATAAGAGGTGGGCTGACGTTCTCCGCCTGTAGGGGGCTGTGAAATTCATTGTTCACACCAGGGTACTTTTCAGAGTTAGCGGGGCATCAGCCCTAATTACACTGTGACAACAGACGTCAAGTAGCGCTGGGCTGCCTTCGGCGACTGGGCAAAGGCGAGCCGTCCCCCGTGTGGATGAACCTGTGGCCACTCGGTCTCCGTGTCACCGAGCAGGGAGAGATCCAGTGGGCAGACGGCGGCACACCATTCCTCCAAGTCACTTGCATTAGATCAGCTTTGAAAGTGAACGGTACCGATCATTAAAACTCCCAGAACGACCTCCAGCCCCCACAGGGTCCCCGTTTATTCGCTTGGATCGAGGCTCTCTCAGTAGTAGGAATCCACGGGAATTCTAACCCTTCTGCTCAGCTCTCACCCAGCGCCACGCCCCCTGCTGCTTCTTGAATCTCTCCTCTCGATCCTGGGTGGACTCGGTGGACGTCCGTTGCTTTGTTTTACGTAGGAGGAAATGCAGACCCAGGAGGATTCCAGGGGCTTGCCTGAGGCTGCGATGCAAGAGCTATAGCTTGGATTCGAACCCTGTTCTAGCTGAACAATGCACACACACACACACACACACACACATATTTTTTTTTGCACGGCCTACACAGCCTCCTAACACGAGCCTGTTTAAACCCTCGACCCCGTCAAAGTGCAGCCGTGTGAGGGGAGGTCCCTGTGGGACAAGCATGGCCAGTGCGCGGCTGTCCTCCCAGCGAGGGTGGAAGAGGTGGCAGAGCGCACCTCTGCCTTCCGCTCAGTGTAAAAACACTACCCCTAGGGCCTGCAATTGTTCAGCTCTTCAACATTTTTGAAGCTCAAGAAAGCTGCCCCTCCCTCACCTCCCGCCCCCAAGACTGCTGACCCCTGACACTTCTGCAGCGGCTGCTGCACTCAGATGATGAAGCTGTAGTGGAGGGTCTTAAGGCGAGGGGACTCTGCCGGGTAACACCCGGAGCATTGGGAAGGGAGGGCCCCGTCGGGAGTTCTCCGAGTGAAAGGCGAGCGCGCCCCGGCGGGAGTGTCTTGCGTTCTTGGCCTCCGCTCTGGCCCGAGACCAAGCTCTCCCAGGGCCAGGGTCCGGGCCGTGCACGCCCCTCCCAAGGCCTCCAGAGGGCCCTCTGGGGGGTTTGTGTACGTCACCGGGCACTGGGGTGCACCTGTCAAGTTCAAACCCTCCGGCTAATAAGGTGAAATAGAGCCTATTCCTCAGGTTGCCTCCGTCCCGGTTCCGGAATCTGGCTAGCGTGGCGGTGGTGGCTCCCTTTCCTCTCTTCACCCTCTCCCCAGGGGGCTGAGAGGACGCAAAGGCCGCCCTCCCCCCACGGCACAGGGAGCCTTAGAGAAAGAACGTGGTTGCGTTTTCCAAACCATAGCCCAGGACACCGGGTCCGACAGAATAACCTCTCACTGCTTAAGTATTTTGTTTGATAGATTAAAAATACTTGACAGTTAATATTATTCACGTGTTCAATATGAATTATGTAATAAATTTGTTTGAAAACCCACCGTGTTGGTTAGTGAGAAATAATTACGTGGGTTTTTAGGAAAACGGTGAGATCGGACGGGAGCAGAGCCGCCCCAGCTGGGCAGGGGGCCGGGCTGCACGGTGCCCACATTGTCCCCTCTTCAGCGGGATGGTGTGCTCCCATCGTCTGGGGACAACCCGAGAACTTTGTGCCACTTGGGGAAGGGAAAAATGCGGTGGTTTTCCTCCGGTGATGGGCCAGGCACGGAATTTAACACGATTCGGGAAGGAAGGCAGGCGGGCTGCCTCGGGCGCGCCGTCCTCGGAGGGCGTGCGGGGCGGCTGAACAAGGGCGGCCACTGCGGCAGGTGGAGCGCGGGGCTCGGAGCCGGCAGGTCGGGGTTCTGGTCGGCCCGTCTGCCCGGGGGACCCCGGGGAGCCCGGGGTATTTGCCCGAGCTACCTAATCAGGAAACAAAGCGCTGATTTTAGTTCACTGGAGGGTACAGCAGGGCAGAATAGGAAAACATTCCCGAAGGCACCAGGCTGTGCAAATACATAAGGCTGAGTTACAGAGTTAGTCTTATCCCTACGCTGCAGAACAGCCTGAAGGCATGGTGGTTCTCTCTCTTCTGGGAGGGCTCCCAGGGGCACGAAGGGGCTGCGGCGCGGAGGGGAGGGCGGCTGCTTCCCCAAAATGAGCAAGCGTGTGCGTTCCCCCGGCAAGAGGCTTTGCCAGTGAGTGCATTTCCACCTGCGGGACTGTGGCCTGGCTCTGTCCTGCTGGGCCTCACACGCGCGGCCTGGTGGCTTCCACCTCCTCGGAAAATCTCAGCGGGCCACTCCCCGCCCAGAGATCCTTTCTCGCGTGGGGGCGGGGTGACGGTGCGAGGAAGGGTCCGCCCCGAGATCAGGTGCTGAGGAAGGCCCCTCTCTCCTGGGCAGATTGACGACAAACAGCTGCAGGGTTACTTGTCTGAGCTCCGCCCAGTGACCATTGTGTTTGTGAACCTGATATTTAAAGACCAAAACAAAGTCGAGGTCCTCAGCCAGGCCATCCAGGAGGCCTCCGTGCACATCAATTCTGTCGTGAGGGTCTTCCGAGGCCAAATCAATAAGGTGTTCATGTTTGACAAGGTAAGGGGGAGCCAAGGTCGGGGGGACGTGTCGATAGTTTCGGGTTTGCGTTCGCGCTCAGGGACACTGGCGGCAGGCAGGGAGCACACACCTTCAACCTCCGGACGCCAGTCCTCGAGGCCCGATGAGAGCCGCGCCGGCGGTGGGTGAGGCCCTGTGGTCCAGGCGTTGCTCGCAGCTCCTTGCGCCCTCGGGCCCACTCTGAGAGGCAGGCGCTCTCATTTTTATCCCCACTGTAGCGATGAGGACGTGGACGCAGAGAGGAGGAAACGGGGGCAGGACGAGATTGGGTTTTGCGCACGGCCCTCAGCTGTAAATGGCGGGTGGCGGTTCCCACCCTGGGCAGTGCCTGCCCAGGCGGGGCGTGCCCAGCTCTCCCGCAGCGCCGCCCCCAAGCCTGGCGGCACACGCTGCGTCTCCCGGAGGCTCCGGGCGGGTGCTCTGTCACAATCCCACCTGGGCGCACACTCCCAGGCCCCTGGCAGTCCTGGCCGGGCTGCGCGGACCTGCGCAAGGGTGGGGGTGGCGGGGGGGAGGCGCACTTCTCATCAGCTCCGAGAAAACAAGCAGCAATAATCAAATTATCACAGAATTGGTGGTGACTGGGTGCTCCATCCCAGGTCCTCTTTGTATCTTGGGACCAGAGCGTTTAGCGAGGGCGCCACGTGAATTCACGAATTTGATAGGCACTTACCGAGCCTTTGCGGGAGGCCAAAAGCTAGGACTGGGCAGCTGGGGGGCAGGGGGTGCACTGGCGCCTGGCACACAGAGCCACACAGCCGGGCAGAAGGAGCCAGTCCATGCGAGGAAGGGGAGCGTGGCTTCAGGGGTGGCGGTGGCTCCAGCCTGCTGGGGTCAAGCACTTTCTCCCGGGCTCACCCACTGGTCTCGCAAGACAGGAGGAGCATAAGGCTCTGAGAGAAGAGCCTGTCGTGTCCGGCACACGTGGCTCCAACTACTGCTGGCCACGTGACCCTCGTAAGGCACTGAGCGTCTCCGGGCCTCCGTTGGTTGGTGAACAGTCACAGGGGTGTTGTTGGAACGGGGTAGTGCTTGCTCAGGTGACTGCTGCAAGCTGAGGAAAGCGTGGGCAAACCCTTGCGGCGACGCCCGCCCGCCCGCCGGCACCGCTGGGTCGGGGAGCTGCCGGTGTCGCGGCCAGTGGGGGCCGGTGCTCACCTCATGCAGCCACGAGGCGAAATTTCCAGGCAAGGCGGACCCACCGGTGCCCCCAGATGGTCCCCTCTGGTCCCTACACAGACCTGGAATCAGGACCTGGCCTGCTCACATCTGTAACATTGTTTCTACTTTCTATACACACTGTAAAGTATATATGCCATATAAAAATATATCACATACAGTCTACACTATGTACTATAGTAAGTGTATGTGTGCCATAAAGTGGTTCACGAAGTGTGTGTTAATTATAGGCATGAATTGCATAGAACATTATAATGGCTGTTTTAAACATAGAACATTCATCGTCTTAGTAGTCAGAGCGGCCTCCCCAGGTCTGTGTTCCAATTTTCAGGCCGATAAACTGACTTGCGCCCGTTGCCGCCCTTGGGCAGTGGCCTGGGAGCACAGGGTTTCTGGCCGGAGCCCGTGCCCTTCCCGCTGCCCTGGGCTGTTTCTTAGGCTTACGCTCAGCTCGCGACCTCTGCACCGGGGCCCAAGCAGGAGAGTCTGCGCAAACAGCGCCGCGCAGCCCACTCTCCCTGGGGCAAACGCAGCCCTCCTCGGGCTCGCGCCTTACCGTAGACGCCACACTAGGAGTTACGAAGTTTGCCAAAAAGGAACCCGGGCTGAGAGAAAGCCAGACGAAGCCTGAGCCAGAGGGGGGCCGCGTCCGCCCACCGTGTGCTGCCTCTGTCCCCTCGCAGGGCTGCTCCTTCCTCTGTGTGTTCGGGTTCCCCGGGGAAAAGGCGCCCGACGAGATCACTCACGCCCTGGAAAGTGCTGTGGACATATTTGATTTCTGCTCTCAGGTCCACAAAGTCTAGTGAGTGCTGACCCTCTCCCATTGGCCGGTCCCGGACCCCACTGTGGGACGCGGGGGGACAGGGCGAGGGCCAGGAGAGCAGGAGGGGGCTGCTCCGGACCGGACGCCCTTCCGCCTACACCCCTCCTTCACCTAAGGGAGCAGCAGAGCAGGCGCGCCCAGCCCTGCCACAGCGGGACGGCGGGAGGGGGCGGGGGCGGGGTAAAGGTGAGGAGGAGAAAGGACACGCCTTGAAAGCCGACATGTCCCGGGTTTGCAGAGAAGCTGACCGGGCGTCTCTGTACTTCAGGCCCTGCGTCTTGGTAGAGGTCAAGCTCCCACCCGATGCTGGAGACCTGAGTTGATTTCTAATAACGGGGAGGTGAAACAAGTCCTTGGGTTGGAAATTTATAGGCTGGCCCGGCCTCCGGGTGGTGCAGAGTGGAGCCGGTGCGGCGACGCTCGCCACTCCTGCCCTGGCTGCCCAGGGCGCGGTGTCCTCGGGCTGCCTCGGCCTCGGCGTCCCGGTGACCCCGACTCACAGCCCCGCTCTGGCCAACCTCACGGGTCACCGGCCCTAAGTATCTCCACCCCTCACCCCTAGTCATCTCTCCACGCAGGCGGATGTATTTGCAAGGTCGGATCTTGATGCCACCCACCTTGCCTGAATTACAGTGGCTCCTTCTTCCCAACAACAGCAGAGTTACACTGTTTCCAACTAGGTCATTGGGGTGGCGAGAAGTTACTTCCCAGAAGAGTTGCTCGGTGAATACTTAAAATTAGCAGGAAAGCGAACTGAGTTACCATTTCTGAGAACCTAGGTCCACGTCTTAAGCTCTTCATCCGTCCAGGCCCCAGGCCCCGTGCAATTGCCCGGAACCGAGTCCAAAGGGAAGAGCGCAACTGATTGAACGTCCTTTCCTACCCGCCTCCACCCCATCCGCCACCATGCCGTCCCTTCCTCCCTGCTCACGGTCTCTCTCTCTTTCCCCACAACCCCCTTCTTGCCCCGCGCCAGCACCGTTTCCGTGGGCGTGGCCAGCGGGACTGTCTTCTGCGGGATCATCGGACACAACGTGAGGCACGAGTACACAGGTGAGCTGAGCTGGCTCGGCTCCGCTCTTCTTTGAGCAATCGCGGGGCCTTGCCCCCGGGCTGCGGGGAAGGACAGGCAGAAGGGAGACGTGGGTCCTGCGCCCCGCACCCTGCGCCCAGCGGGTTTACTGTCTTCCCGGTGGAGCCAGGCCGCAGGGCTCTGCCCACAGACACAATGGCTGCATGGCGTGCATTCTGGGGCCCTGCGTGGGACAGAGGGAGGCGCGAGAGAGAGCGGGAGAGCTGCTGGCTCGGGGAGTGAAGGGCCTCTTATAAATCATTTCCCGTTAACACCAGTCGGTGAGTCTTAGTGCCTGGAATAGGCAAGGACTGCTGCTTGTGAATTGGGACTATCGGCAGGACGGGTAAACAGTGTTAATCTCAAAAGGGAACGGTGAGTGGGTGCTACCGCAGGAAGCTGCTGCTCTTGCTGCTGTTTCGCTCTTCACTCCTACGAGGGTTTCAGATGTTCAGAAATAGTACTTCTAAAACGCTGAAACATTTATGTCTGAAATGATGCAATTTCTGAGACTTTCTTCAAACTACCACAGGGTGGAGAGGGGGCAGGAGAGGGGCCGGGGCAGGCCGGCTGTGGGCTGATGGCTTTGGGGCTGGGCAGTGGGCACAGGCGGGGTCACGGGGCCGCGTGGCCGTGCCCGGTCAGACTTCTCCGCGACAAACAGGAGTAAGGAATGTCCTGGCCGGAAGCAGCTGAGTTTGTGTTGTAGCGGGACATGGAATAGAGCAGCGCTGTCCGCGGAGGGCTCAGAGCGGCCGGCGCTGTTCAGCCCGCTAACTGGGGGATGGATCTTCATCAGCTACCGCCTGCGATCGCTGCTCTTGTCCCCACCTCGCAGAGCAGGAAACCAAGGCCTGGGAGAGTTCAAGTAACTTAGTAACGTTCTAGGTAGAGGTGGCGCTGGGGCCAGACCCGCGTGGCGCGGCGTCTTCGCGCCACAGTGCCCGTCGCCTTGAAATAGCCCCTAAATCAATCTCGCACGCACGCCCCTCCCAGCCCCTCGCTCACTCTGCAGGAATCACCCACGGAAGGCGGTTCGTTTCGAAAGTGAAGTGAAATGAAGGCGTTCATGCCCAGACACATTCGGATGCAAACGGGTGCCACACTCGGAGGCCAGTGTCCGGGCCTGAGCTTGTGCTTGTCACTGAAGACCGAGGACACCTCACCAGAGGGCCCTCGGGCCTGTGTGACCCCGGTGGGGAGCAGCCACCCTGACGGGGGCCCCCAACTCCCAGCAGGTCGTTCCCAGGGCCACCTTGTCTACTTAGCTGCCTGCACATTTTTAAGAGCCATTAGCTGAATACAGGTAGCCGAAGGCGAGGCCTACGTTGCTCCTGAGAGGCAAGGGAGCAGAGGGTTAAAGTGGCCCTTGGGGACAGCATGTCTCAGACTGTTTCTCCCTGCTCTTTGCTTTCCTCCTCCCTGCGCAGTCATTGGTCAGAAAGTCAACATCGCGGCCAGAATGATGATGTACTACCCGGGAATCGTGACCTGCGACTCTGTCACCTACAACTGCAGCAACCTGCCGGCCTACTTTTTCAAAGAGCTCCCAAAGAAGGTCATGAAAGGCGTTGCGGATTCCGGGCCGGTCTACCAGTGCTTGGGCCTGAACGAGAAAGTGTGAGCTTGGGGCGCCGCGCGCAGGGCGCCTCAGGAGAGAAGGCGTGGGGAGGCCACGGGGGCGGCGCGGTCACCCAGGGCCGGTTCCAGCCCCACCTGTGACCCCGCAGCCCCTTCCTCCCGGGCCCTTCCCCTTCCCGCATCCCGCCGACACTTAGCACACGGGGGGCCCATTCCGCACTGGCCCTGAGACCCTCTGGGGGGCCCTTCCGAGGCTGTGCCCACGGAACAGGGAACCCCCTAACGCCCCAGGAGTGCCTCTGTGGGCCGTGGCAGACCAGCCGGGAAGTGCTTATTTGTCGCACCCGCCTGGTGCTGGCACTGATGAGACTAACAGGGTATAAGACACTATTGGGTTCGGCGAAGTGCTCTCCCCCAAAGCCCAGCTTAGACGCAAGGGTGTCAGGCTGGGGCTTAACATCTTTCGAGGGCTTCCTATTGTTTCCAGGATGCTGTTTCCGTCCCTGGCGATGACGCGCCCGGCAACCACCCGCCTTTCCCACCCCACCCCCGCTGCGCCCCGCCCCGGCTGTCTGAGCGGGTTGTCCTCCCCGCTGCCCCCTCCTCGGGGAACCACCCCCGGCGCTGCCTCCCTCTCAGCCTTCGTGCTCTCCCCAGCCCCCGCGCAGCCCGCCCAGCTCTTTGCTCCCGTCGCAGCCGCTCCCTCCCTGCGCGGGGAGCTCTCGGAGGGTTGCGATGATTTCATTTCTTGCTCCTTCTTACATCCCGGGGCATGGCGCGCAGCAGGCGCTCCATGCCGATGGGTGAATGAATGACCGGCGGGGAGCGTGCAAAGCTGTTATCCCTTCTATCGGCGAGCTAGGCCCCAGGTCTTAAAGGGCCAGGTAATGGAGCCAGGGCTGCAGCTGGTCAAGGAGGCTTCATCGTTCACCTGCGTGTTCCCAGGGCTCCGCACGGCACCTGGCCGGCATGCAGCCCCCGTGAAATGCTGTGCGAATAAGTGAATGAGTAGTGACAACTTTCGTGAGCCCTTATTAGACATTAGGTATTTTATCTCAAGATACACAATGTATTCCTAACATCAACCATATCAGGCGGGAGCTATCATTATCTTCATTTTATAAATTGAACAACTGAGGCTCCAAGATGTTCAATGACTTGTCTGTGGTCACGAATCTAGCAAGCAAGCAACAGAGACACGGCTCAGAACGCCACAATATCGTTGCCTTTTTACAACCATGAGACCTCAGAACAGGGGTACAGGGCAGACCTTTAATTTTCTCGCAGGTACTGGGGGTTCAACGGGCCTGGGCTGGACTCAGCTGCTCCTGCCTCGGCTCTTTCACGCGCCTGGGGTTCAGCAGGTTGTTGGCTGACCCAGGGCGACCCCCGGCGGGATAACCGGGCGGCTTGGTTGGCGTGAGTGGGGGACAGCTCGGCTCTGGGCGTTGTGTCCTCCCTCAGGCACGCTGTCCCGGCCACGTCAGAGGAGCAAGAGAGAGTGACCCCACGCACAAGCCTTGTTGTCCTGTCTGCTGGCACCTCGTTGGCTGAGACGTTCACACAGCCACACCCAGGGAGGGAGGGCACTGCCAGTTACTAGCAAAGGGCACAGACCCTAGTGGAGGCGAACCTGCTGTGGAAGCCCAGGAAGCCCGATCCCAAAGCCGGGCCCCCGTCATGGTTCCTATGCCACCTGCGCCAAAGAGGGAGCCGAAGTGCACATACGAACGTGAGCAGGGCCTGGTTCCTGCCCTGGGAGCTCGCAGCCTAACGGGGAAGACCAACATGCACAGAGGCAGCAGTATATCACATGGGAGGCTGTGCCATGCACCTTAAGAGGCGTAACAAGGTCGTACGATAGCACAGACACGGGAAGGGGCCACTTGACCCAAAAGGCTCCTTCAAGAGAGTTGACGCAGCGGGCCAAGTACGTGTATGTCCATATCCACCCTGGCCGGCTCTCCCCTAGCCACGGGGCCTCAAGCTAGATAACCTCTGTACCTCCGTTTTCTCCTTTGTGCAATGGACACCGTGATAGTACCTTCTCAATGAGGTTTTGCCAGGAGTTAAGGAAATGATACAAAGCCCTCGAAGCCGTGCCAGGCACAGGGCGTGTGCTCAGCAAAGCTGACCTGGGACGGTCTGCGCCCTTGGCGGACGCCTCCCGGGATGCGAGACGATACACTGTGTGCAAGTCGATGGGGTCCCATAGCGGGTGTCTGGTTTCCCCGGAAAAGGGTGGGTTCCACCAGTGCAAGCTCAGCAAGCATTTCATGAGCACCGTAGGGGCGCTGAGGAGGTGGCTGCGCGTAAGCCGCTTGGGCTCCGCTACCAGGCAGGCACGCCTCCTCCCCCGGCCTGGCCTCCGCAGCCCTTGGGTCGGGGCAGACTCATGTGGAGACCGGACAGGAGGCGGTCCATCCCGGGGCCCGAGAACCAGCCCCCGGCTGTGAGCATGGCCTGGCTTTGACTCCAGCGTCTCTTCTCTCCTTCCCTTCAGCATGTTCGGCATGGCGTACCTCATCTGCAACAGAAATGAATGCTACCCTCTGCTGGGTAGGTACGGGCCTTGATTTTTAAACTCCTCTCTTTAACTATAACAAAACGCAGCAGACCTTCAGATTTTAAGCTGGGCATCCTGTGGCATCATTTAAACGCGCACAAAATAATAGTGATGAGGCTGCAACGCCAGCTGACTTTTTTTCCCCTCTTTGCCTTTTCTAAGTTTTCCGTTTTTTCTACAGCAAGTGTATGTTAAATTTATAATCATAAAAAAACTATGACTTATTTCTGCTAAAAATTTAGGTTGTTCTTATACTGGAGTACCTCTACATGGTTTTTTAAAGTAAATTGAATTTTCTTATCACTGATCATGTTTCTAGTAGCCCCAAGGTAAGTATAATTTCTCGTTTAAAGTGAGTAAGCCTCCTTTGCAGAATTAGAAATGAAATAATTGGAAATGACATATCCTACCTGTAATTATTCAATATAGGAGCCCTAACTATAATAATAAATGTATTTCCTAACATAATAATCAATAGATGACTTCTAGTATGTTATGGAAAAAAAGAAAAAAGAAAAAAGGAAAGAAAAAACAAGAATTAGAGTCAGCCCTGGTTTAATTCCCGGTTATGTAGTTCAGGCAAAACCCAGCTTTCAGCACAAAAATTAAATAGATATTCCAATGCACATTAGAAGAGTACTTTCCTTCACAGTATGTGGGAATCACATAAAACGGGGGGGGGGGGGGCGGAACCGCACATCGTTAACTGAGAAGCTCTAGAAAAAATTTCCGGCCATTTTAAAGTGGACAGGACCTCACGGGAGTCCCCGAACGACGCCATGGGAGGGAATTCTGAGGGCCGTATCAGGCGCGGTATCGCTGTGCTGTTTTACATCTCTAGACTATTCTGCGTTGACTGAGTTTGCTCCCTTTACAAATATAAACACGGCAGGCCGTGACAAGGAGATTAAGTACTTCCGGACCACCATGAAGGAATTTCTGACGTCCAACTGCAGCCAAGTCCTCATGTACGAAGGCCTGTCGGGGCACGGGAAGAGCCAGATACTCATGGGACTCGAGTACCTGTCCCAAGGCGAGAACCACAGGTGAGTGTCCCACGACGGCCATTTCTTTCCTGTCCGCCCAGGGGGTCCTGATGACCTTCAAAGCTTCCCCTGCTTCAGTGCTCGGCTCCTTTATGGCACGGGCCTTATGTAAACTCCACACAATCTCTCCGTCATGGGGAACCCCGCCCCCTCAGTTGTCCTAAATGAACAAATAATGATGAACAGAACGACCTGCCCAGGAAAGAGGAGCGGGGCTGGCCCCCGAGAGCCTGCCTTCGTGCCAGGCGGGGCTTGGCTGTCAATATTGCAAAGCTTCCTAAGAAGCCCCAGCGTGCAGGCAGGTTGAGAACAGCTGGCAAAGAGGTGGACACCACGTGCCCACAGCACATGCGTCCCCAGGGCCCTCTTTGGGACACCCCGTCCAGCACCCTCCTGTGCTGGGCCGCCTGGTGTTGAGGAACAGCGACCGGGACCGAGAGGGTGGCGGTGCCGGCTCACGCGCTTCTGCCGCCTGACCTGAAGGCTTGGCAGGGAACGCCTTCTAGCCTTATGCTATCTTTAGCTGTATCGCTACTCTTTTTCAATCGCAGGCCTGGGAGAGGCCAGTTTTAAAATGCCTTTAGCGTTATAAAGGAGGTAATTCGTAACAACCAGAAGCCACTCAGCCGTCCCTGAGTCCCATCACTTAGGTCGTAACTCCTGTGTCCCGGGCCCTGTTCCGCGCTGCGGTCCTTTGCTGGCGCTGCTCTAACTGGGGGGCTTCGTCACCGGGGGTGCGTTGGAAGTCTGAGGGCAGGGCGTCGCCGGGGGCGGGGGCGGCTCCTTCCGACAGCCGCGAGGGGCAGCCCGTCCCTTGCCTTCCCCCTGGCCGCTGGGGCCGTGCAGGCCACGCGGGGCGCTCCCCGGCTTGCCGAAGCCTCCCCCAGTCTCTGCCTTTCCATCACAGAATGTCCTCCCTGGGGGTTGTCCCAACTGCCCCCTGACAAAGACACAGTCATACTGATTCGGGTCCCGCCCTGCTCCTCACCTTCACTTCACTGCATCTACACTGACCCTGCTCCCCAACAAGGCCACTCTGCGGTCCCGGGGTCGAGGCTCCAACACGCAGATTTGGGGGCGGGGATATTCCGACGAAGAATATCTGAATCCTGCCCTGAAGCTGCTCTCGCAGGAGAGAGGATAGTACAAGTGGAAGGTGGCGAGGACAGTGACAGAGGCATGCGCAGAGTAGGGTGGCAGCCGATAGGCAGGATGTGTGACCCGACCTTGGGGCATCAGGAAAGGTCGCGGGAGGCTGCCCCTGAACTGAGATGGACAGATGAACAGGCAATGAATGGGGGAGGCACTGAGAGACGGACGTGGTAGCGCCACAGGCTGGGGACGCGGCTGAAGCAGACGCCTGGAGACAGCCCCCAGCGCTGGGTATGCTGGTCGCTGCGGGTGCAGGGCCGGCTGCTGGGAGGGAGTGGCCAGAAACGGCCTCCCGAGCCTTGGAAAGTCTTGTAGGTCACAGAGAGGAGTCCAGGCTGACGCATTGAGGGAAGGGGAGCCACTGAAGAATCGTAACCGGAGGGAAGATTTGCATCCCTCTCGATACATTGGCCCTGTGAAGCCAACGCATTGGGGTCAGGACGCTGGGCGGGGCAGAGGCCTGCTGTTCAGTAGCAGAGTGGGGAGCAGAGGGGCCGCACCAAGGCGGAGGCGGCGGGGCCGGGGAGGAAGCGACAGCTGGGCGAACCGCGGGGCTTCGGGCCGCGGGCCTTCGGGCCGCGGGGCGGCGAGGCCGCGCGTCTGCGGCAGGAGTGAAGGAGGGCTTCCGGGTCGCCTGGGGAGTTTCCGTCAGAACAGCTGAACATGGGTCAGAGCTTCCCTTCGACCTCTGTTATTTTAAAAATATATATATATTTAAGAATTCTCTTCTGATTCTTTTCTTTGTCCCCTCCCGATTCTTCACTTTCTTGCGCACAGGACTATTGCTATTGCCTTGACTAAGGTCAGCTTCCATCAAAATTTTTATACCATCCAGATACTCATGGCCAACGTCTTAGGCCTGGACACCTGTAAGCATTACAAAGAACGACAGGCCAACCTTCAGAATAAAGTCAAGACCCTGCTGGATGAAAAGTTCCACTGCATTTTTAATGACATTTTCCACGTCCAGGTATCCGCCTAGTGTTAGACTTTGGCAAGAAACAGCGCTGGGGCGAGCGGCGCTGCTCCCTGGGGCTTGCGCCTTGGCACCTCTTCGGCCTTCACAGCCCTTTTCTTTCCTCGCCGGGAGAATCTGTGTGGCGAGCAAATGGCCCCCGTTCTTCCATGAATGAGCACCTTGTTCCTGTGACATATTGAAGGTGTTGAGAAACAGCATGTTCAAGAAAATCCCAGTGCTGGCTCCTGGCTCCTCTCCCCTCACCTTCCCTCCAAGCTGCACGGTGCTCGCTCGCCCGGACCACGGAGTCCCTCCGCTCCCGGGTGACGGCCAGGCTGTGCCCTGCTCCTCCCGTTCCTATCTGATGCAGGGACACCCGGTGTGTGAGCTGGGAAGGGCTTCCCGGGTCACCTGAGCCACGAGGGGTTTAGGCCCCGCGCCATCCAGTGATGTGCCCCAAGTCACACGGCTAGTGTCCCCTGGCTGTGTCCCCACACTTGATACCCTCCTTGTCCTTCCCACAGTTCCCCATTTCACGAGAGGTTTCCAAGATTAGCGCCTTGAAAAAGCAAAAGCAGCTGGAGGCTTTGTTTATGAAGATCTTGGAGAAAGTAAGAACGCCTGCGGGTCGAGCGCTGGGGGGAGGAGCCCTCCCAGAGCCGGGCGGCCCCGGGGTCCGGCTCCGCTGGCAACGGCTGCGAAGTGTTCCATTCTCCTCCCCATCCTTCCGAGCCTCGCGCGCAGGGCCTGTTCAGAGTGCAGCCAACTTTGGGTGGGGGACCCCGTGGCGCTGTCCCGGGAGTGGGGCCCCTCCTCCGAACCACCGTCCTCGCTTCTCACCCATGTGAGGCGCTGCATGTCCGAGGGGCTACGCATGCGGGCTCCCTAGTCCGGCCGCCCAGCTGGGACCCTCAGGCCTGCTCCATGCCATCCGGGGACCCTGAGCGAGCGACTTAGCGCGTTTGCGCTTTCGTTTTATCGTCCATACAATGGGGAAACGACAGTGCCTTGCTCACAGGGCGGCAAGGCTTAAAGGCGACACTCAGCCGACGTTCCCTCTCTCTGCACAGTGACAGTCGCCAGACCGGCACTGTCGTCCCCACCCTCAGAGCAGCACCAGGACCGCGTGTCCAAGGGCTGCACATTCCGCGGGTGCGTAGCAACTCCCACGCGCTTCCACGTCTGACAGTGCGTTTGTGTTTTTTCCTTCTCTGAGGCCCTTTCTTCCTCGTTCTGATCCTCGACTCGGTTCATGGCGAATCCCCTCACGCACCATCTGCGGTCCTCTTGGCTCCCTTCCTCAGCGGTTGCCCTGTCTCCACGCCTCCTCTGTCCCTCCCTTGGGCAGTCCCTGGGGTCACCCCCACTCCGCTCCCCGCTTTCGCACAGGCTCCGTGTCCTTAAGGACCGCCGCCACGGCCTCCCAGCCAATCCCTGGGCCTCGCGCCTCCTCACCCACTCCATCCTCCGTGTGACTGCCGGAGAGGACACAGGCCACCAAACTCAGCTTCCTACTGTCCAAGCAATTCCCCTTGTCGAAGAGAGAAAAGTCACAGATTTTTTTTTTTTTTTTTTGGTCCTGGAGAAATGCTACTCGCCCTCTGATGTCACCTCTTTGGTGGGAGCTCCCCAAATCCCTGGGCATGACGAACCCCTCCCCCCACCTGCCTCCGTAGCCCTCGGGGCACATTTCTGACTGCACTTGTGAGCTTCAAAGGGCAGGGAGTGTTTTGCCCGTTTCTGCGTCACCGCAGACCCGCGCTGTGCCTGGCACGTGGTAAACGACCGCTGGCATTTAATGAATGTGGCGCTGCATCGGGTTCACACCAGGTCGTCCCCCTTCTCCGTCCGGGCGCATAAGCAAGGCAGCGTGCGTGGTTCCAGAGTGCCCAGCGCTGGGCCCCGCGCATCACCGGCGTCCGGGAAGCCGCTCAGAGGACACGGATCCACGAGTCCTGCGCCGGACGCTGCAGGCGGGCTCGGGCTGGGCTTAGGAATCCGTTCAGCTCTTTGCTTTTGTCTGAAAGCTTCTCGTCTGGTTCTAATACACCACTGAGTTTGGAAACCCTGACCGAAGCTGTGCCTTAACCACGGGCTCTGACAACAGTCTTTGTGTGACATTACTCTCTGTGTGTGACCTTGGCTAGTTACTTCACCTGTTTGTGCCTCAATTTCCTCAGTAAAAGAGAAAATTTTCCCACTGGTACCACCGCCCCTGAGAGTTACGAGGATTAAACGAGCTCCGTTGTGTACAGAGCGTCACACAGAGCTGGGAGCCGTGTGAGCGCAGCGCACCTGTCGGCTTTCGCTCACGTGACAGCGCCCGCTTCACTCTCCTCGTTTTAAATGCAGAGACTGGAGCCAGTGGCGGACTGTGGAACTCACACGTTTTTCTGTTGCTGTTTTTCCTACTTCACTGTCCTTGGCTCACAAATGTCACTGACCGTGCCCTAATGACAGTGTTCTTGGCGTCGGGGAAGAGCTGGCTTTCTGGTAACACAGCGGGGCTGTCAGAGTAAACTTAACTAGCCCATGTGACAGGGCAGGCCGTGATACTTTGTAACGATGGCCTCAGGAGAGCTGACGTTTTCAAGTAGCCTTTTCTGCTGCTCTTTATAAAAACAGGGAGGGGAAGAACAGGTAACCCGACCTCTCCTCCCAGGGACCCGAGGGAGGCGGGCGCAGCCTGGAGCAGCGGCAGCGGGGCGGGTCCGTCCGGCTTGTGCCTCGCACGCGCCTCGCACGCCCAGTGCGGCCCGGCTGGGCGGGGGCAGACTCCAAGGTGTAAGGACGCTGTGCCCCAGCACCTGACGCCCACAGAGGCCCTGCCAACGCTTAAGGAGTGAATAAGTAGTTTGGACCCAGCAGGGACAGGCAGTCTACCCAAGAAAAGGGACTGTTTTAAGTGTAGCAGATGCCAGAGGTACAGCGAGCACGGCACCCAGTACCCGCGGGCGGCGCGGAGGACTGGGTCCGCCTCCCTGAGCCCCGTGTCCCCAGAGCCAGCCCAGCGCTGCCCTGTCCCTCTGTGCTGGATAAGCCCTGGGTGACTAAACAGTAAGTAGCTCTCCCCAGGAGGCCTTCCTTTGCCAATAGGTTACGATGACGTGTAGTAAACCCCCGTTATTGTATGTAATAGGTGACTGGCGGGGCCACAGTCCCACCGTCCGACAAATCTGCGTCCTCTTTGCTCAAAGGCCTGACCGCGTACGGCTCCTTCCCGCCAGCTCTGTCAGGCCGCCACGAACTCCGAGTCCGCGGAGCCTTATTTAACACGGGGTTGCTGGGAGGGAAAGCCTTACAGCCGCCCCACGCAGCCCATGGATGCTCTGTAGGCCGTGACAACAGTCTGTGGGTCATTCCTGCCTGTGTGACGTTGGCCAGTTGCTGCCCCTGCCTGTGCCTAAACGCCTGGGCAGAGGCAGACGCGCACACGCGCGCGGCCCCCCGCCCCGCCCCGGCAGCTTTCTCCCGCCTCTGTGCCTTGTGCAGACGGTGAAGCAGGAGAGGATTATTTTCATCATCGACGAGGGCCAGTTCATCGATCCGGCCTCCTGGACCTTCCTGGAGAGGCTGATCCGGACCATCCCGATCTTCATCGTCATGGCCCTGTCTCCGTTCACCGACACCCCCTGCCCGGCCGCCAGCACCATCATGAAGAACAGGAACACCACCTACATCACCCTCGGGGCCGTGCAGCCCAGCGACATCCGCAACAAGGTCTGCCTGGACCTCAACGTCAAGGGCATCCCCAAGGAGCTGGACTTGTGAGTAACCCGCTTCTGGCCGCAGGGCCCGGCGCCGGCGTTCACCGCCCCGGTCCCCGCCTCGTCAGATTCCTAACATCGCGGCTTAAAGTGCAAACCAGAAAATTTAAATGGTCACTTACCAGGCAAGGGAGGAAGGGACGCAAGACTCGGGATGTACCTGATCGTATAGTTTTGGCTTTGGAAGTATGCTAAATGGTTTACGAAATTAGAAAAGTGAAAGAAAAGGAAAAAAAAAAAAGCAATCGCTAAACATGGAAAAAACCGAAGCCCATGGAGAACGAGGAGAGATTATCTTCATGTCACTGAAAAGACCCGAACGGTTTTCCTTCCTGAAAGGCGACCCTCCCAGGTACATAGGCTGCCTTGTCTTCCCAACAGGTACCTGGTGGAGGGGAGCTGTGGGATCCCCTTTTACTGCGAAGAGTTGCTCAGGAACCTGGACCAGCACAGGGTGCTCATTTTCCAGCCAATGGAGTCCGAGGAAAAGGCCAACGTGACCTGGAATAACCTGTTCAGTGAGTCCCGCGGCCACAGCCCTCTCCGCGCGTTCCGCGGAGCGGCGGCCAGGCGGGCTTTTCCGTGGGCTGCCTCCCGTCCGGGTCAGAGGGCTCGGGGGCCAGAGACCGCTGGGCCTGATACCCCGATGGTGAGAGAGTGTGGCATTTTGGAGACAACGTGACCAGGCAGGTTTACCATTTGAAGCTCACCGTTTCTGACCCCCCTTTCTGGTACTCACCGTGCCGTGAGCAGAGGGCCGTCGCCCCATGAATGTGTTTGCACCCGAGTGTGGGTGTCGGAACGTGCACGAAAGCCTATGTTATCACACACTATAAGGTACACCCGGGTAATCTGAGTCACATTTTCATAAAACTGCACGTACTATGGAAGACTTCCATTCTTTCTCTCTCTCTCTCTCTCTCTCTTTTTTTTTTTTTTTAGGGGGGAACAAAATGTCCTTAGAATAAATTTAGATTTTCATAAAGCAGTTTTACTTAATACACAGTATTCCCAGTGCTTTGGGGAGCCAACAGGCCTCTCCGCCGGCTCTGCTTCAGGTGAGACCCACCTCCCAGCTTCCTGGGAGATCCGGATAATGCCAGACCGCTGACCGTCCGCTTTCCTTCCCTGTTCTCACCCGACAGAGAACGTCGCCAAGCCAACCGAGGAATTAAAGAAATTTACTCTCGGCGAAGAGGGAAGTGAAGAAATCTGCAAGCTCGCCAGAGGCGTCAGATTGAAAAACCTGTCTCCACCAGCGTCATTAAAAGGTAAAGACAGCCTGAGCTGTCTCCCCACGCCCCCCGTCACTCTCAACAGGCGTGGGGGTCCCAGGAGGCTGGGCTTTCCTGCCTCCGATTAGGAGCCGCCTTCCCCTGCGCATGTTGTGGGGTCTGGTTTGAACAAAGTTTCCTTCTGCTGGTAAAAGAAGGAGGTACACTAGGTTTTCAATTACGCAGACACCAAGTAACAAGAGAGAAAATGGAATACTGAATTTAGATCAGAGATGTATCGTTATCCTTTTAAAGAAAAATGGCTTTCAAGCCGTGTTCTCATACGTGTTCAGCTCCCATGCACGCCGTCTGTAAAGAGCTTCCAGGGTCGGGAAGGGTGCCCTTGAGGTTCTCAGTCTCCGAAAGGGCACCTAGCTCACGCCTGCGTTTTCATTCACTACGCCTACGAACGTAGCAAGGTCGACTGGCTGGGCTTCTAGAGTGTTCTGTGGGCGAGCGGAGAAGTTGGCATTTTGTCCCTGATGAGGGTGACACAATGACATTCTGGTCAAGATGCCGGGGGCCACAGGACCGGTGACACAGAGCTTTGGCAAGGAGCTGGGAGCTCTCTGACGCTTTGTCCGGAGCATGGAGACGCTAACAGGCTGTCACAAGACTAAAGGGATCTTGGGGGAGGCAGCGGGGAGGCTGATGGCTGGCAGGCTCCAGGAGAAAGGGTCGCCAGGGAGGAAGACGGAAAAGGACCAGCTGGAGGGGTCGGCATGGGACGGGGATGGCAGGCCCGGCTCGTCCTCGCCACCGCGGCCCCCGGGGGTCGCTCCTCTCCTCGCAAACCCCATCACGCTTTACTGCTAAATCAGAGCCCCTGACATCGGCCTTATTTTTGCCTACGTGGAGCCGTGCGTAGTTTTAGGCCGTGGGGCCCACTTTTCTGTGCTCTCAGCGCAAGCGCTTTCTGTGAGGCAGGCGCTGAGCACAGACTTCTTTGGCTTCGTGGGGCTGGGTTTCTGCGGACGAGAGCCCAAGGGCGGGACAGCTGTCCACCGCCAGGATGTATTTGATAAAGACGGGTGACCAGTTCTCTCCTGTGTGGCTTTGCACCTGCAGAAATCTCCCTGGTCCAGCTGGACAGCATGAGCCTCCCGCACCAGATGCTGGTGAGGTGCGCGGCCATCATCGGCCTGACCTTCACCACAGAGCTGCTGTTCGAGATCCTCCCTTGTTGGAACATGAAGATGATGATCAAGGCCCTGGCCGAGCTGGTGGAGTCCAACATCTTCAACTGTTTCCGGAACGGCAAGGAGCTCCGAAAGTCTCTGAACCATAACGCCACCTCGTTCGAGGTGAACTTTCGCTCCCTGTCTCTGAAGCCCATGGAAGGAATGGGTGAGTAGGGCCTCGAGGGGCCCGCGCTTCCCCGCAGCTCAGGGCACAGCTCACCCGACGAGCCGACGAGCCGCCGGGCCCGCTGAGCGGCGGGAGCCGGGCGCCGCCCCCGCCGGCTGACGAGCTCTGTCGGTCCTCTCCAGCTCACCGGATGGACGAGGAGCTCCGAGAACTGGAGAGCGAGGTCATCGAGTGCCACATCATTCGGTTCTGCAGGCCGATGATGCAGAAGACCGCCTACGAGCTGTGGCTCAAGGACCAGAAGAAGGCCATGCACCTGAAGTGCGCCCGCTTCTTGGAAGACAACGCCCACATGTGCGACCATTGCCGCGGCAGGGACTTCATCCCCTATCACCACTTCACCATGGACATTCGGCTCAACTCCTTGGACATGGACTCCATCAGGAAGATGGCTTACCTCCAGGGGTTCAAAAGTAAATGTCCTTCTTTCTTCATCACTGCTAACCGTGCTGGGGGGCTGCGAGGGTTGCCAGCCCCCGAGGGCCCGGGCGCAGGGAGCGATGAGGCCTCGGCAGCAGGGGTGCCGGGCGGGGAAGGGCCGGGACCTGCGTGCCATGGCGTCTAGCCGAAGCAGTCTCTCCGCGAGACGGTCAGGGAGGTTTGGGGAGACAGATGGGCAAAATGGGGTGCAGCCCGCATTCAGATTGACCCGCCCAAAGGGATAACACAGGCCCGGCCTCATCGCCACCAGGCGCGGGCCCCGGGGGGTGAGGTCTGGCGTGGGGAAGTGCGAGCAAGAACAAGGCAGGTCCCCGAGGAGATGTGACTGTCGCTCCGTTGGTCGGGTTGGACGCAGGGCTCGGCAGTAGAGGGACGTGGGGGCAGAGAGATGCGCAGGGCCGAGCCGGTCAGGGCTCCAGGGGACAGGCCCCGGGCTCAGGGCAGGGACCCGAGGCCGTCTGTGAAGCCAAAGTCAAAAAGTTACAAACTGGTAACACACACCTCCAGCCAGGTGACCGGGAGAAACCCCGTGGAGGATTCAGGGGGCAGGATTCAAGGGCCCGGGGGCTCAGTTCCCGTGGGCCCGAGGGACGCCGGGCTTGGGGCGGCCCCAGCCAGCAGCCTCGGGGGTCGCCACTGAAGCTGCTGGGGAGATCAGAGGCCCCACGACGAGGAGTCCGTGTCACAAGGACATGAACGGCTGGGAAGAGATGCGGGACAGTGCCCGGCCCGTGGAAGGTGCAAAATAAACCTACCTCTCACTCGTTCTCTTACGCACATCGTCACTTGATGCTCTTAGCCACCCTGAAGGTGGAGGCTTATTTGCAACTTATCCATGAGGAACTGGAGGTTCTGGAAGAGTCAAGAGCTTGTGTGATGCTGCACAAGGGGTGACAGTTTATTCAATCCCAGGTCAATTAATTGCCAAGTCCAGGCTATGTGCCTGACACCTGCGCTCTCCAAGGCGCAGGGCCGGACCCGCAGGGCCCCGGGCGAGCAGAGCGGAGGTGGCGCCCTGGATCCCTCCTCCCCGAGCACCGGGGGAGCGGCTGGGGCGGGGGCCACCCTTGGCTGTCTTCTGTTTTAAGATCACTACGGAATTGTCTAATGTATCGAAGCACGGATTGACTGCCGGCTCTAAACTCAAGGTTCTCTGCCCTTTGTCCCGAAACGACCAGACACCTGTGCTGGACAGACTATTTCAATGACCCATTCAACGCATTTGTTTATTTTCTAGCTGAAGAAGAGATCACCGTTTCCAAAATAGAGATTCTGAGAAAGTCTAAGATATTCCCGGAAAATCTCAGGTACCGGCACGCGTGGCTGCTGAGGGCCAGCGCGTGCGCGATGGTCATTCAGTTCCGAGCACGGCCAGAACCGTCGGTCCGGCCGGCACCTCTGGCCTCGGAGGCGCAGGCGGAGAGTTGCCCGGGGTGTGCGTGGGAGTGCGGTCCGCGGTGCCCGCGTTAGGCCTCCTTGTCTTGCCCCTCCCTTCACCTTTAAAGGCGTTTTCACGTGAACAGCCTCACCGGGCCCACACGTTATCACGCCTGTTTGTTTCTGCATTTGGCCAGTCCCGACGAGGTAAGAGAAAAGATCCTGGGTTTCTTCGACACCGTCATAACCAAGATGAGCCCGTCGCAGGAGGACATCCTGCCGCTGGAGTCGTGCCAGTGCGAGGAGATCCTGGAGGTGGTCGTCATGCCGCTGGCCCACCACTTCCTGGCTCTGGGGGAGAACAACAAAGCCTTGTACTACTTCCTAGAAGCTGCGTCCGCTTACCTCCTCCTGAATGACAACTACATGGTAAGCGGCTTCTGCCCAGCTCTCCCCCCGCCCTCCGCTTGGGATGCCGTCGAGGCCGGGCCCGGGGGGAGCCCCAGGGCGCCCTTTACCCCCGCGGGTCCTTGCTTCCCGCCAGCTCCCCTTTCTTTGAAAATCAGACCGCTCAGAAGGGAAGGACCCGAGATGGAGTAAAAAAGTTCAGACAAATTGCCAACAGCACCACGTGTCATTGAAAACACTGCCACCTGTAGAAACTTGCCGCGAATTGTCTACCTGTGTTGGGGGGGCGCATAGTGGCGTGCGTCAAGTTCTCACGCGCTCCCACCAGCCGCCGATGCCCTGGCGCATGCTTCTCCAGGAGGAGGCGGCCGTCGCTGGGATGTGCAGGGGCTTGATGTGCAGAAAGCAATGAGGAGATTCGGGGCCCCAGGAATTAGCTGGGAAGCACCGAGCTGAGTGACGCTCAGTGGGTTTCTTGACAGCAGATGCGCCAGGGCTTTAAGATGCTCAGCGGCTCCTCAGTCCCCCAGGGGGCCAGGCTGGGGCTGGGGGCCATTGCGCCTCTCTGAGGTGCTTGGCCTAAGGCCGCCCTCCATGGAGCAGCTGGCCGGGCTCACCTTCCAGGAGCTCCCCGGGGAAATGGTTCCCTGCCTCTGGCCAGCCTCAGGGAGAGGTTCCCGCCTCCTCTCCCCGCCACAGGGTCCCGGCCTGCAGTCCCTCCTCGCCCAGCCTGGTGGCCTGCTCCATGTTTTACAGTCCCCGTCTATCACACCAGCCTAATCCACCCTCACACCTTAGAGCGACATAAAATTTAAAAATGAGACCATTAAAAACGACAGCAAGCCCCAGTTCTCTCAAGAAGTTGTGTTAAGAATGAAAGTCTCCTGGGTGATTTACTCACACGTGTGGGGTGCGGGGGAGAGGGCCAGGGAGTCCCAGGAAGAGAAGGTTTGGGGAGCCCCAGGGCCGACTTGCTAAACCTGCAGAGAGTGGAATGCTCAGGAAGATGGCGATCGGAAGCTGAGCCCAGTGCAGGGTTCCAGAATGTGCCATGGGTACCCGTCCCCTGTCGGAGAAAATCTGGTGGGACCGGGGCTGGGTGCAAACGCATGTCTCCCTCCTGCCCCCGCTCGTGGCCCTCGGGCTGCATGACACGGAGGGACGTGGCTTCACCTCATTTTACTCTCCAAGCCGGGCCGGGCCTCGGCGTCCCAGTGCCAGGAGCTCCTGCGGCCACCGCCCCAGGCGCCGGAGATGGAGGCAGGGAGTTGCCCGGGGCCTGGCCTTCCTCCCCACTTCCCCACAGACAGAGTCGGGGGGCAGTGCCAGGGGGTTCCCCCTCCTCCCCGCAGCAGCGGCCGGCCCGCTCCTTGCAGACGTGGGGGCGCGTCAGGGGCCGCAGATGCAGGGCTGGAACTAAGGGAGGAGGAGGCTTCAATGGAAGCACTCAAAGGCGGCGTTTGCCCCGGAAAAGTTTCAGACGAGCGGACTGTCGGGTTCGGAGGCCCTTTCTCGCAGGAGCGGGGTACAGGTGGCAGGCGCCGGAGCGGCTCCCGTTCTCCCGCTTCGGTGGAGCCTGGGGCGACGGCCCCCCGGGAGCGGGGTCCCCGCTGACTGCACCCTTCTGACCTCTGCAGGCCTACACATACCTGAACGAGGGAGAGAGGCTGCTGAAAACTCTCAAGAACAATAATTCCTGGAGCCACACCTTTGAGTCTGCCACCTTCTACAGCCTCAAGGGTCAGGTAAGAAACCACGAAATGCAACTTATTCTGTGATTTGCCACGGGGGCTGCACGCAGGAGAGGGAGACGCCACCACGCATGTGGTGCGCCCTCCCCCCACCCCAGGTCCTTCCCAAGGCCCCAGGGCCCCGAGCACCGGGACTCAAACATCCTCGCCGCCGCTGGCCGGCCGCAGGACCCTCCTCGCCTGGCCGTCTTCATGACATGTTTTCCTAGCAGCCCCCCAAAATGGACACAAGTGGGTAAACGTTTCTCAGAGGTCCAGGAGGCACGTCAGCCGTGCTAAATGCGAGGCATTCGGCTCTCCCTCCCTCCTTCCCTACGCACGCACGAGAAACGCTGCCCACGATGCACCGGCGCGGTCGCGCCTGGGCCGGGAACCGCCGCCTCCTGACGAGCACCCCAGAAGGGCGCGCTGGCGGGACAGACCCACTAAGCCCAGAACCCTCGCTTCTCCTCCTCCCCCTATAGGTCTGTTTCAACATGGGCCAGATGGTGCTGGCCAAGAAAATGCTGCGGAAGGCCCTGAAGCTCCTCAGCCGGCCTTTCCCTTACAGCATGATCTCCCTGCTCTTCCACACCCGTGTTGAGAAAAACAAACACTTTCGTTACACGAATCAACAGGCCAAACAGAGCTCCCCTCCAGAGTAAGGGGAGAGGCTGGCTGGGCCGGCTTCCCGCGGGCCCGAGGGGAGACCCCGCACCAGGTCTGGGGGCTGGGCGGCTGAGAGGAGGGGGCCCGGCACGCTCAGCAAGGGCCCTTCTTGGGCACAGACTTCTCCATGTGGCCCGTGTGGCGGAAGGGGCTGGGGGGTGCCGTGGATCTCGCACAACAGCACTAACTGTGCTCCTGACGGCCCCACCCAAAAGAGCTGCTCACTGCCCCCGGCCTCGCCTGCTAAGGTCACGGCTCTCAGGGGTTCGGGTTCCACACGTGGATCTGGGGGGAGGCCTGCAGACCACAGCGGAAGGCGGCTCTTGGGAACGGCCGGCTCCTCCACTGAGCCGGGGCCTGGCTGCCGGGGGCAGCGTGTGGCGGAGGAAGTGACGCGCAGGACGGGCCAGCCTGGAGGCGGACGGTCGGTCAGTCGGTCGTGGGTCCTGCGCCACACGGTTCTGGCTGTGTGACTTTGCGTTGGTTTCATAACCTCTCTGAGCCTCACCGCCTGCTTCTGTCACGTGGGGCTGCTTATCGCGCCCTTTCTTACAGGGCTGTCAGCAGACTCAGGTGTGGTTGACTGAGAACAATGTGCTTTTTAAGTAGCTTCATGTAAACACCCATGACCGGACGGCCGATGTACACACGTTATCTTCATTAATCCTCACAGAGTCGGTATCATGGTCCCCATTCTGCAGGGGAGAAAACGGGCTTCCTGAATACCCATGTGCTCGTGAGGAAAGGCGGCAGGCCTGCCTCTGTGACCTGTGTCCCCTCTATGCACTCTATCCCCCAGGAAGAAGAGGCTGGCGGAACTTTACCAGCAAACCATCTGCTTCTCCTTGCTGTGGAAGATCTACAACCTCAATTACTTTTTCCACTGCAAGTACTACGCGCAGCTGGCAGCTCTGATGAACATGAACGCCGCCCTGGAAATGCAAGACAACTTCCAGGTAGGGTGTCTCTGTCGCTGCCTTTTAACGTCTGCGTCTTATCGGGAGAGGAGAGCCGAGCGAACGTCCGTTGGGCTGCGGACCCGAGGGCGGAATGCGAGCCCCTAGGGGCCTGGGCTGCACCCGCCACCCCCCGGCACGCGGGTCCCGGTGTCCCTTCACATGCACAGGGGCTGTTGGGGACCTCAGCCAGCTTCCACTTTTATGGGTTGTAGCTATTGATACTATGACGTAAGAAACAAAGACAGGTATTTAAAAATATTTTTTAAAAGTAACAAATCCATTATGTATTAACATAATCGACACTTTCATAGGAAAAAACAAAACAAAACAAAACCCTGTATTTCTCCAAACAAAGCATTTAGTGGGAAGAGAGGCACGTAGTAGGTCTTTGCAAATACCCTAATGCTGACTTCGCAGGGGATGGAGCCTCTCTCCGCTCCTGCCCTCGCGCGCTCACACCGCTCTGCCCCGGGAAACTGCGAAACCTGGGAGAAAAAGAGGGTGAAAAGGAAGATGGTGAAGGAGAATTCTTTCTGAAAAGCTAAAATCATGACTCCCGTGTCAAAGATTTTACCAGATTGTCCATTGAGAGAACTACAGGTTCCAAGGAGAATTCAACTTTTGTGTGGATGCAAAGCTCGTCTAGTCAAAGGGCAAGAATTGCCCGTATTCCCCGGAACATTTACATTTCCGTGAAAACTGACCATTTACACCATTGTCAGTTTTCTACTAGAGACAGCGGTTTAGCAACCCAGAAGCAATGAAAGGCAGGGATAACAATTGGGAGGAGCTGGACCGGACACCCACTAAGTTTTTTTTTTTTTTTTGGCCAATGTTGACCTCTCACCATTTCTCCTGACACAAATAATGCCTCGGTGTTACGCAGCTAGCTTTGACCTCTGTGCGTGCTTCCTGGGAGGGTCGCGGGGACCGCACTGGGAGGCCCGTTAGTCCAGGTCGCCGCCTGGGAAGTCTTTGATTAGAGGAGGAAAACTCCAGGAGGCAAGATCCAGAAATTACTGCCCTGACCGGGGTGGCTCAGTGGGTTGGGCGTCATCCTGCAAAGCTGAAGGTTGCCGGTTCGATTCCCAGTCGGGGCACAGGATGGAGTTGCGGGTTCGGTCTCTGGTTGGGGTGTGTACAAGAGGCAGCCGATTGGTGTTTCTCGCTCACATCGATGTTTCTCTCCTTCTCTCTAAAACAAACTAAATACATAAAAACCTAAAAAAAAAAAAAAAAGGGGGCAAGCACTGTAAAGCTAAATCCAGCTCATTTAATCCAAGTGGCTTGGTTCCTTTACAAAAGTACCTCATGTCTGGGCTCCCCCTGGGGAAGCAGCTCTTCCGCGGGGCCCTCAGCTCTGGGGCACCTGGCCGGGGAGCACCGCGCCTGTCAGAGGCTTACATCCCCAGCGCTGGTTCCCCTCCGCAGACCGGGGTGCGTGAGTGTCAGCGAGACCCGTGAAACCAGGCCTCGGCCTTGCCCCGGCCGACCGCTCCTAGCTCCAGAGCCCCGTGGGCCGCGTCGGGTCCCTCAGACCCCTGCGTTCAGTCCTGGTGAAGGGTCTCCGCCCTGGGTGTCCCCTCTGCCTGGGGTCCTCGTCCCTTGACCTTCCTGGGCTCTTTGCTTACCAACCTGAAGGCCGCCTGCTCGGCGCTGCCTGTCCTGATCGCCTCCCCCATTTGCAGTCTCTCCTGCCACCCTGTCTGGGGGCCGGTTACCGTCTGACGTTTTCTTTCTTGCCCCCTCGTTCACGTGTGGCCTGTGTCCCCTGCCAGCCTGCACACCCCGCGAGGGCCGGAGCCTTGACCTCTTGGTCACAGGCTGAGCACCCAGAGCAGGGTCTGGCGCCTCGCAGGTGCCTGTCAGACATCTAGCAAATGCCACGCTTTACTTCTCCTGGACGCGTGGGGGCGGGGGTAGCCGGGGCAAAAGACACCACCGAGGAGGCACGACTGCGACGAGGGTGGAGGGGCCCGGCAGGGGCTCCCGGGGCGTCTGAAAGCAGCCAGGCCATTGGCGCCGCAGGGCGGAACGGACGAGTGAGTGTGTGTTTGCAGGGCGCAGCGGCCCAGAGCAGGCCCTCCCAGCACTGTAACCACCCACACCCACCCGCCGCCACCGTGAAGCAGGCCCAGGCTGTGGTGCACATCCGGGCTTCTCCTCGTTCGCCCGGCGGGCGCTGCTCAGCCACCACCACTTCCGGCTGCCCTTCCCAGCTGGGAGCGCCATTAGAAACGGGCTCTTAAAAAGCAGCCCTGCCCCCTTCTTTTGGTCAAGTTACAAAGGTCACATAGGCCTGTTATAACAAATCCAACACCACAGAAGTGCAGAAAGTAAAACGTCAAGTCCCTCTTCTCCCCCGGATCCGTTGTCCAACCCCAGCAAGTAGGCACCTGCTACGTCCCCTCGGTGGGGGTGAGTGCCCCGAGGCTTTCTGCAGCGCAATCACAGATCCCCCGGTGGAGGCTCTCGCTTTTTTTTCTTTTCCACAAAAATTAAAATTCTTGTTTAAGGCCTCTGTGGACAAGAGGGGCCCTCAAGCTTGTCCTGGGTGATTCGGTGATCGGGCGGCAGACTCCCAGTTTAACTTCTGTACCGAAGCCCCCGGTTCGCCAGCAGGCACCGGGTGACATCGCTGGGCTCCCCTCCGGGGGCTGCACCTCAGCCTCGCGCCCCCCCCCCCGCCCCTGGCCATTGCAGATTATTAAGGCCTACCTGGAGTACTCGCTGCACTGCCAGCTGGACGGCCGCACGGGCGTGTGGGTCAAGTACGAGGTCATGGCCATGGAGCAGATCTTCAGCCTCCCCCTGAAAGGCACGGGCAGCGAGATCATGGCGTACGTGGCCGAAACGCTGGGCTACACCAAGCTCATAATGGGCCACTTGGACTTGGCCATCGACTTAGGTACGGGCTGCCTGAGCAGGACGGGGCACAGGGATACAAGTAACCCCCAGAGATACTCTGCAGTGGTTCCCTTCTCAGGCTCCCGTGCTCAGAAGATGTGGGTGCTGCTCCGGAACCCCAACAGGCAATCCAAGGTCCTCTGCTGGCTTAGTAAATGTCTCTTGCTGAAAAACAGGTATTTGTCTTAAAAGCCCTTTCCCGAAGGAGGGGGAGGAAGCCATAGGAATAAGTATTCTGGGCTCACTCTGCACCGGCCGCAGGGTGGGTTAGGGAGGGGGGTTCCCAGCAAGACGGACGATGCGGCTGGTCATCGGTCACCCTTCGGAAACCATGCTCTCGTCCACGCTTAGCCTCTCCCAACCGATTGCTCTGGCCAGTGACCTGAGGAGGTCAGATGGCTGTCCCCACGGTGGGAATCAGGCCTCCGGCCCTGCCAGGGGGAGGGAATGGGCCAAGTCTCATGTGGGAAGCAGTGCTCAGAGACCAGCAGCCAGGACCAGCAGCCCGGACCAGCAGCCCGACGTGGCTGGACCCTGGCCACGCCGACGGGACGGTCCCTGAAGCACAGTGTGGACCGAGCGCCAGCCGGAGGCTTAGGAGTGGGTTTGAAGTTTCGGGGTCGCACTCGGTCGCGAGCCGCCGGGCGGGACCAAGCCTGGCCCAGGGCTTGGTCTGATGCTCTTCTCCGGCCCCTGTGAATCCGACCGCAGATACAAGCAGCTGATCCAGGTGCTGGGGTGGCTGTGGGACCTGTCCGTGGCGGAAGATCACATCTTCAGCAAGGCGTTTTTCTATTTAGTCTGCCTGGACATCATGCTTTACGCCGGTAAGCGCGGCGTTGGGACCCATGCGTGGCCAGGGTGTGGCGCACACATGCTGGGGTGGCGTGGCAGCTGCCAGGGCTGGGGCTCGGCCGCCCACCCGGTTTCCGGCCAGAAGGAGGTTGTAGAACCAGGAAGGAGAGGCCAGGCGCTGGGCGCCGAGGGGCGCCTGGAGGGTGCCCAAACCGGGAGACCAGCGCGGAGGAGAGCGTGTTCTGGAGCAAGCTGCTGGCGAGAGCTGCCGGCTAGAGTGTCCTGTAAACGTACATACACGTGACGGCGACTGATAGCGTCACCGTGTGTCTCTGACCAGGGTGTTTAATGACACGGCTACACTGAGTAATGTCCTGTTTGAGAGGGAAGGACCACACTGACGATGTTGACAGCTCGGGGCACGGGCACCTCTCGGTGACCCGGGAAACAAACCCAGACATCCCTCGGGTGGCCCGAGGAGGCGGGCTCCGTGCGCATGCGCCGCCGCAGGGCCGGCGGTGCCCGGTGGCCCCCACGGGCTTTGGAAAGGGGCCGCAGGTGTTGCAGCCGGCGGGGGGAAGTGTGGGCGGGAAGGCGGAGGAGTCCCGGGCGGCAGGGAGCCGGCCCATTGGGCTCGACCAGGGACAGCTGGTTCGAACCCCGCTCCTGCCTGGCCACCACGACGGAAATGTGTCCTGGCTGCGCACACGTCCACGAAAGCTGGGTTTGGTTGCCGCACGCAGCGCAGCCACGTGGCCCTGGCAGTCCACGGGGCAGAGAGAGGAGCCCCCCCGGGGGACGGTTCTCCTGGGAGCCACCCTGCCCGCCAGCAGCCAACCTCCCCCTCCGCCCCCAGGCTTTACTTACAGGACGTTCCGCGAGTGCGTGGACTTCATCCACCACAACGAGGACAACAGGATCCTCCAGTTCCAGAGCGGGATCCTCCTGGGACTCTACTCGAGTGTGGCCATATGGTAACAAGGGCCTCGCCCCAAAGCGGAAAACAGCCAGTCCTGAGATTTTTTTTTAAAACGAGAGCGAGAAGAAAGGACAAGTATTTATCAATTATACCCGAGGCAGACTGAAGGCCTCCGAGCGGCTGCTACGGAGACACCTAGGGGATCGGTAATCTGTCCACGCCCCTCCCGCAGGCAGGAGAGAGTAGCCGCCTCGGCTGTATCCGGGGCCACCGGCATCTCTTCCACCCGGGGCACGCGGTGCTGCTCCAGGGACGGCGCGGCAGGCGCGCGGGCCTCGGAGGAGGGCTGCGGTTTGGGGGAGACTAATAAATAGCACCCCATGCTCCCCCAAGACCTAACATATTGAAAAGCGTTGTTGGGAGAGCTGGTATTGGAGGGTACGGCTGATGCCTGCAAGCAAGGGGGCTCCCTGACACGGAACCGCAGGCTGAGGCGGGCCCACTCAGCAGCGGGCTGTTCTGGAAAACTGCGGCCTCCCCCGTGGGGGCCGACCCAGGGACCGAGCAACACCCCCTGATTCCTCTCCGAAACTCTCTACCCAACCAAGCCCCTCCTCCACCTCGGAGGAGGGAGGGAGGCTAGGCCGGGTGCAAAGCCGGCAGCCGTGGAGGGCCCTCGCCTCAAAGGCAAGTTCAGGGCCAAGGAAGAAGCAGTTGTATGCCCGCTACTCAGGGAGCCTGAGACTTCACGCTTTACCCCTGTTAAGCTTTTACCTCCGCAAGCCCACAGCCAGGGCCTTGACTTCACCGAAGCCAAGCAGGAAGGCTCGGAGCGTTCATTGTATTTCTCCCACGGCCATGCCCGGGACTGGAAGTCATTCCCGGCTCTACTTCCCATCTCAAACTGTGCATGCGGCCGTGCTGCCCAATACTTAAGAGATTTCATGTAGAGGTTAAACGACAGTCCCTGTGAGGACAGTCCTGTTTAAAGGGCCACCAACTAGCGCTGTTCCAAATTCGAATAGAGATCTCTTATTATCAAAATTCCTTGGGAGAAATTAAAGTCCAAAATTTAATTGCCCTTGCCCGTGAAAGTCCAGAGATTCAAGTTCAAAGTCAAATTAACCGGCCTCTGTGAGTTAAAGTTCCAGGAGCCTGAGGTGCAGGAGCCGTCCCGACTGCTTAGCCGCCCCGTGGCCCCTGCAGCCTGCGCTCTACCTCTGCAGACACGGCCCCTGCCGCTCACGCCTGGGGGGTTGGAACCCCTCGGCGGGCTAAGCAGCACAAACCCCGGGCCCCGCCCCGAGGGTCCACCTGATCTGCACGCCTGGGTCGGCCAGAGAGCTTGCATGTCTCAGGGGCATCCCTGTGACGCCGACGGCCCCCACTTCGAGTGGCCCTGGCCGAGTGTTCCCTAGGATTCCATTCCTCGCAGACCATCAAAACATTCTGTCCTTCCTTGCTCCATGCCTGGGATTCCCGCCGGCCGGGCCCCCAGAGGCCCCCAGACGGGGACCGCCTCTGGAGAGGCTGGTTTCAGAACCTCCGCCCCTTGCCAGGGCGGTGCTGACTTCTCTTACTCTTCCATGGCGCCGCAGGTATGCCAGACTTCAGGACTGGGAGGAGTTTCAGATATTTTTCAACAAAGCTAAAAATCTCGTGCCGAGAAGGACGCCCTCCGCTCTTTACTTCCGGGGCATCTGTGGGTACATGGAGGGCCAAGTCCTGCACCTGCAGAAGCAAATCGAGGAGCACGCGGAGAACGCCCAGGACACAGGCGTGCAGCTGCTCAAGGTGAGGCCGCCTGCTGGGCCCCAGGGTCTGCGGCTCCGGGAGCCGGCCTCTGTCCCCCTCCGGTGAGGGGGACCGAGGCAACCTGCGTGCTGTGAGGCCCTCTTGCAAGCTTTTGGGAGTGCGATCTGGCCAAGTGCTTCTGTCTTTACAATGTGCCCCCGCACCCCCCGCCCGCCCCATCCCCGCAGCACGCCTCCTGGCAGGCGCCCTGAGGAGATAGTCAGAGGGCAAACAGGAGTGTGTCCAGGAAGGCGGTGCGCTCAGCTCTGTGCCATCAAGACACGAGGGAAAAAAATTTTTAAGGTTTTTTATTTATTTATTTTTTAGAGAGAGGGGAAGAGAGGGAGAAAAGCGTCGGTGCGTGGTTGCCTCTCGCGCACACCCCCTACTGGGGACCTGGCGCACAATCCAGGCCGGTGCCCTGACTGGGAGTCCAACCGGCGACCCTTTGGTTCACGGGCCGGCGCTCAGTCCGCTGAGCCGCAGCAGCCGGGGCAAGAAAATTGGTATAAAAACTAAACGCCCTTCACGAAGAAAGTCGGTGAAATCAGGAGTGGAACATTTAAACACTGGGCTATTTCAGGTTTAAAAACCTGAGTTTCTGACCCTCCTTCTGTAAACTGGAGTAGCTGGCAGCCCACAGCTTCACCCCTGAAGGGCAGCGACAGGCTCTAGTTGGCACGGTGACATTTGGGGTCCTCTCCCTGGCCTGACATGACCCCTGGTGCTCCTTTCTGCACCCAGCAACCCCACCCCGCCCCCGCCACACCGTGTCCCTCCCTCGCTCGGGCGATGCCGGCCCCTGTGAGCCCGGAAGTGAAGGAAGCAAGTCACTGAAAAACCTTCACAACAGGATGTTAAATGAGAAAAAAATGTACCCTGCGTGTGATCCAAAGGGATCTCAGCTGTGGTGGCGTAAGTGTGAGTGTGTGTGTGTGTGTGTGCAAGAGTGTGAGAGAATGTGTGAGTGTATGCGAGTGTGTATGATTGTGTGAGTGTGTGAGTGTAAAGGGTGAGAAATAAGAGTGGGAAAGCAGGCAACCAAACATTATAAATATTTCCTTCCGCGTGCTGGAGTTGGGGGTGATTTTCATGTTTTTTGCTGTCCTTTTCATCTTTCCCCCCTCAATTCTGAACAATCAAGTTACACTGATGATCAAAGGGAAATACACCTATTTTAAAAAGTGGTTGCAGGGGGTGGGGGCTGAAGCGCCCACCCCCTTGGCAGCCCTGGCCTGGGTCCCCCACCTGCCCTTCATCCTCCCGCCTCCCCCGCTTCCCAGCTCGGTCTCCGGGCCACAGGGCCCCAGCCGGCGGCGTGCGCCCCTCGCCGCACGCCCCGCGCAGTGCGCAGGTCCTCCGGGCAGGAGGCGCCGCCCTCGTCTCCCCTCTCTGACGCCCCGCCGGTCCCTCCGCAGAGCCTGGAGAGCCTGGTGACGCAGAACATCACGGGCGCTGTCTTCTACCCGAGGCTCTACCACCTCATGGCCTACGTGTGCATCCTCATGGGCGACGGGAAGAACTGCGACCTCTTCCTGGACACGGCCCTGCAGCTGTCGGAGACGCAGGGGAACCTGCTGGAGACGTGCTGGCTGAACCTGAGCCGGGTGAGGCCCGCCCGCCAGGGGGCGCCCCGGGCAGGGGCCTGGGGAGTCTTGGTAGGCGCGGAGGCGCCCGGAGCCCTGCGGACCCCTGTCTGCACCTCCTCCTCCCCAAGTTCTCACGGGGCCCCCCCAATCCCTGGGTCAAGATCTCTGCCCCCCCCCGGGCTCCCCCCTACTTTACAGTCTGGGTTGCATTCGTGCGCATGCCTTTTCTCCCCTCTCCGAAGGCAAACCCGCACTTAGTCCCTGGCATAGTGCCTCGGACTCACGCTCTGTGGAGCAAGTGCATGGACGTACACGTTTGGCATGTTTATTTACAGTCGCGTGTCCATGGTCTGGGTTCACATGGGTTTAAAAGCCCAGGGATGTGTGACCCCTTGCGGTGGGACCCATCTGGACCTCCGTGGCCACCGACCCCTCTGCGCCCCCTCTGCGGCCCCTCTGCCCCTCGCAGGAATGGTGGTACTCCGGCTGTGAGCTGGCCGAGAACCAGTGGATGTCGACACTCCTGGCTCTGCCGTCATGGGACAAAGTTATGTCCGGCAAGGTGAACCTGCAGGAGATCCAAAAAAACAAATTCCTCATGAGAGTGAATATCCTGGACAATCCTTTCTAACGTTCCCTGAAAGAAAACGAAGATGCTAGTAAGACCCCTCTGTTACTAACCGTTCCCTGTAGCCAGCATCCTCCAGGGGGCGCCTGCAAACCGCGCCTGTTCGGCCGCGGACCGAGCAGGCGGTCCCTGCCCCGGCTGGAGGCCCACCAGCGCCGCGGCGCACCCTTGCCCTCCCCCTCGCCCTCGCTCCACACGCGGCGTTACAGCCTGCGGGGAGAGAGCCACATCGCAGTGGCGTGTGTTGTACCACATACCTGCCTAGGCAATCGATTAAATGGAAAACGTTTATTTTTAAATGTGCAGTTGTTCAGTCTTTCCTAGGTAACACAGGATTACAGACTGCAAATTCTCATAGCAGTCTGTAAGGGCAAGATGGGAGAAGACACGTTTTTGTAGTGCCTGGCAGCAGCTTCCCAAGCCCTTCTGACCACATGCATCAACTCACTATGGAAGGCAGCGAAATGCAAGAAATGGAGGCGTTAGCGATTTTGATGTGGGTCTCTTTCACAGCACGCGCATAGACTTGGCATATTTTTAACATTTAACGAAACAGTAGCGTCCCTTTGCCGGATGCCGGGGCAGGCACCGTCTCTCTTCCCTGTCCGGCTCTCTGCCCCTCCGAGGGCCACGTGCAATGTGTGTCGATTGAGCCACGCTGCAGCCGCGGCCCCCTGTGGCGGGGGCACACAGGTTTCCGTTTGTCGATTCTGGTCTCGCCCTGATCCTGGAAGGGAACCCCTCGGATGCGCACCCCCTGAGCCACAGGGATTTCCGGGGGCTGGGCCCACCCAGGCATCCTTCCCATAGGCCCGTATTTCATTGTCCTGCGAAGGGGGCAGCTTGGGCAGTTTTCTTCCATAAAGGAGGCTGGACATCCCAGGACACCCGCCTGGGCCCCGGGCCTGGTGGAGGAAGACGGGCTGAGAGAGCCAGGCGGTGGGTTGGTGGGTCTGGACGGGAGCTTTGCGCCCGCAGACTCGATGGCTGTGCCCGTTGCCTGGCTTCCCTCGTTCCGTACTTGCACCGCAGAGGGTGAGGCCCCCAGGGAGAAGCCGGCGCTGGGGGCGAGCGGTGCCCACGGCCCTTCCTCCTGCACAGCTCCCCCGACGCCTCTCACTCTGTGACCAGGCCAAAGCCGGACGGGCAAGGCTGGAGGCGGGGGGTGGAGTGGCCGGCTGTCCTGGGACGTGGCTCCCGAGTGCTGGTGGACATGCTGAGGACAGAGCCCGAGGTGAGCGAGGCTTGAGGGCAGCTTAAAGATTTCGCCTTCCACGTGTCCACATCCAGAAGCATGCACACCGGGCTTTATAGGAACCCTGACCAGGCCACTGACCAGTTCTGTGACCACCGCGTCGTTGCCCTCAGGTGTGCACTAAGCAGGCTGTGAGGAAGGAGGTCCCATCCCTCCCCATCCAGAGGCGGTTCCAGTGGGCGGCCGTGGGTGCACCCTCTCTCTGGCCAGCAGATGGCGGCACCCGCCCTCTGCAGTGGCTGCCGCCCAGGGAGGCGCTCGGGTCAACCCCTCCAAGCCTCTGCCTGCAGCCCCACAGCCCCAGCCCCCAGCGCTTGGACGCGTCCCACGTCCACGGCTGCCCCTTCTCCCCCACAGGAGGCTCCCGGCCCCAGATTCTCAGGAATATCGCTTGACAAGGTAGATTCTGTACAGTTCTTTTTAGGAGAAGGCAGGGGACCCATGAAATCATCGGGAGTGGAGAGGAATAGAGACGTGACGATCTATCTCTGGGGTTTTTTTTTGCCCCAACACGAGGCTTTGAACACGTCTAGGGACACCCGGAGGGCAGAGGCTCCGCCTCCAGCACTGTACCAAGTATGTGCTGAGAAAGGGGTTATGAATGAACGAGTCTCGTAAAGAACATTTTCAACGGAGGCTCTCCAGTTAATTCCCACAGGAGGCCTGAGGAGCAGGAGCCTAACATTCATCGAAGGAGTAAACTATGTGGGCCCCCGAGGAGATCAACAAAAGTTGCTTCACACCCGCGGTACCGGGTTGCACACCACGGGGACTGCGGGCACAGCGCAGGCTGCACGGCGGCTGTGGCCACCATGGGCGTGGGCCCGTGCGGCCTGCCCCTGCCTGCACCATGAGTCGCCCCCGGAGGTGAGGGAGGGCGTGGCCAGGTTTCTCTGTTGGAAACCCCCTCCCCCATGTGCAGGCTGGATTGGGGAAGGGCCCGGCCTCATAAGGGCCAGGAGGTGGTTGCGTTAAAAGCTCAGGACCAGGACGTCCTGCGTTGGGCTGCGGGCGGGGGGGCGCAGTTTCCACGGCGATCGATCTGAGCTTTGGAAGATGCAGGAGGAGGTTCAACGTAACAAGGTCGGAGGCTGGCTTTTCCAGGAGGATGCTCAGAAGCAACAACTACGTGCAGAGAGGCCCAGCCGACTCAGGATGAAGAGGCGTCCGGCGCGTGCTAAGTGGGTGACTGCATTCGCTCCCCTCTCCCTGCGCCACCCTAGCCCCAGCCATGTTGCCCTGCCGGTCCCCGGGTCGCCCACTGGTGACCGCCGGCCGCTCGCCAGGGTGCTTGGTCCCCCGCCACCAGCGCGTCTCTCTTCCCAGTTCTTCTCTGGCCCCTCCTACTGTCTCCATCCCCACAGCTGCCGAAAGCCCAGCTCTCTGTCCCGGAACACTGTGGTGCCACAGGATTACTTTACTTCTCAGTTTCAGGTCTGCAGCCTCCGCACACAGCGGGGGTTGGGGCGGGGTTGGGGGAGCCAGCTAACATGTGATCCCCATTGGTTCCGCCACCTAAAATCCTGTCGTTTGCCTTCAGGATGCCTGAGGTCTCTCGCGGGAGCGGGAAGCTCTCCAGCCCTGGCTCCCCGCCTCGCCCACTCCTGCGGCCACGTTGGCCTCACTCCCTCCCAGCCCGAGCCCGTGGGCTGGTCCTTCCAACCGGAAGGTCTTTACCGCAGCCCTTGGAGTTCCTCCCAACCGGCCTTCACAACGCTTCCGGCCCAAAGCAGCTTCTCCCTGAGCGCTGCACGGACTGGGTCCATCAGTCCATCCTCCTTATTCCCCAGCTGCCTGTCTGTGCTTCCCCTGCCAGCTGCTCTCACGTGACTGCCTGGCCCTGTTTGTTTGGGGCTGTCTCCTCTCCGTGCTCCTCAAGGGTAGAAGGCTGCACCCTCAGCTCTGTCTCCCTGGCGCTCGGCACGGGGACAAGCCTTCGGAGGCTGCGCCAGCTCCGTGTGGCTCCAGCCACGCCCGGCCCTGCGCGGTGTGAGGGACACAGCAGCTCTGCACACGCGAGTGATGGAGTGATGGAGTGCGTGCCCTCCGCCAGCCAGAGGGTGGCAGTCCCTGGGAGCACCTGGGGAGGGGCACCCCAGCCCCACCCTCCATGCCTCCGCCGTGCGAGGAGAGGGATGTGAGCGCCTGGCACACCCCTCGACACTGCGGCCATGCCCACCCCGCCCCCCCGCCGCCGCCCATCAGAGCTTCCTGTGACGAGGGCGTGGCCCCTCTTGGCGCCGTCCGCGCCTTGGGTCCCTGCTCGCACTTCACATGTGGTTAGCGTGAGCGACGATCTGATTTTAAATTTGATGTAATCTTCACAAATGTCAGTCAGGGCTGCGTGCGCCCCGTGCCGCACAATGACTGCCGCAGCCCGCAAGTGCCACCGTGGGACCAGGGAACGTGGGACAGGGCCATGTCTATGGCAGGAGCCGAGACAGCTGAGAGCGCCGAGGGGTCGAGGAGAGGTAAGACGACGTATCCGGCCGGCCAGGCTGAGCCGCTCGGACTCCTGCCCCGGCTGGGATTCCAGGCCGCTGGCGGGGCCTCGTGGGGAGCCGAGGCGAATCTGGCGCCTCGCCCGCCCTCCGGCGGCGGGGCTGCTCCCTGTGCTTGTCCCTTTGCAGAGGGTAGGAAGGGCCGCATGTTGCAGGGACTTGAACGCGTGCCGCGGCCAGGGAGGAGGCCTGAGCGTGGCCTCGGAAGAGCCACCCTCTAAAACTCGACTTGAAACAGACATACGATTCACAGCAGGAACCCGAATCTGGCACTTCCTCTGTCACAGGATGTGGAGGGACGCCCGTCCTTTCCAGCCAAGTCGCTCTGTTCCGAAGTTGCTTGTCTCCCTCGGGCTTTTCTTCTGCGGCCCCGCCTCGGTGAGCCAACGTGAGGTCACCGGCTCAGCCTCCGCTTCCAGAGCCCGGCGTGTCCTGAGGTGTCCCGTGTCGGGGGACACCCATGGCCTCAGGACACAGAGCGGGGGCCCTCGCTGGCTGCCCCGCCTGCGAGTCCCCTGGAGGTCCTACGTGCTTGGAGACCAAGGTCCTCAAGCAGGCTTCCCAGAAACGTGTCCCCCTCTGCTGGGGCCCCTCCCCGTGGCGGCTGCCGACGTGTGAAACAGAAAGGCTAGGTTTGAACTTGGGCGCATCCAGGCACGTTCTGGGCAAGCCTGGCCTGCTGCTCCGTCTGCAAGAGCAAGCCCAGGGTTTTTGCAAGATGTCCTGCATTTCTCTGGGCCTTAGTGCACACGCTAAGAGAGTCCCTACAAAATACATTTAGATTTCATGGATCTTTTTTCTAGTGGAAAGAAACTGTGGTGGAAAAGCAGAACAAAACTCTCTCTCCAAAGCCAAAGACAGCACGGAGGATGGGCCTAGATTCGTCACTCTGGGCCCTTGGAGTCCTTCCTTACCAGGGCAGGGGGCACCTCGGCCCTCAGCCGGCCGGCCTTAGCTGCGCCCTGTCCCCACGCCCACCGGTGCCGTCCCCTGAGGTTACTTCATGCCCTGGAGGGCCAAGAAACCAGGACTCTGTCCGCTGCACGCTCTGGAGCGCAAGGCTCCCAAGCTAATGTGGCAAATTGCGCCCTGCCAGGCTTCCTCTTCCCAGATGCAAGGAGATCAAAAGAAAACCCTGGCCCTTCCTCACATTCTGGAACACAAGGCCCGGAGCGGGGAAGGGACAATGGCCTTGACATCCTGTTTGCAGGCAGAACCGAAGCTGGAAGTAGCAGCTCCCAGGGGGCCTCCCCGGGGCTGAGAGATATGGGTTTCCTTCCTGGTAAATGCAGCCAAGTCCCCGGCAGGTGCCAGAGCACCCCTGGGCCTTGGCCTCCTGTCCCCAGCTGTTTTTCTTACAAACCAAGTCCCAGCCCAAGGCAGCGGCAGCTCCACCAGCTCCCTGCGGCTTCAGGAAGGATGTGAGCGGGAGCACTGGGCTCGGCGGCGGCGGCGGCGGCTGTCCCTGCCCCCGAGGACGGAGACCGCGCGTTTCCAAGGCACCAGGAAGCTTGTCCCATCCTGGGCTGCCTTTGACTCAAATTTGGCTTTTGTTTCTTTAATATTTCATAAGGGCAAACGACTATTCCAGCTCACTTGCAGCGGGCAAAAAAACAAGAGAACTGGAAACAACCTAAATACCCGGGAATTCAGAAACGGTTTCAGACACAATGGTCTGTCCACATAAGAGGAGACTCCTAGAGCGGTTAATAGCCAGTGGCCCCCTGTGCCCAGGCGTGCTATGGGGGGGACCCAAACGGCAGGGCTCCGTGACCCCATTTTTGTGTTTAAAATATGCAAGACAGCTTTGCTGGAACCCCGTTCGGATCCTGATTGGAAGAAACCATTTGTGAAACGTCATTTTTGAGACAAGGAACTTTGAGCATGAGCTCGGTATTAGACGACATGAAGGCATGGTCCGCTTACATGTGTTTTTAGCATGTTTCCATTAAGTGTGACAAGACATGGCGGTTACCTAAGAAAATGCCCGCCCTTTGGAAGATGCGCGCCGGAGGACGGCAGCCGGGCGCGGCCACGGCTCGGGGGCTGGCGCTGAAATGACGCAGAAAAGAGGAAGAAGACAAAACGAAGGGATGAGGAAGGCATCGAAGACGGGTGTGTAGAGGGTGACTGTATTTCCCTGTTCTTTTGTGCGCGTTTAACATGCTTTATAATAACAGATCTTGAATAAACCGAGAAAAAGTGGGGGGAAGGGCGCCGTAAAGCAGACGGTCCAGCGCTGACACCACCTGGCTCTCCCGTCCCTCCGCCCGCCCGCCCGCACGGCAGTCACCCCGAGGCCTCCAAGGCGAGCCGGCCCCGAGGGGCAGAAGCCACCCTCAGAAGTGGCAGGGGAGCAGTTGGCAGCACGGTCGCTGCAGGAGGAGGAAACTCCCTCTGGGTGGCTGCAACGTGGGAGGGAGGGCCCCCGCGGAGCCCAGGACTGCGGCCCCTGCCTCCGTGGGTGCAGTCACGTGAGCCCGCTCCCCTGGGGGCCCTGCCGGCTGTCACCCTTTCTCTCCCCGACGAGAAAGTTACACAGACCAGGAGCTCATCCTGAAAGCACAGCAATTCATACAGTTAACACGTTGCTGGGAAACGTCAGTGAGTTATTAGTAAGACGCTGCCGGTGACACAGCTCTCAATGGATGAAGCACCGCAAGGCCTTCTGGCCTGAGAACAAGGCCCGCGGGCCCTGTGTCTCTACCACCCACACAATCCCCTCCCTTCCCCCACCCCATGCACAGGGAGGAACCGCAGGCAGGCACCTGCCCGCCCGCTTGTGTCTATCAGGAAGCGAGGCCCCTCTCTGTGCGGGGAGGGGTGCAGAGCAAGCCCTCGGGCACCAGCCGGGCCTCCCGGCAAGGCACACACCCTGAGCCCAACACCGTCTTCCTGAAAGCCGGCCTGAGATCAGTGCCGGCGTTGACGCGGTGCCGTGGAGAGCAAGAAGCGCCGAGTGCCGACACCGAGTGTTGAGTGGTGACGAAGACGCCTTCTGCCACCCCCACTCTGTGGCAAGCTCCCGGGGGGTGCTTACTGGTTCACTGTTTCCTTCTGCTCAGCCCCGGGGCTGACCCATCCAGCCGGCCACTTGGGCTGGGCTCCTGCGAGGCGCCAGCCAGCGACCGTGCGCTCTTCGCACGAGGCCGGCGCGGGGAACCGAGGAGCCGGCGCAGCCTCTTGGTGCTTCTGTTCTAGGAGGGGACGCAGACAAGCGTGTGCATCGGTAGACAGGAGACAAAGAGGGCGGGGGTGAGGGTCGAGGGACAGAGGGGAGGGGGTGAGGCTGCTCTTCTTCAGATCACAAGGTACCTCTGAGGGGGCGACGCTGGGACAGAGACTGAAAGGAAGTCGGGGAGCAAACCGGCAAATCTGTGCAGAGCGCAAGCTGCGGCGGAGGCGCGGGTGTGAGCGACGGGCCCGTGGCGGGCACGCGGGGCTGAGGAAGGGGCGGTTAGCGCTTTCCCTACTAATTCCAAATGAGCACGCAACACAATCCCGTCACTGAAAAAGATGTATTAAAATACTCACAAAAGTACAACAATTGGAAAAGAAAACAAAGAATAACGGACGCGATGGTTTTCTCTAGCTGGACCCGGGCCGCGGAACGGCTGCCGAGCGTCTGGCAGTGAATCTCTACGTCATCCCTTTCAGCTGCTGCCTCATGAAACTCGCGTGGACTTGAAGAGGTCTCGTTCTGCCGATAAGACGACGAGGAAAGGACTCTTCCATTTAGAAGCAACCCCACGGTTGCCACCTGTGGCCAGGGGCAGGACCTCGGGGACACAGGAGGAAGGGCCCCAAGACCCACAGCAGGTGGTGCCCCTGAGGAGGAAGCGCTACCCAGCGTGAGCCACTCCCTCCGAGGGCCAGGGCCGGCGGCTGGGGCCGGCCGGCTGGGGGGCCCTTTGCCAAGTGCTGACCCACGGGGGGACTCAGAGGGGCTGGCTGGGCGGGGAGGTCACACGTCGTCCGGCAGGAGGCGGCAAGGGGAACTGAGGGCAGAGGCCAGGCCGCCGGTGTGGGTGTTGAGGGCGTGCAGGTGGGCGGGGGCTCTGGGGGCAGCTCCGGTCCCCGCCGCGAACGGAGCAGCGGGGCCTTGCTGTCAAGGGGCACCAGAACCGTGCAGTTTACTCACAGGGCCTGGGGGGAGGAGGAAAGGGAGACTGCCGCCCCTCCCCGTCCCTGTCAGAAGCGGCTGTCAGGAAGCATCGCACGGACACCGCGCGGCCAGGCGTGCCCTTTCCGCGTTAAAGACAAAGGCCCACCAAGGAGCTCTCTGCGTCCGGCTGGAGAGGAGAGACCGTCCCGCGTCCCGCCCTTCCCTCCCCAACACACACGGCTCCTGTCTTAAACCTGGATGCAGGAAGCTTTAGGGGGCAAGGGGGACCGGATGGGGACCCGTGCGGACACGCCTCGGGACAAGCGCTGCGCCTCCCTCGCTGGCGCTGGGCCCTGAGCCAGGCGGAGGCCGCGGGGCCGGCGGCCTTCCCTCGTGCCACACACAGCCCACGGCGGCCAGTCCCCAGCTGCAGGACACGGTGCGGAGCGTGATTACAAAGCCCTTCCCTGTTTACGTTCGCACAGAGGGAGTGTGGCCGGACGTCAGGGGAAGCAGCAGCAGCTCCGCAGAAAGCTCTAGACCATGTGTCGGCGGAGAGTGTGGAAGCTCCTACACCCTTTTCTACTTTATCACCTCATGGCTGCCTGAGCTTCTGGTCCTGCTTCACCCCCTTAACGGTCTCTTGGAACTTGGCCTTGAAACTCCCCCGTGGGCGGCAGGCGCTGGGAAGGAACAGGAAGCGGCTCGTGGGGGACCTCCAAACCGAGGGGGAGAAAAACGAACCGTCCCACGTACCCAGACGCACCCCGCGGCCTCCCCGGACCTGGGGGCTTTCGGGGCATTTTAAATTAAAACAGTTCTTTTAATACAAAGTAGTCCAGCAAATGGAGGAATGACCAGTATAAATAAGTGTTTAATGATCTCACTTTGCTTTTCCTTCCCAGTAAAAAGAGAAATTTCCGGTTTGAGATGGGGTGGGGGTTGCCGATGGGGCAACTCGAGTTATCGGGAAGGGCGCCCCAACTGTCTAGGGAGTTCCTCACCTCAGCATTCATCGTTTCCATCCGTGGGGAAAACGTGGAGAACGAACAAACAAAACAAACAAGCAGGGAGAGAGAAGATTCCCAAAGGAGCAGTACGGACTCTACTTGCTCATCTAAAAATGGAGCCGGTCTCTAGCCTCAGGGGCTCCTGAGGCTGCACGCAGCTAAGACTGGAGCTTGGAAAAGAGGACAAATCGCTAGGGGGGGCCACTAGGCACCGAGGAAGACGTGACCTCAAGATGCGACCTCCGGCCGCTGCCTGCACCACCCTTGCTGTGGTGAGTGCACCCGCGGACGAGGGAGGGGAGAGATGTTCAAGTCTGAGTGCGCAACATAGAACGCAAAAATGCCCTGTGTTTCGGAGAGAACAAACACCAACAAAAGCTGCTCAAATCGTCCCCAAGTGGCATAGCTAATGGGCATTTCCTAAACACTACAACCAAACAGGCAGAGCGGGCAGTGGGGGATGGGCCACTCGTAGTGTCTTCCCCCTCCTCCCGCGGGAACAGCTAAGACTGGTTCAGCCCTTGGGTAAGAGGGCCATGTCTATCGGGCCACGAAAAGGTCGCCATGTCCCCAAGGGGGCAAACCCTACCTAAATGGCAGAGACAGGAATGCTGCTGAACTTCCCCAACTGTACACGACCCTGAACGCGAAAAAGTCCAAAAAACAGGCAGACAGTTTACATTTATGTAGACTCGCACCATCTCTTCATCATGCACCACTGGCTCCTTGCATCAGAAGATTAAATAGAGTATTTACACACGTCCTGTGTACACGCCGTGCGCCCCCGTGTGCTTGTGCTTGTCCGGGGCCACGCGTGGCTACGGGCTACGTTTCTGCAGGACAGTCCAGTTCGACTCTGTCTCGTGGTCAGGATGGGACCTGGGGCTCCGCTCAGTTCTTCCGGATGTCCGCGTACACCACGGACTCCGACTTGTTGATCCTGTCGCTGTGCTGGCCGCCGGAGTGGTCTAGCTGCGCATAAATGACTGGGCCCTGGGGAGAGAGAAGCGAGTTAGACGTTTGGAGACCTGGCGGCCCCGTCGGGCGTGTGGGTAGAGGCCATAGTTACGGCGACCGCGTCGGGGCTCCAGAGCGAGACTTCTCTTTAGGAAGCTTTCAGGAGGGCTTCTTGGGAACCCTCCGTCCGGGACTGACGTGCAAACAGGATTGTCAGTAACTGCGAAATTTCCATTCGGAAATTTCGGTAACAACGCCGCATTCCTTCTCAGGAAATTATCCTTATCTTAAAATACCTGTCGCGGAGCGCCTCACCCCTCGAAACTGGGGTCAGCATCTTAGGGAGGAAGCTGGGCACTGGTGCCCACCTGAGACCCACTGGGACAGGAGCTCCAGAGTGGCGCCCCCAAGGAGCCACCGTCTCCGCTGCCACCCAAAGACACAGTCTGAACGGGCCGCTTCACACAGACAGGTACTTGAAAAGATATCAAATACTCTTCCACGTACCTACTTACAGCATGATTCTCCCAGTCTGATCCTGTCATAACTAATGAAAGTATTGCTTCTCTGATCTCTAAGATCACGTCACAGGCTCTGTGGACCTCGGAGAGAAACCCTGGACGGACCGGAGTGGAGAGGCCAGGAACCGTTGCCACGCGCCGTGCGGGGGCCGGGGCAGCCGCCGGGCTGCCTGTGGCGGGGGGGGGGGCGGAGGGGTAATGGGGGGGCGGAGGTTCAGGGGAGGCCGGGGATTCAGATGTCTGACACGTGGCCACACGTCGCGACCTTACAGTCCCAGAGACTCTAAAATTATAAACGGCAGCAAGAAAAAGAAAGCGGCCGTGGTTTCAGAAGACAAGTTCTAACAGCCCAAGCCGCCATTTCTGCCGGTGACGGCTGATGCTGTGCTGAGCGCTCAGCTCGGAAATCGCCAGCTCAGCGGCTGGGAGCCTGTGGTTTAAAACCAAGGTCCTTCCTGGGAGGAGCCCCAGGGCCCCGTCCTTCGGTGTGTGAGGTGGGAGGGACCCTGCGGGGCCCAGGCACCCCGGCTCCTGCGGGGCGGCCCGCCCGGCCTGGGGGGCTCTGCACTGGACCACCAAGCCTGGAGCTGTAAATAGAGCAGCGCCCGGGGCTCGCCCGGGAGAGGCCGCCGCGTGCAGCCTGAACTCAAGGGACAGCTTCCTGGGCAGCCCGGAGGCTGCCGGGGGCCTGCTGAGTGAGCCTCTGAGATGGCAGCCGATAGTGGTGCTACAGCGCGTAGGGTTGTCGTCAGAACGCGGTGAGGTGCACTCGATAAATAAAGTGCCATCGACATCCTGTCATGTAAATATACTCCAAATGCACCGAGGTAACCAATTGAGGAAAGCAAGTAGCCAAGCTCCGTGCTCGCCTTTGGTGTGTAGGGGACGGATGCGCGTTTGCCTGTCACGGCAATGTCACCTCGCGCTGTTCGTAGTGAATGGGAGACCCTCTCTACGCATCTCAGAATGCTGATCCGAAAGGAAAAGACACTTAAAATAAAACAGCTGTGTCCGACTACAGTTGACCCTTGAACAACACAGGTCTGTACCGCGTGGGTCTGCTCTATGAACATTTTTTTTCAATAAATATATTGGAAAGACTTTTCTTGAGATTTGCAATGATTTGAAAAAAAACAAACAAACCCCAGATGAACTGCGTAGCCTAGAAAGTATCAAAAACATTAAGAAAAAGGTACGTCATGAATGCATGAGTATGTGTAGGTACTAGTCTAGTCTGTCATTTACTAGCATAAAACATACACAACAAAATATAGCCGACCTGAAATCGTGACGTTACGGGGGAATCAAAAGCGATCCGTGAATTTTCCCCTGCACCGAGCGTCGGAGCCCCGACCCCGCGACCCCCACCTACGCAGTTCAAGGGTCAACTGCACTGGGACCAGGATGAACCAAAGTGTTCCCTAGTTAACTGACCTCTGGTCACAGTCACTTCCAAGAACAGGACAGGCCCTGAAATTAAGTTACGTAACTTCCTGGACAACAGCGCCCCTGTCATCATTCATAGGGACTCACAGGAGCGTCAGGGCGCGTTCGTGGGACAGGGAGCGTATCCCCTGAGACAGGCCGGTCAAAAGCCTGCAGGCCCGTTCTCCAGGCCGACCTGGGCTTACATTACAGATGCTGGAAAATGGCAAAAAACAGACACAACGGTTGAAGGACTCCTTGTGTCCTCCAGAAAACGCTGGAGTGCGGGCTGGCGGGGCCCGGGGAGCGCCTGGGGGAGGCGGCAGACACAGCGAAGTGGGGCGCCGGCCCCGAAAACGGGTGCGGGTGGGCAAGTTTGCGTATTGAACGGCGTGCCCCCGTCACCCGGCTGCCCAGCCCCCTCTGGAGAAACCAGCCAGCCCCTGAGAAAGGACCCTCAGCCAGAGAAGGGTCCCCCAGGGACGCCAGCCAGCGGCTCCGACGATCAGGGCGGCCACGGCCGAGGGGGTGCTGTCTCCGTACAAGGAGCTCCCACCAGGGCTGGGGGCCTTCGTGGGAACGGAGAACCGGGGGTCGCGGGCATTGGAGAAAGCTTCTCACGCGAGACAAAGAAGTTATAAGAGAAAAGGGGAATTCAAGAGAAACCGAGCAAAACCAAGTGTCCGAAGAAAACTTTAAAAAACGCATCTCGCAATACGAGAAAAAACGATATGCTCCAAGAGATGCGACCTTGCACCCATGAAGACAAAGGCAGGATATGACAACCGGAGAGGGGGAAATCGCTCTCGCGGGTGTGACGGAGCGGGGCCCAGCGCTCGCGGTGGCCCCAGGCGTGCGTCCTGCCATCTGCGCCCGCGTGCTGGGCGCGTCGCTCTTCCTGCCTGTTTTCTCAAGAGGCAGGAATGGAAGTGGCGCTTTCTCCGCCCCCGGTTCCCAGACGTGGTCTGAGGCAAGACGGCGGGCGAGACCAGTGCAGGGGGCCTTCACGCGCCACCTCACTCCTTCCGCCCATCACAGCACGGAAAGCAGCTACACCTGGATTTTCCCAAACGACTGGTGTTTCCTCAAAGTCTTCCTTAACCTCTGGGAGAAGCAGCTGCCGCTGAGTAGGGCCCGGTATAGGAGCTGCTTTCTTTCCATCTCCCTCCCCCTAATATAAAAATACAGATTTTTTTTTGTGGTCTCCCCCCGAAATAGAAATAGCTCTTGGGGTGGGGGGAAAGACAGCAGATATTAAATACTCAATAAAAGTTGGAGAAATTGTCTAGAAAGGACAAAAGGAGCAAAACAGAAACAAATGAAAAAACTAGAGAATTGATCTAGGACATGGTCCGATTCCTATGAGGAATTTAAACAAGAGAGAAAATGAAAGGAGGAAAACTTCCGAAGAAAAATGGAAGAAAATATCCTAAAACTGAAGGATGTAGTTTTCAGATTTAAAGAACTCACTGAGCCCTGGCTGGTGTGGCTCAGTGGATTGTGCGCCGGCCTGCAAACCAAAGGGTCGCCAGTTTGGTTCCCAGGCGGGGCACAGGCCTGGGTTGCGGGCCAGGTCCCCAGGAAGGGGCGTGCAAGAGGCAACCACCCAGTGATGTTTCTCACCTTCTCTTTCTCCCTCCCTTCCCCTCTCTAAGAAAACAACAACAACAACAACAACAACAACAAAAAAACAACAACACTGAGTAGCCAGCACAATGAGTTAAAAAAAAATTCCACAATTTTATGAGATTTCACAACATGAGGAATAAGAACCATTAGAAGAAAAAGACGGGAAAACCGTCCCCTTGGGCAGGAGGAATGGCAGCCACTTGGCACTGGAAGCAGGAAGAGCCAGCAATGCCTCAAATGCTGCAGGGAAAGGATTTCCAGCCTGGACCCCGAGCCGGCCAGACTCTCACCCGAGCTCGAGGGGGGAGGAAGCAACCTCAGATGTGCTGACAGCAGGTGTCCTACCTTGCAGTGCCCGGGGCGGAGGTCTGCAACCCGCCTCCTGGGGCTGAAATCGAGGCTCCCGCTGGGGCTGAGGGGACAACTTGCTTCCCGGCCTTCCCAGTGGCTGCCGCATCCCGAAGCGCGGACGCGGCCTCCACCCGCAAAGCCAGAGGCCTGTCCTCTTCAAACCTCTCGGATTCTGACCCTGTGGCTTCCCTGTGGTCCCACCAGGCCCACACAGACCATTCAGAAGACTGTCCCCACCTCAAGACCCTTAGCTGAGCTGCAAGGTCCCCTTTGACCAGCGAGGTCACATACCCCACGGGATCCAAGGGCAAGGATGTGGACATCTTTTGAGGTCATTATTCTGCCTCAAAGTTTTGTCTCCCTTTCTCAAGAAGTTACAAAGGACGTGTTCCGCTGCAATGCGGCAATGCACTGAACAGGTGAAGACTTGCGGCCCAAAGGCAGAGGGGTAAAGAAGAGCTCTTGGAAGAGGGGCGCAGGAAGGCTGCTACCCGCCAGCGCGAAGCACTTCAGAGCCAGAAATGCCGGCAGGCGTGGCTCCAGGAATCAAGCGCCACCTGCAACAGACGGGCCGTGCTGGCGTGTGCCCAGGTGCCTTACTTGGAGAGTTTTGAGATGGAACGCAAATACGTACTTAGCAAACAAATAAAATAAGGCAAACATTAGCTCCATAAACACAAGAAACGTGTACGGGAAAGCAAATGGATGTGGTACAATGGTGAGAAAGAACAGGTACACGCCACACTGAAAACCAGCTCCCTAAACACAGCAAAGTAGGCCGACTGGGAAGAGGCGTGCGTGCACAGGGCCGTAGGCGAGCGCTGGGAGGGAGGGCTGGGGGAAGGGAGAGCTGAATTCTCACTTCCCTAACACGGAGGCAATAAGTAACATGAAAAATCTAGAAAAAGAAATATAATATGAAGGTAAATACCAGAAGAAATGGCTGAAAGAATTGAAAGCGTTTGGCTTTTATTTCTTCAAATTTTTTTCCTCCTTCCTTCTCAGACCCCAGCCGGGCTGCTTGGAAGGCCGGCCCTACCGGCGACAGCCGCAGCCGTCCAGCCCACCGCAGCGCTGACCGCCGCGCCAGGGGCGTGCCAGGTAGCAAGTACCAGCTGCTTCTCCTTGGGCCTGGCTGCAAGGAGAAATCCGCACCCCTCCCTGTCAAGCCTACCATCATTCAGTTATATGCTGACTTTCAATTTCTTCTAAAGAATTCATACAAAATAATTTTTCTGTTTTATTGCCAATACCAAGATCAGCCTTTTCTCGCTGATTCCTTGTTATGTGACGCACCCCGGTAGGGAACGCAATTCAGACTGGGTTTATGTCCCTGAGCAATTAAAGAAGACTCTGTCACATCAGAGGAAGCCACCTTCTGAAGCCCCAGTGGCCTTACCCGGGAGCCACGCCTGGGTAAATGCTCCAGGAGAGGCGCTTTACTCGGGACGGAGTTTTCTGCGCACGTTGGCGTGGCGTCCTCCTAAATCCCTTTCTGTGCCCATCTGTCTGTCTGTCCGTCCGCTACTCTGTCCCAGGGGCACGGCTCAGCACTCTCCCCCGCGCCCGGGGCAGTGGCCGTGCCCAGCCACAGAGCGCAGCCCCGGGGCGGTCACCCGTTACCTGGTGCGATCCTGAAGGCAGGCTCTTTACTAGTCCCTCTGTGTCGGAGGGGGACTTCCGCGGAGCCTGCTTAACCGGTGACACACTCTCTGAGGAGCTGCAGCTGATTGGTTGGCAGTGTGGAGAACAAATGTAAAAAAAAAATGGTTTTCAATATATGGAAACGAAAATAGAGAAAAGCAATGATGACAAGGTGAAGGAGCAGATGCATAAGAACAAAACGCAACAAAACAACGGTATCAAAACAAGCACGTCTCGTGACACTTGACCCCTGGTGCTTGTTGTCCCAGGTTAATGGAGCTGCTACGGGGACATGTGAGCCCTTTGCCCAGTTCCAATGATATCTCCTGGCTACGCTGGACGTGTGTGCTTGGTGCGGGGCCTTTCCCCGGCCGCCAGCCCGCCCGAGGGGTAAAGGCTTAGCGGGGCAAGCTACGCCTCCTTAGAGGCGACGCACTCGTGTGACCACCGAAGGCGAATCTCCTCTGAGTGCCTCTCAGCAACCACTGCGCCCACCCAGGCTCCTCCCATTCCTTCCACTCCCTGCTTCCCCGTGTTCTGTGTTCCCACCAGTGACCAAACCAGGAACCCGGGGAGGCGGGAATGACAAGGGGCTGGAACGCCAGGTCCCTCGGGCTGAGCTTCCTCCGGTCATGAGCCCGATGTCACAAATAAATCCAGGACCGGGGGTACGGTGCCAGGGATTCCCCAGGGGATGTGTCATGGTGGAGCCTAGGGCGTGGGGAGGGTCCCCGTTAAGGAGTCCCGGCTAGGACTGAAGCACACGCTATCTGTGCCTTCTCTGCGGTGGGGGGTTAAATGACCCGAACCGGGACGGTTTGGCTTTTCTAACACAATGAGGGTCTCGGTCATTGATAACACAATTCACATATATTAAAAAAAAAAGAAAAGAAAAGAAAAGAAAAGAAAAGAAAACCAAAACACACATACAAAGGCGTTTTACATGGGAACATACACAACCAGGTGCTTGTGGCCTCTGTGTCGCCTGACAGCCCCGCCTCCCCCAGGCGGTGTGCTCGATGGGTTTCTAACACACACGCGGGACGCACTGGCGGACGGACCACGCGGGCTGTTGGGTTAGCTCAGAGCTAGCTGGTTAGCGGCCAACCCGGGGGGCACGGGCGGAACACACACATGAAGATGAACAGCAACGGGCAACGGGATTAGTTACCATGTGTCTAGTGGGGGTGGAAGGAGACCCAGCCCTGCTACAGTCCCAGTGTGTCGTCTATGTCAGCGTCTCTCAACAAGTGGAAGAGAAGCAGGATCTGATCCCGGCACACCGAGGCAGGATGGCAGGGAGGGAGAAAACAGAGTAAGAACAGCAGCACCCCAACGCCGTGCAGGGGTCTAAGGCTCTCGATTAACCCAGAAGCAAGAGCTGCAGCGCCCGGCGTGTCTCCACCCTGGATTAGTCTCACGCTGAACACCAGCACACCAGTTATGGGCCATCCAAAAACACCATGCAAGATCAGAGGCATTCCGAGCGAGTAATGTCTGGCCGTGAACACTCACACGCGTTCAGACACAGCACTCCTGCTAAAAACTAGAACCGCAGAGCCCCGAGAGAGAGTGTGGGGGAGGGGGGGACCCGCCGTCCACCAGCCAGGCACCCGGCATGCAAGCCTCAGAGCGCAGTCCCCGCGGGGCGCTGAAGGGCAGCGTGGCCCCGAAGGGCAGCGTGGCCCCGCCCCTGGCCTCGGAGCCGGCCTGCGCTCTGCCCTCCCCCGGGAGCCCTGCACAGCGCGTGTGGGCTGGCTGTCCAGCCGGAGCGGGGCAAAGGAAGGTCCTGCAGCCAGACGCAGCCCGGCTCAGGCGTGCTGTCTTTGAGAAGGCATGGATGAAAAGGTCAGCCTCCCTTTACTGCATGCAGGTAGATGTTGGGGTTCAACCCTTGTCACCCCCATGTAGATGGGTCCCGCCATGCATTCAAGAAAGATCAAAGCAATCCAACTGTCAACCAAACTAAAAAAAGAGAGACCCCTGTGTCATTACCTCGGGGGGGAGGGGCATCTGTTACACAACTCTCCATGGTTCGTTTTATATTTGCCTAACTGAGAAGAACCTTATGAGGTTATTGCCAGGGGGTGACAATTAAACTCAAACTGGGTAAGTGGTGTCGGGGGCTTCAGTACCGCGTGGTGGAAGGGGCGGTATCATGGCCGGAGCCCCGGCTGCCGAGCGGCAGCGGCGGCCCCACACCAGGGGCAGAGCCCGTGAGCCGGGGACCCCTGGCACATCCTGATTCCCCGGCAGGCCATTGGCGTCTGCTTGCCTGCGTATGCTCACCTCCTGCACAGACGCCCTGACTCCGGCAGGAAAGCAAACAGTAGCTGACTCTCCACAATTCTTTTTCCATAAAAAATACAGGAGTTTTTATAAACCCCTCCTGCCGCGTCCCCAGCAGCGGAGTTTCTCACCCAGTGTAGTCCCGCTTGGCGTTTTTCCTTCGGTAGAGGACAGCCAGGATCACGCTGGTGAGCAGGGTGAGACCCACGATCACCGCCGTCACTATGCCCACCACCACCCAGACCGGGAACACGGGCAAAGACACTGCGGAGAAAGAACAAAGTTGCGTTAAGGTCCAGTGTGACCCAGAGAAGAAGTGGGGTTTAAGACGTAAATAAGCAAGTGCCTTCCTTTAACGGTTATCGTACCCTCTGCCATTGTCCAGGTGTGAGGCCTCAGTATCTAAGTAATGACATAGGAATCATCGTAGCGGATCAAGAACGAGATACAATGGGCTAAGCCTTCCTACACACACCGTCCCTCTCGATGTGCAAACCCCCTCCCCGCCAAAAAAAAATAAAAACAAAAACAGGATGTGAAATCACCGCCATCTCCCGGCCAACAAAGCAGCCGATCTCCGAATGAGACCCCAGAACCGGCGCTCCTGCTTCTCCTCCAAAACGGGAAGGAACAGCTGTCGCGTTTTTGCAAATGTTAAAACTTTCTCTCAGAGAACAAGGAAACAGTACCCCACCCCCACCCTGGCCCTCGCCGCTCAGAGGCTGGCTGCTCGGCTGGCTGCCGTGCGCGGCGGACCCCGACCCCCAGACCCCCAGACCCCAAACCCGGGGCGCATCGGGGCGAAGCGCTCCTTTCACACACACCCTGAAATGCACGTCTTGTTTTTCACCCTGACACGCGGCAGCAAAGGGGGCCCGGCCAGCTGTTCCCATGTAGGTGCCCGAAAGTACCTTTCTCCACCACGTAGAGCCGGATGTGCCCTGGCTGGGCGACGATGTCGGGGGGGTTTTTGACGTCGCAGATGTAGGTGCCGTTGTGGATGAACTGCATGTTTTCGATGCTGATGGAGGCGTCCTTCTTGTCCAGGTCTCCAGCCCAGCTGATCCTGTCCTTGAAGGGCGGGTTATTCCCCATGTACTCCCGCCCCTGGGAGTAGTGGAAGAACTGCAACCAGGAAAACAGGGCGCATGAGCCCGTTGCGAAGGCAGAGGTGCCAGCGCTGTGCCGCGCGTGCTGCGGGGCGCTCTTCACACAGACTTCCTGCGGGGACACACCCGTCACCTCGGGGGTCCCGCGTGGAATCTAAGCCAGGCCGCGCTCTGGGGATCACGGGGCTCAGTCCTGTTTCAGCTGAAAAAACACCCTCGGATGTCATCGCGCCTCCTCTCGATATCCCAGTGACAGAGCGAGTGACACCCACATTTTTATAAATGAGAAAACGGAGACTCAAAGAAGCCGCTGGCCCCGTCATAACCACCTTCCAAGCCCGCGCTCCTAGGACGTCCCCATGAACGCGAAGAGTTCCGTCTGAACCGGAAGTTCCCCGTTAGGATGCAGAAAGCGGCCTGACTGTCGAGATCGGCGAATGCGATGGGGCTTCCCCGTCTCACTTACTGGTTCCCCGCAGGACGAAGGAACAAAGCCCAGACAACCCGAAATGTTCGCGCCCGCCTTGGAAGGTTCAGCCTTCAGCCCCTTTCTTTTCTACTCTCACTCCTATTTTGCAAAGTAACTTTTTGCCAAACCCAGTGCCTGGGAGGCGAGGCGGGCGAGGCCGGCGGGCGGATGGGCTCCAACGGCTCAGCTGGGGGCTTGCTGCCGTCACCGTCCCGGGCAGGGTGGCAGCGGGGCGGAAATCTGCACCCGGGTCCCCCTGGCAGTCCAACCAGAGCGCTTTGGGCACCTGAGCACATGGACACCCCTGTGCCATATGCTGACCCCGTGCTCGTTCTCCCCCTGCCGCGACCCCGAGCCCTAGGACCTCACCCAGCGGCCACGCGGGGGCCCCGCCCTCCAGCCTGCCACCCCTCCCGTGAACATCTCCTACCTGGGGGCCCACCTTGACTGGCGCCTACATGCACACAGCGTGGAGTGACCCTTGGTTCCTCTGCCTTCCTTCCCACCCAACGAACCTCCCAGCCTTGTTGGTTCGACTGCCACAGGCTCTCTCTCCTTTGTTGGGTTCCCACTGATAATGCTGGGTTTACACGCTCACTGTCCTGGACTTGGCCTCTTGCTGGGTCTCAGGCTCCTCTAACCTGCCCCTCCCAATGCCTAAGTGACCACGGAAAACAACGTCGATGATCATAGCCATTTAAAATATATACCCCGTGCTCGCTATGACCTCATGCCTGCTCAGAGCCGTGAAGGCTCACGCTTTGCCCTCCTGGCAGGTCGGTTTCAGGTTCACAGGTGCGGGCGGAAGCCGTGACTCCTGTAAAGGCTTTGTTCCTGGGAAGACGTGGAGTCCAAGGACCTTATTACTCAGGACACAGTAAGTAGCATGTTATCCTCTGTGGCCCTTGCCCCCCAAGTCTGCAGGGATGGCCTGGGGCGGCTCAGGTGGATGCTGGTCCTCAGCGGCTTCGATTACAGTTAAGGAGCCCCGAGCCTGGGGAACCCAAATCTTTTATAATGGGCAGTAAGTCCATGTGACCGCTGCCCTACAGGGACACATTCCCTCTCCTGTCCGGGACAGTAAGCAAATCTGTCCTCTGCTCCAGAGACACCGTCTCTGACTTCCTAGGCTAGCGCCACTTATGAGAAAGGCAGCCTGTGCTCCTGCGGGCCAGATGTGCAGAAACGTGAGACACCTGCGGAAGGCGTGCCCCCACGGCCCCGCCGGGTGAGACTCACCTGCCAGGTACTCCCGCAGGACAAAGGGAGGCTCAGAAATTTAGTGACTCGCTCAAGATGACAGGTCATAGTCCCACTTTAACCTCGTGACACCCCCTGTGGGAAGTTCTGTCACCTCCCTCTCGCGGGAGAGTCAGGACCGTCAGGCCCCGCTTAACGAGCGCCCCGTGTCCCCGGCGCATCTAGTCGTTGACTAGCCTTCCTTTCGACCCTCCGGCCTGCGTTCCTGTTCCGCCACTCACCTCGGTGCGACGTCATCGACGTGCCACTCTTACTCCTAAGTACTCCCTGAGGGGGAACACGGATTGTTTTCCACGTCTCTGAAGACCTTACAGACCCCACAGGGAGCCCCCAAGGAACCAGGTGGGCCAGAATATGACTCAAGGAACCGATCATTAAATCAGGAGGACTGTGTGTGTGTGTGTATGCGTGCGCGCGCGCGTAAAGAAATGCCAATAAAAATGGGGCAAATGGGAGCTCGGCGGACGCAGGATGAACCGTGATGAGCGGCAACAAGGTCAGGTTGGGGTGCTCTGTGGGGAAGACACATTTCACAACGGGCCGTGACGGTGGGGGGCACGGGGGGGCGGGAGGGCGGCGCACGACGGCGCCCCCCAAAGACGAGACAACAGGCTGCCTTTAAGGGAAGCTGAGCTGATTTTTTTCCCTGGATGGTCTGGAACAAGAGAAGGGCCCGGCAGTCTAACAGATGACAAACACACTCATTGTGGGAGTGACCGATCGCAAGGACCGGTCACCAATCACACTGCAGCAGAGAGGACCCCGCGCGGCGGACACTCGGGTTCTCCTACCGACATGGAGGTGTCGGTCCCCTCCGGCTGGAAGCTCCAGGAGACTGTGGTCAGCATGCCGGTGGTGTTCACGGACTTGAACGTGCACGTCAGCTTGCCTTGGGTCCCGTTGGCCACGTACATTTCTTTCGGGGTGTACACCTCCAAGGCCGACACGCCAGCAGTGACTGGGGAGACAGGGGCAGGGAGGCTTAGGAGTGGGATTTAGCCCGAGCGCCGCGGAGCGCGTTTGTCAGAGAAGACTCGCTCACAGGCGCAAGGAAACCGCAAGACACACACAGTAATCCGCTGCCATTGCGCAGGTACTTCCTACAAACAGGATCCAAGGCCGGCGGGCTGGGCTCGTTCGGTTTTTGTGTTTTAGTGCCAAGGCGCTTTTCCTAGTGCTATAGTTTATCCACTCCATCCCCACTGAAGGACATCCCCGCTGCTTCTCTGATGGTCTGGTTTTGGTGATGGGGAGGCCCCTGTTTTACTTCTTTAAATAGTCCTCACATTCACCCGTTCCATGTCAGTGACTAGCACCCGGAGCTTTTCTCATCTTCCCTATTTAGAGCAATTATAACTATTCTAGTTAGACAATGTATCACTTGAAAGCTGCGCTTATTATTGCACCGACGCTTTTCCTACAAAGGATTTAAAGCAAAGAAAATTGCACAACATGTCACGCTGTCATTAGTGAAAGCATCCAGCCCGCGTGACTTCAGCGTGCTGGGCACAGGCACGCTCGAAAGACGGTGGGCCCCACCGGGCCACGCTCTCATTCATTCGCCCAGCTTTCCAGTTCGTCTAAGCCCAGGAACTAGTATTCAGACTCTCTACCGCTTGGAATACAAAAATAGCTCTTGTTCCCAAAATCTATAATCAGAGGCAACGAAAGGAATTACTCAGGATTACCGCTAAAATTATCTTCACTCAAAAAGAGACACTTTCACGGATGCGGTGAAGGTCAGATAGAAACTGGCCTAGAACTGGAAACAAGGAGAACACATACAGAAGAGATTAAAAACGCCCACGGTCAAAAGGAGATATTTTAAAAAGAAAGCGTTGAGAGAGAGTCCCTATCTGTCGTGTTCCAACGAGTCTTAGAATGTCACAGATGAGCAGAATAAGGGGGGACATTGTGCCCGGGCACTGAGGGGCGTATTCAGGATTTCTCCTTCCGGAGGCCTGAACTCGGACGGCGGGCCAAGGGGAACAAGGGGTCCCCCCCCCGCCTCCTGACCACCTTCCAAATGTTGGTTCGCGGGACACAGAGGGCACTTGTGGCGATTCTTTTAAATAAACTGATAGCCACACTGCCTCAGGCAGATTTTTTTCTGCTAAAGAGGGTGGATTATTATTATAGGGAACAATGGATTATTATTTGTGGTCCAAACCTCAAAACAAGCCCTTCTTTTACACAAGGAGCAAACAAAAGGCGTTCCTTGCTATTGTGGGCAGATAGAAAGGCGGCCCCGGGGCACCCGGGTTCAAACGGGAGGCCAGAGCACAGGCCGCACCATCTGACCCCTCATTCCAGGAAGCCGCGCGGCTGGGGAACCCCAACTGTGTGACTGCGACCCGCGGTGTCCACGGGGGCAGGGGGCAGGGCGGGTGCGCGCTGCAAGGAAGAGCCGGCCCTGAACGTCAACGGCGAGGGCTCTCCAGGGTTTTCCCACAGCCCATCCCGGCCCCAAGACCAGGCGCAAGACGGGCGCCCTGCAGCGGGACGAACAGACGCAGTGAGGCTGAGTGTCTCAGTTCCCAGCCAGGAATTTCCACTAAAACGACTCACCGGATCCCTAAATGGCTGTTGGACAACGTGTTTACGACAGACTGAATGATGCTACCGCCTTGGTCTGCGCACCGCCACCCCCTCTCGCCGGGGCTGGGAGGGGCTGCCTAAGCTGGTGGCCGCTCCGGCCATCGCCCGCTCACCGGCAGCCCCTCCAGGGAGGGGCCAGAGGGATCCCGTCAAAATGCCCGGCAGGTCTTACCCCGCCTCCGCCCCAGCCAGGGCCGCGGCCCCAAGGGCCCGCAAAGCCCCGGACGTTGTGAGCAGGCTCCCGGCACCTCACGGGCCTCTCCAAGGACGCGCCCCGCCACACGCTGCAGCAGCCACCTGCCACCGGCGCCCCTGCCTGTGACGAGCACCCCCAAGGAGACAGACTGGAGGTGTCCCCCGCGATCGTGATGTCTGGGGCAGGAGAGGAGAGGGATCCCCGTGTGAAATGCTGAGACACCGCACAGCTGATCCCAGGGGGATGGTTGGGGAGGGGCGCCCCCGCTTAAAACTGTCCATGGTCGCCACGCACAGGACCGCAGGGCGGAACCCCAAAGGGCTTCCACCAAGCACAGCACTGCGGTGGCTTCTGACCAACTGCCTGAGTGACAGGGCCAGGTCAGGGGCCGGGGGCTTCTCCCGCGTGGGTAACATGAGGAACGAAGCACGGGACTGCTTGCAGCCAAGCGCGGCAGGACTCGCTGGTCTCCGAACAATCGGGAATGGCATGCTTTTGTCCAGACTCCTTGTAAGTGACTGGGAGTATTATGGAAAAACACAGAGAAGCCCTTGTGGAATTCAGATGGCTTGTCTCCAGGGTCATGAGAGAGAGGAGCTCGTTAAAGTGGCTACGAATGCAAATGTAAGGGCCATGGAGATGCAGGGCCACTGGGGTTCCGATCCACGTCGCGCCTGTCACTGCCGCTGGAATCCAGCCCGAACAGGATATTAGACGGGTTTCTCTTAGGCGGCAGATTTACAGTTAGGGCACAGTGGCAAAGGCGGCCGTGAAAACTAGGGCGGCTTCCGTTTAAAAACTCAGAGATGGGAGGAAGCGTGTGGAATCCCGGAAAAGCCAAACACCTCCAGAATTAAAACACAGAAATGAGAGGAAGTAAAAATAAGAAGTGATTCACCAGCGTTTTCCTTTCCTGCCAACTCCAGTTCTGAGGACATGTTACCTTCACGTGCCCTTCAACACGGTCACGGGAGGGAGCTAATTTTCCTCCCTCTGGAGGAATCTGCCTTAGAGTTCAGGGCAAGAAAACAAACACACACGGCCCTTCCTGGAGGAGGCCCATTTAAATGAAAAGCGCCTGAAAAATCATTTGAGAAGTAATCAAACAGATAGCCCAAAGTTGATATTCTTCTATTTTGGATGGAGAAACGGGCCAGTTTTTGTGTGTGTGTGTGTGTATGTGTGTGTGTGTGTGTGTGTGTGTGTGTGTTTTGTGGGGGCAGGAGGAGGGGAAGCAAAGGAAATAGAGAATACTTTCGTCACAGCCACAAAGAAAAAAACAAATTCAAGAATGGTTTGCCCAAGAGACTATTTCCAGACGGAATCTGTTTCAATCCTTTAAAATATTGCCTGGATATAACATAAGTAGCTCTGACCGGTGTGGCTCTGCTGGTCGGGCCCACCCTGAAAAGCGAGAGATGGCTGGTTCGAGCACCTATCGGGGCTCGTGACCAGGTTGCGGGTCGGGTCTCTGATCAGGGCGAGTACGAGCGTCAATGGGCCGATGTTTCTCACATCGGTGTTTCTCTCCCTCTTTCTCCCTCTCTTCCCCTCTCTCTAAAAATAAATAAAATCTTCCTAAAAAAAAATATAAGTCATGCCTCCCAACGAACATGTCAAGATGATGTCCCTCCTAGCGAACTCCGACTCTTGCACCGTGACGTCACTTGCGACAGCGAACGCTCTCGCCAACCCGGTGAGGGTTCTGAAACTGTCATTGTGGAGACAGTTCCTGGCCGGTTCCTGCTGGGTCCCTTGTAGTTCCCTGGTTTGTCAAAACCTCACCCTGTTAACAAGCCACGCTAAGGGTCTCCTTGAAATTTAAAAAAAGGCTTTTGTTTTGAAAGTTTTGGGAAGCACTCTGAGGTGACCAACCAGTGTGTTCACCGGCTTCCAAGGGCACAACCGGGGGCAACGCACTTAAAAGCGGCCCCTGGCCTGTTTGTTGTTTGCTGTCAGCGTGTGCAGTGACAGCTTGAGGTGGCAGTATCTCCGGGCACAAGCACACACAGGACCTTTGAAATCACACGCAACGAGAGGAGCGAGAGAGAACACCACGTGGCATTCAGAGCCGCGACCCGCAGTCTGGCGGGAACAGAGCGGAGGGGCCGGGTGACAAGGGACCCCACGGAGGGCCATGTTCTGACACACTTTCTGTATGGGTTTTACTTTTGAGTCCAAACTGCTTTTCTGAAGAGAGAAAAGACGACATCAGGAAAGTGATGAGCGCGGCTTCTTTAATTCCCAAGAGCTCCAGTGACAGCAGCAGCATGTGACCGTGACCTGGCGTGACCTGGCGTGACTGGGCCAGGGAAGCAGGGCCAGTGGGGGGAGGGGCAAGGGAGGGGCAGGGTGGGGGCAGGGCGTGGAGTGGAGAGGAGTGGAAGTACAGTTTGGAAAGGAGATGATATGTATGTGGAGCTGAGTTTTAAATGCACAAAGTTTGAGGCGAAGAGGTAAGGCTCAGGGGCGTGGCCCACGGCCGCGCAGCTACACCATGCCTGCTGGTCCTGGTGAGGCAGGACGGTAAGAGGCTGGGGAGATTCCTTGGCAGCGGAATAGGAAAACGGAGACAGGCTGCTGAACAAACTGGCCGAGCCGCTGACAGCCAGGTGCAGAGGGTCCCCGGGGGGACCGCCCCGCAGCGGCAAACTTGGGAGCACAAGGACCTCGCCCCACGGTGACCCTCCCCTCCCTGGAGCTGACATCAAGGCCCCCGCAGTGTTTCAGCTCCAGGCCCAGAAAAGCAGCAGAACCAGGTGGGCAAGGTCAGGACCAGCTGCAGTGACTGAGGACCCCCTGCCACCGACCAATCGGAGGAGACCGCGACCCTGAAAGGACGCACCTGGGGAGCCGATGCATAGTCTGGGCTGGAGCCCTCCCGACACCTCCCTAAGGCTCCCGGCTGCAGGGCAGAGGTAAAGGCCTCGAGACAAAGGACCCAGGGCCAGTCCCAGCTCCTCTCCCCCGACTCTCTCCCTCCCAGGCGGGCGCCCCCTGAGGTCCTCGAGCCTGTCCCCAGAGCCCCCTTCCCGCTGACTTCCCAGTGAGCTCAGGCCGCCCAGCCCGGGCTCTCCTGTTGCTGCTTCCTCGGCGCTGGGCCCTCCCTCGTTCCCCTGTCCCCAGCCTTAATGCCTCCTGAGCCACGTGGACTCGTGCTTCCC